TCTGTCCTTATCTGCCACGTGACGCCGCTCGAAGGATCTCTCGCCTTGCTGGCAGTCGGATTTGCCGCCTACCAGTTTGTCTTTTTCCTCGCCCCGCTCCGTCCCCTTCGTCTTCTCTCCTCCCTACTGACCTTGCTACAGGAGAGTGAGGAGGAGGGGGAAGGGGGACCGGGAGGGGGAGGGGGGGTGGGGATGGGGGAAGGAGGAGGGTTAGGGGGACGGGGATTAGGGCGAATGGTTGGGGGATGGAGGAGAAAATGGAGAATGGGAGGAAAATATGGTGGTGCTGTTGGTGGTGCTGCTGCTGGTACTGGTTACAAACGCTACACCTCCTTCCGCCATTTCTCCCCTCTATCCTCGTTATGGGACTGGTACGGTACATGGTATGAGCCATTGGAGGTTAGTAGCACGTGGGTGGTTGTGTTCTCAGTGCTTGTTCTGATTCTCGCTGCTTACCTGCTGCTGCTGCTGGCGCTGGGGTCTGGGAGAGGAGAGGGGGTTAGTGAGAAGAGGAGGAGCAGCGAGAAGGAATGCGAGGAGCAGCAGCAGCAGCAGCAGCAGCAGCAGCAGCAGCAGCAGCAGCAGCAGCAGCAGCAGCAGCAGCAGCAGCAGCAGCAGCAGCAGCAGCAGCAGCAGCAGCAGCAGCAGCAGCAGCAGCAGCAGCAGCAGCAGCAGCAGCAGCAGCAGCAGCAGCAGCAGCAGCAGCAGCAGCAGCAGCAGCAGCAGCAGCAGCAGCAGCAGCAGCGGAAGCAGCAGCAGCCACAGCAGCAGCAGCAGCAGCAGCAGCATCTTACACCGTTCCAGCTCCCTCCCTCCTCCATTCCCCTCGTCTACTCACCTCTTGACTTCTCCACACCCTCCTCGTCCCACCCCCAACTTCCCTCCACCCAGTTCCTCCCTTCCACCTCCTGCAGCAATTCCCATCCTTCCCAAATCCCGCCCTCCTCCCATCTCCCCCAAACCTTCAATCCTCCCCGCCTTACCCCCCGCGTTCCCCGTTTCCACTTCGCCTTGGCCGTCAGCAATGCCTCTCACTCCGCCCTCTCTCTCTCCCACCGCCGCTCCCGTGCCCGCCCCCTCTTCTCCCTCATCGCACTCCTCGCAGTTCTAGCAAGCTTCCTCGCTCCGCTGTTTGTCTCGACCTTTTCCTTCTCTTCCTCCTCGCCCACCCCCCAGGGACCTTTCATACCACCACCCTCCCAGACCTCGTCTCAGTCTTCCCCCAATCTCTCAGCCCACTGCCCCTCCTTTTTCCTTTCTGAGGATAGAGTTTCAATTGCCTTAGCTGCTCAGCAGCAGCAGGAGCGAGCAGAACTGGAGGAGCAGACGCAACAACAGCAAAAGAGCCAGCAGCAGCAGCAGGAGGGAGCATGGGGTGCTGGTGCAGGATTCATATCAGCCCAAATGACCTACATTCCTCACTCCTCCTCCTCCTCTTCATCCTCCCACTCCTCTTCTTCCTCTTTCTCTTCTTCCTCCACCCAAAGCGCCATAACCACCCCCAAACCATCTCCCCCCACCTTCCTCCCCTCCCTCACTCACTTCCTCTCGGCCCTCGCCTGCCGTCTCCCCCTCTGGCTGCATCTGGCCGTCAGTACAGCCGGCCAGCTGGCAAGTCTGTGGCTGGCCGTCAGTGTGGTCATGGCAGTGCAGTTCGCAGCTGCATTGACGGTGAGCAGTGAGGTTTTTGAGGAGGGGATTTTGCATAACCTGCCAACGAGTCCTGGAGATAGCTTGCAAGGGGATTGCACTGAAGCTGAGGCAGCAACAGGGGGTTTGAGGCCTACTGCACCTGCAGCAGTGCCCAAGCACACGTTTCCAGCGATTCCGTCCGTTGCGTCGACTGAAACGCCATCTTGTTTGGAGTTAGGAGCAGTTGAGCGCATGTTTCCAGGGCAGCGGCCTATGCCGACCGATGTGACTGTACAGGAGAGTTCTTCTAACGAAAGAGGGGATCTGCCTAGCTGCGAGAAAGAGTTCTTCTTGCTGGACGTGGGAGGGATGGGGCGGGTGCGAACGGGAGAGGAAGGTTCGGGGCTTTTTCGTGGTGATGGGGTGTGTGGGTCCATGGAGGAGAGGGAGCTTCTTGCGTGGGAGAGGCCAGGCCACTCAGCGTTGCCATTGCGGTAAGTGTGTCGGCAAATTGTGTGTTTATCTGAAGGCGACTCAGTGAGGGAAGTGGTCATTTGCTTTCCTGGCATTTGTGTGTGTGGGTCCATGGAGGAGAGGGAGCTCCTTGCATGGGAGAGGCCGGGTCACTCTGCGCTACCACTATGGTAAGGTTTTCTTTGTGTGTGTGTGTGTGTGTGGGGGGGGGGGGGGGGGGGGGTGGGGGGGGTTGATTCTTAGCCCCACTACTACAGTCATGCGCTGTTTGCATTGCTCACTACCATCGCCACCATCTCTCTCATAATCATCCCCCGCACCCCTCTCATCTCGCCACCTCTCCTCTCTTCTACCCTTCTCTCCCCCCTCGTCCCCAAAACTGCAGGCACGCCCTGTTCGCATCCCTCGGCACCATCACCACCATCTCTCTCATCCTCACGCTCTCCGCTGCCCTCGCTCTCACCCTCTCTTCCCCCGATCTCCCCTGCTCCCCACCACTGCAGGCATGCCCTGTTCGCATCCCTCGGCACCATCACCACCATCTCTCTCATCCTCACGCTCTCCGCTGCCCTCGCTCTGACCCTCCCCGTCCTCCTCTCCTCCCTCATCTCTTCCCTCCCCCCCATTACTTTCCTCTCAAGTTCCTCACAATACCCTTCCCTGCAAGACTCCTCTTCCGCACAATTCTCCTCCTCCTCCATTTCTCCTTCGGTGGACGATCGTCGTCTCATGCCCGCCTCTGCTTCTCTCACGCTACTCAGAGTGCTGGCGCTCGTTTGTGTCACGCCCTTGCTCGCCTTCTTTACAAGGTACGTGGTTCAATACAGTTTTGCCACAGTCTTTCTCGTCTAGTTTTCATGGCAAGTTCACTTTTGTTGCTCCCTTTTATTGCTCTTGTTGCTCTTTTAGTTTGGCATTTTCCTATCCCTCTTCCCTCCCTCCCCCCCCCCCCCCCGTCCCCCCCCCGTGTCTTCACTAATTTTAAAGGCGATTTTCCCCCCCTTCGGCATTTTATGTATAAAGGCGATTCTCTTCTGGCTTTGCATCTTCAGTGTACATTTTTGTGTGTGCGTGTTTGCGTTTGTGTATATCTTTTTCTGTGCATGTCCAAGTATACGTGTTTGTGTGTTGTGTGTGCGTGCATGCGTGCGTGCGTGCGTGCGTGCGTGCGTGCGTGCGCGCGCGTGTGTGTGTGTGTGACTGTTCGTGGGTGCATGTGCTTGCATGTCTGGTTTTGTGTGAGTGTGCATGTATGTGAGGTGTGCTTGTGTGTTCTCCACCCACTTATCACACCAGGCTCGTGTTGCCTATCGCAGCAGCAATTGGGGAAGGCTTTACCTCCTCCCTCCACACCTCCCTCGTCCTGCTCCGCTCACGCGCCTCTCTCATCATCCCCCTCTCCCTCTCCTCCTCCCTCCTCTCCATCGCACTTATCACCTCTCACGTCGCCGCGCTAGCCTCTCTTGGGGTAAGCACCATTAGAGCATTTTCAGTATTTTCAGGGTAAGTGTGGTGTTTTCCTAAAGTTATCTTATCTTTCTTGTGCTAAGCAAGCCTCCTACAACTACCAACCAGGTAAAATTGTTCGGCAAGAATTTTCAGGTTTAGGGTATTTTATTTTTCTGTTGTAACGTTTAAAGATCATTCTGTTGAAGCATTGTCTTCACTCACCCTATCCTGCTCCCCTCTTTCTCTGCATCCTTGCGCTGTCAGGCATTGTTTGGCATTTTCCTTGAGGGTGGATTAAATGAAACGCTCTTGGGCCGGCGGGTGGCAGTCATTTGGGTCTTCCTTGCCCCGTCCATTGCTGCTGTGCTGCTGGTAACGCTGATACAAGGGGCAAGCTCTGTACTGGTGCTCCAAAGAGCAGTTGGCAGTAACTCCGCAGCATCTCTTGCCATTCCGAGTGTGAATTCCTTTTCACCAGCACGGGGTGGCCCCAAAAAGTCCTGGTTTATGGGGGATTACAGTACAGTAACAGAGGTGACCTAGATAGGGAATTAGGCCTGTCATTGTACTTGTATATATAGTGTATTTAATTTACTAATTTGTATACTACGCTCTTTCAACTACTGTACCCTCAGGTTGTTGACTCAGGGTCTCGATAGTGTCATCCGTAACTCTCGGAACTATCTCATCGACACTGCCTTTGGTTTTCTGCTGCGTGTTTTGCGCCACCCGGGATCATTTGCGAACGACTCTCGGTTCACGCACGAACGAATCACTGCAAACCAAACCTTCATACAGACGCCGTTGCGAAACCACTTCCCTCATGTTCAGTTACACAAAACTGCTCGAACATGTTTTTGCGACGTTCGTCCGTGCTTGTTGCTGGCTGCATTCCAATCCCGAGGTGCATGTCGGAAAAAAACAATACGCCCTCGATAGAATTCTGGGGATGGTCGCAGCAATCCCAAGACAAGGCAAAGCTGACATTCTTGTAAACTGGAGTTTTCTTGACCATTCCCCCAAACACATCTGAGATTTCCTACCATCAGGTCAGGAGGAAGCAGCACAAGAATCTAACAACCATCAGGTCAATCTCACTCCCAGGCCTGCAAAGACCATTCAGTCTTATCGCCTGATCGTCTCAGCTCGTTTCGCTCTCAGCAGGTCCGCTGGCCTGTAAGATCTGCGAATTTGCGTGAAGCGGTTCACGAATTGGTGGGATTTGTCAGATTCTGAGTGCTGTTTCAGTAGTTCCTGAACCGCGTTCCCATTCTCGATTGGAGGCCATTATCTTCACCTTAAACCGATCTAAGTCAAAAAGGTCCGCTTTTTTCTCATATATTCGGAGCGCCTTGTCAATCCACGTGGACAAATTCACTGACATTGCAGCTCGGAATTTTAGACCTTTCATAGGTTGACGGGTCCAGACTGCAGCTTCACGGAAAATGGCTCACGTGCAGAATCCGTTCGACCTTCTGACGGGTGGAGGCGGCGCAGGCGGCGCTTCTGACGGAGGCTCCAAGAACCGCCGGAACCGGAAGAAGAAGCAGCAGCAATCTCAAGGAGACGATCCGCAGCAACAGCAGCAGCAACAGGCCAAGCAGCAGCAGCAGCAACAGCCGCAGCAGCAGCAGCAACAGCAGCAGCAGCAGCAACAGCAGGAGCCGGAGGTGGTTCAGCCTGCACCGACCGAACCTCAACCTCCAACAACCGCGAATGCTGCTTCGATCGCCCTGCAGGCAGACGCAGCTTCCCCCGCAGCTGCCTCTGCACCTTCCGCCGCACCTTCCGCTGCGAAAAAGAAGAAGGGGAAAGGCGCAAAGGCAAGGCAGCCTCGATGGGGGGACGAGGAGGATGAACCAGCCAATGGCGCAGTCGCTGCTCCTGAGATCTCGTCGAAACCGGCAGAAAAAGCCGTCGCGCAGGCAGTTCCGCCGTCATCTCCGCCGGCGGCCGGCACGGAAATTCCGCTCATCAAAGATCCCAAGGCGTACGAGACGGGGGGTCTGATGCCGGCGGAATGGGGGGCAGAAGCCGCGCGGGAGGAAGCGTGGCAGCAGGGCGGAAAGAGCAAAGGCGGAAAGCAGGCCAAATCCGCGGGCGCCGCCACCGGCGCTGCTCCGGCTGCGCGTGGTGGGAACGCCGCCGCTGCCGCAGCGCCTGCGCCGGGCCCGGGGGGAGCGATCAGCGCGGAAGCGGCAGCGTTAGAGGCGGCGGCGGAGGCGTGCGGAAGGGATGCGGAGGCGCGGGTGCGGCAGTGGCACGACTGGACTGTGCGCGCGCAACAACTGCCCGCGCCTGGCACTGCGACGGCGTGGAAGGAGGTGCGTGGGATAGGTGCATCAACGGTCGAATTATGGTTGGTTTATTCTTTGCTTGTTTGTTGCTTCTTGGATTGCGTCATTGAGTCATTGGTAAGATGCCATTTCACAAATGATGATGTTTCTTCCCTGCGTCAGATATTCCTGAGTAGTCGAGCATTGGAGAAGACGGTGGAGAGCTGCATCACACTGCCTCTGTACCCCCACCACCTGCCGCACCTCCAGGTAGATTTGATCTGATACGATTGTTGTGAGAAGGGTGGAGAGGGAAGGGTGGAGAGGGAGGGGAAAGTGGGGGAGAGTGGGGGAGGGGAAGGGAGGGGAGGGGAGGGGAGGAGGGGAGAGAAGGGGAGAAAAGGGGAGGGGAAGAGGGTAGAGAAGGGGAGGTGAAGGGAGGGAAGTTATTACAAGCCAAATGGACTGCACAAGTATTATTACTGCTTCGTGTCTTTGTCAAGATTGTAATGTGCTGATTTACTTAACCAACAATGGATGGTCCCCAATATGATATTCCTCTAGTCCCTCCCCAAACCCGACTCCCACCGCAGCTCCTTGAGAAAATATTCGCTTATCCTTGCGTCCTCTTCCCCTTGCCGTCGTCCCCTTGCCACTTTCCCCCTCCCACATCCCTCCTCACATGCACCCCCTGAAGCACCACCAATCATCCTTCTCCCCCTAATTCCTCCCCCACTCCCCCCCTCCTCCCCCTCCCACCCCCCCTTTACCTTCTCTCCCGCTCTCCCCCTACTCTCCCCCTTTCTCCCCTTCCTCTCTCCCCCCCCGTTCTCCCACTCTCCCTTTCCTGCCTCCTCTTCTGAACGTAAAACTACCACCAGGCGCTTCTCTCCGTGTCCCTGGGGCATCAGGAGGCGGCTCAGGTGATTTCTCAGGTGGCATCGGACCTCTCTCAGGTGCTATCCGAGGAAGGCGCCGCCTTGGGCCTCACAGGTGGATCTGCGGGCAAGGGAGCAGCGGGAGGGGATGTGCGTGGGGCGGCTGCTAAGGCGCTGGCTGCTGCTGTGACCGCAGTGAAGGTGCGTGTAGACTTTTGAGTCGACTTATAAGCCACTTCGGGCCTGGGCGGCAGGGGGGGATCTGCAGGCAAGGGAGCAGCGGGAGGGGATGTGCGTGGCGCAGCTGCTAAGGCTCTGGCTGCTGCTGTGACTGCAGTAAAGGTGCGTGTAAAGGGGGCGGTTGTCTCTCTGTTTGAGCCTCCTTCCATTCATCGACTCCTGATGGACTCCTTCTCGGGCTGAACATATGTTATTTTCTCCTGAAAGTTCGTCGCTCATCCGTTCAGGATGAGCTGTTTCACATCCGTGACTCCATCTTGAATCCATTACACTTCCATCCACCTGTTCCCCCCATCCCCATGCGCAGTTGGGCGGGTCAGGGTGGGCTGTTGAGCGCATTGCGGCACAACTTGGGGACGCGAGTGTGTCTTCAAAGCTGCAGGAGATGCAGGCTAAGGTAAGCCAGGGGGACAGTGTTGAAGCAGAAATGGGCTCGAGCTGGGGATGGAAAGGCAGATGGTCAGGGTGGGCTGTTGAGCGCATTGCGGCACAACTTGGGGACGCGAGTGTGTCTTCAAAGCTGCAGGAGATGCAAGCCAAGGTAAGCCAGGGGTTAGGGCTGACCAGAAATAGACGCAGGCTGGGGGCGGAAGGCAGAGGGGAGGGGTGGGCTGATTGCAGCGCAGCTTGGGGACGTGGGTGTGTCTTGGAAGCTGCAGGAGATGCAGGCCAAGGTAAGCCAGGGGGACAGTGTTGAAGCAGAAATGGGCTCGAGCTGGGGGTGGAAAGGCAGATGGTGAGAGTGGGCTGTTGAGCGCATTGCAGCACAACTTGGGGACGCGAGTGTGTCTTCGAAGCTGCAGGAGATGCCGGCCAAGGTAAGAAGATGTTTTATAAGACATGGGGCCTGGGCAAAAGGGTTGTGGACGAAAGGATGGGTGGAGTTTCAAGTTCTGCATTTGCCAAGGCGAGGGGACTTGGGATCAGCAGCTCACAGCAGCTGTCGCACTGGCAAATGCGTATTTGTCCCATTCACCCTGCCACGCTTTGCATTTGACCCGGTGGCATCAATAGAGCCTCAGCTGCAGATGATTGCTGCAGGAGGAGGACCAGCGGCAGCACTAGCAAATGTTGATTCCTCCCGTTTCCACCCTGCCTCTCGTTGCCTCTGTTTACCAGGCGGCATCAATGGAGCATCAGCTGCAGATGATTGCAGCAGGAGGAGCAGCAGCAGCGACAGCAGTGGGAGGCGCAGCAGCAGGAGTGGCTGCAGACGAGGGCGGAGCAGCAGCGCGTGGCGTGTAAGTGCTCTCTGAACCCCGGTCACCCCTTTGCATTTTTTGAGTCAACGCAAGTCTTGTGAATGTTGAGCTGTTGTGTAAGTTGGTCAGAAAATCAGTACGGCAGCAGCAGGAGTGGCTGCAGACGAGGGCGGGGCAGCAGCACGTGGCATGTAAGTGCTCTCTAAACTGAAACCCCTCCCCCTCTGCTTCTATTCTGTCGTTTCAAACTTCGCGAGAGTTGAGTTGTTCTGTGTGCCGAACCAAAAATCAGAAATTTAGCAGCAGGGGTGGCTGCAGAGGAGGGGAGGGGGCAGCAGCTCCTGGCGTGTACCCACTCTGTCTTGCTGTGCTCTCTGAATCCCTGTCCCCCTCTTCTTCCGCTTGCTCTCCCCTTTTTTCTCAAATACTCCGCCCGCCATGCAACGTGGTAAAATTTCTCGTCCCAGTTGCTTGCAGAATGGCTGAGACTCCTCTCTTTTGCCACCTCCCTCTCTCCAGTTTCTCTCTTCCTTATCCTCGGTCCCTTTTTCCCTCACTCCGATCCTCTCCTTTCTCCTGTTTCTTTCTTCCCTCTTGATCCCCTTACAGGCGGCTGTCTCAGCTGGTGAACATAACAGAGTCACGAATCAACCTCCTCCTCTCCAGCCTGCAATCCCCAGCGCCCTCCCCTGCCGAATCCGTTTATCTCTCTCTATTTCTTCTATCCACTTTCTGCTGTCTCTTTCCCCTCTGCTTCTCCCCTTACAGGCGGCTATCTCAGCTGGTGAACATAACAGAGTCACGAATCAACCTCCTCCTCTCCAGCCTTCAATCCCCAGCGCCCTCCCCTGCTGAATCCGCCTCTCCTGCTGCAGCTGAAGCCGCCGCCGCTGCCGCACAAGCTTTGCAGTCTGTGCGAGACCTTACAGCCGAGATTGTCCGGCGGAAAAAACTCCCACCGACACTTAGCTCCGCCGCTCAGGGGAAGGCAGGGAAGCTGGTTACTGCAGCGGTTGCAGGGGGGGCAGCGGGCGGGAAAGGTGGCGCTGCTGCTGCTGCGGCTAGTGGTGGTGGTGGTGCGGGAGGGGGAGCAGCAGAGGCGGAGGGCGTGTGGGAGACGCAAGGGGGAGGAGGCAAGGGAGGGAAGAAGGGCGGGAAGAAGGGGGGTGGAGACAAGGGCAAAGCAGCACCAGCAGAAGCAGCAGCAGCAGCTGGGGTAGCAGCAGGGGCGGCTGCAGTAGAGGAGGCGAGGAGGAAGCTTGAAGAGGCAGCAGCAGAGAGTAGCAAGCTGAGAGGCCAGGTGGAGGCTGCAGAGGCAGAGGCATCTAGGCTGCGGTCGCTGTGGCTGGATGCAGAGGCACGGAGGAAGCAGCTGGAGGAGGTGCTGTCTGCTGCCTCTGCTGCTGCTGCTGCTGGCAGCGCTAAGGTGAGTTCAGACCTGAGAGGCAGAGGCATCCAGGCTGCAGTCTTTGTGGCTGGATGCAGAGGCGAGGCGGAAGCAGCTTGAAGAGGTGTTAGCTGCTGCCTCTGCTGCTGCTGCTGGCGGTGGTGGAAAGGTAAACTTTCCCCTCTCACTGCGGTGTGCGCAGCAGTTGAAGGTGGTTCATGCCGAAACCGTTCTGGAGTTCGTCTTATCCCCCTTCCCTCCCCTCTTTCCTGCCTTTTTTTCCCTCTCCTTCCCCTTTCTCTCCTTTTCCCCTGCAGCAGCAGCCCAGAACGGGGTCCCTGCACCTGTGGTACCAGTAGCGCCTGTAGCAGCGGGTCAACCCGACCAGCAGCAGGGACAGCAGCAGGAGGGGCCACAGCTGACGCCAGAGCAGCTGCACCAGCTGCGGTGTGATGCATGCTCTTGAGTTCATGTTATCCACTCTTACTTCTCCCCTCTTCTCTCCCCTACCCTCCCACTCCCCCCACCCAGTCCCCTGCAGCAGCAGCCCAGAACGGAGTCCCTACTCCCGCGCCAGTAGCACCAGTGGCAGCGGGTCAACCCGACCAGCAGCAGCAGGAGGGGCCACAGCTGACGCCAGAGCAGCTGCACCAGCTGCGGTGTGCGCAGCAGCTGGGGGTGGTGCATGCTCTCGAGTCTGTGCTCCAACGCCCCCACATGCCCCTGCCAGGGCAGGTGGGCGGTCCATTCTCGGTGAGTGAACGGGTGTGTGTGCATGGGATGCATTGGGAAATACAGCAGGAAGCAGCAGCAGCAGCTGGGGGTGGTGCATGCACTGGAGTCCGTGCTGCAGCGCCCACACATGCCCCTGCCAGGGCAGGTCGGAGGGCCGTTCTCGGTGAGTGAGAGTGCTGCGCCTGCCTGTACATTACACCTCCTCATACTCTCTTCCCTCCCCTCCTTCCCATCCCCACCACCCTTCCCCCCTGTCTCCGTTTACACCCTTGCATTCTTGAAACGTCTCAAAGTTCTTCCCTTCCCACCCGCAATCAACCTTCTCCCCTCCCAACCGGGGATTCGCAAAACACTCTTCGGCCTTCTCCTCTCCCCCTCCTCCCGCTCCTCCTCTCCCATCCTCCCCCGTGCCTACACATTCGTATCGCAGGGAGCTCCCGACCGTGAGGCAGCAGTGATGGCAGTGGTGGGTCAAGCGGTGGAGAATCACCTCAGTGCGCTTTCAGCGCTGCTGCACGCCAAGCTCGACCAGCTCAAATCGTAAGCCCCTTTGTCCTTGTGGCCTTGTGGCCTAGTGCCGCTGTGGCCTTTGGTGTTTTGTCTTTTGCCCTTTTGGGCTGCAGTGGAGAATCAGCTCACTGCCCTTTCAGCGCTCCTGCACGCCAAGCTCGACCAGCTCAACTCGTAATCCCTTTCCCGAACCTGCCTGTCCTACCTTACGAGCCGGCGAGTGCTTCCGATTCTCCCACGAAAAAGTTGCAAAAGTTGAGAGTGCGAAGAGCATGTCACGAAAAGCACGTGTGCTCTTCCCCCTCTTATTTATCCCTTGCCCTCCTTCCATGTCCCGCCCACCACACGTGCTTTCGAACCTACCTTCCCCACCATCAGAGCCGGCGAGCGCCTGCAGTTCTCCCAGGAGAAGATGAAGGCGGAGAAGGACGCTCTCCCTCCCACCTCCAGTACCTTCCCAACCCTCCCACCCTTCCCAACCCTTCCGCGCCGTCCTCCACCATCAGAGCGGCGAGCGCCTGCAGTTCTCCCAGGAATCGCTGCAGAAGATGAAGGCGGAGAAGGACGCTCTTCCCCCAACCCCCCAATACCCTCCCACCCTCCCCCACCCTTCCCAACCCTTCCGCACCGGCTGGCGAGCGCCTGCAGTTCTCCCAGGAATCGCTGCTGAAGATGAAGTCGGAGAAGGACGCTACTAACGCCTTCCCACCCTTCCCGTGTCATCCCTGCCCTCTTTCCCCCCCGGTCCTCCTTTCCTTTCTTCCATATCTCCCCCCCCCTCACCATCAGAGCTGGCGAGCGCCTGCAGTTCTCCCAGGAGAAGATGAAGGCGGAGAAGGACGCTCTCCCTCCCACCTCCAGTACCTTCCCAACCCTCCCACCCTTCCCAACCCTTCCGCGCCGTCCTCCACCATCAGAGCGGCGAGCGCCTGCAGTTCTCCCAGGAATCGCTGCAGAAGATGAAGGCGGAGAAGGACGCTCTTCCCCCAACCCCCCAATACCCTCCCACCCTCCCCCACCCTTCCCAACCCTTCCGCACCGGCTGGCGAGCGCCTGCAGTTCTCCCAGGAATCGCTGCTGAAGATGAAGTCGGAGAAGGACGCTACTAACGCCTTCCCACCCTTCCCGTGTCATCCCTGCCCTCTTTCCCCCCCGGTCCTCCTTTCCTTTCTTCCATATCTCCCCCCCCCTCACCATCAGAGCTGGCGAGCGCCTGCAGTTCTCCCAGGAGAAGATGAAGGCGGAGAAGGACGCTCTCCCTCCCACCTCCAGTACCTTCCCAACCCTCCCACCCTTCCCAACCCTTCCGCGCCGTCCTCCACCATCAGAGCGGCGAGCGCCTGCAGTTCTCCCAGGAATCGCTGCAGAAGATGAAGGCGGAGAAGGACGCTCTTCCCCCAACCCCCCAATACCCTCCCACCCTCCCCCACCCTTCCCAACCCTTCCGCACCGGCTGGCGAGCGCCTGCAGTTCTCCCAGGAATCGCTGCTGAAGATGAAGTCGGAGAAGGACGCTACTAACGCCTTCCCACCCTTCCCGTGTCATCCCTGCCCTCTTTCCCCCCCGGTCCTCCTTTCCTTTCTTCCATATCTCCCCCCCCCTCACCATCAGAGCTGGCGAGCGCCTGCAGTTCTCCCAGGAGAAGATGAAGGCGGAGAAGGACGCTCTCCCTCCCACCTCCAGTACCTTCCCAACCCTCCCACCCTTCCCAACCCTTCCGCGCCGTCCTCCACCATCAGAGCGGCGAGCGCCTGCAGTTCTCCCAGGAATCGCTGCAGAAGATGAAGGCGGAGAAGGACGCTCTTCCCCCAACCCCCCAATACCCTCCCACCCTCCCCCACCCTTCCCAACCCTTCCGCACCGGCTGGCGAGCGCCTGCAGTTCTCCCAGGAATCGCTGCTGAAGATGAAGTCGGAGAAGGACGCTATTAACGCCTTCCCACCCTTCCCGTGTCATCCCTGCCCTCTTTCCCCCCCGGTCCTCCTTTCCTTTCTTCCATATCTCCCCCCCCCTCACCATCAGAGCTGGCGAGCGCCTGCAGTTCTCCCAGGAGAAGCTGCAAAAGATGAAGGCGGAGACGCTCTTCCCTCCACCCTCCCATTCGCCCCCTCCCAATTGTCCAACCCATCCTCCCCCCCCCCCCAATCAGAGCGGGCGAGCGCCTGCAGTTCTCCCAGGAGAAGCTGCAGAAGATGAAGGCAGAGAAGGACGCTCTCAAGGGCAAGCCACAGCTGGTGAGTCGCCTGGTGGGGGAAGGGGGAGGGAGGAGGGGGGGGTTGGGGGAGGTTTGAGAGGGGGGGGGGGGGGGGGGGTTGGGGGGGTAGGGGATGGGGAGAAGGGGGAAGTGGAGGGTGGGGGGAATTGGTGCATTGCTGTTTTGAACCGCGGCATGTCATTCTGCTGGGCGATCCACGCCTAACACCAGTTTGAACCGCGGCATGACGCCACCCACCTGTCAAGTTGCCATCTGAAAATGAACGTTCAGTTTGAAGCCACCCGTATTCATTCTCCGTCCTGCCCTCTCCCATCTTTGTTTCCCTCCCCTCTCCCATTTATTGTTCTGCTTCCCTCTCTCGTTTCTCGTTCTGCCTCCCTCTCCCATTTACCGTTTTCCTCCCCTCTCCTGTTTCCTGTTCTGCTTCCCTCTCCCATTAATTGTTCTGCTCCGCTCTCCCAATTACCGTTTTGCTTCCCCCTCCCCCTTATCGTTCTACTTCTCTCCACATTCCCATGTTCACTCTCCTTCCTTCCCTCTTCTGTCTTCGTTCCCCTCCCCTCTCCCACGTTTGTTCCCCTTCCCTCTCCAATGTTTGTTCCCCTTCCCTCCCCTCTCCCGTGTGTGTTCCCCTTCCTTCCCGTTCCCATGTTTGCTCCCCTTCCCTCCCTCCCTCTTCTTTTTGGCAGGCAGCAGCTCTCGCCAGGCCACTGCAAGCCATTGAGCAGATGCACAAGGTGCGGTGCTGCAGGGTGGTGCAGGGTGGGGCAGCAGGGTGGGGCAGGGTGGTGTAGGGTGCAGCAGGGTGGGGCAGGGTGGGGCAGGGTGGGTGGAGCAGGGTGGAGCAGGATGATTGTATGGCATTGTGACTGTATGGGTGGGCCGCAGAGTCACTGCAAGCAGCACAGTTGAAGGCTCAGCTATTTGTATTCCCCACACTCACCTTCACCACGCCCACCTTCCCCACGCCCACCTTCCCCACGCCCACCTTCCCCACGCCCACCTTCCCCACGCCCACCTTCCCCACGCCCACCTTCCCCACGCCCACCTTCCCCACGCCCACCTTCCCCACGCCCACCTTCCCCACGCCCACCTTCCCCACGCCCACCTTCCCCACGCCCACCTTCCCCACGCCCACCTTCCCCACGCCCACCTTCCCCACGCCCACCTTCCCCACGCCCACCTTCCCCACGCCCACCTTCCCCACGCCCACCTTCCCCACGCCCACCTTCCCCACGCCCACCTTCCCCACGCCCACCTTCCCCACGCCCACCTTCCCCACGCCCACCTTCCCCACGCCCACCTTCCCCACGCCCACCTTCCCCACGCCCACCTTCCCCACGCCCACCTTCCCCACGCCCACCTTCCCCACGCCCACCTTCCCCACGCCCACCTTCCCCACGCCCACCTTCCCCACGCCCACCTTCCCCACGCCCACCTTCCCCACGCCCACCTTCCCCACGCCCACCTTCCCCACGCCCACCTTCCCCACGCCCACCTTCCCCACGCCCACCTTCCCCACGCCCACCTTCCCCACGCCCACCTTCCCCACGCCCACCTTCCCCACGCCCACCTTCCCCACGCCCACCTTCCCCACGCCCACCTTCCCCACGCCCACCTTCCCCACGCCCACCTTCCCCACGCCCACCTTCCCCACGCCCACCTTCCCCACGCCCACCTTCCCCACGCCCACCTTCCCCACGCCCACCTTCCCCACGCCCACCTTCCCCACGCCCACCTTCCCCACGCCCACCTTCCCCACGCCCACCTTCCCCACGCCCACCTTCCCCACGCCCACCTTCCCCACGCCCACCTTCCCCACGCCCACCTTCCCCACGCCCACCTTCCCCACGCCCACCTTCCCCACGCCCACCTTCCCCACGCCCACCTTCCCCACGCCCACCTTCCCCACGCCCACCTTCCCCACGCCCACCTTCCCCACGCCCACCTTCCCCACGCCCACCTTCCCCACGCCCACCTTCCCCACGCCCACCTTCCCCACGCCCACCTTCCCCACGCCCACCTTCCCCACGCCCACCTTCCCCACGCCCACCTTCCCCACGCCCACCTTCCCCACGCCCACCTTCCCCACGCCCACCTTCCCCACGCCCACCTTCCCCACGCCCACCTTCCCCACGCCCACCTTCCCCACGCCCACCTTCCCCACGCCCACCTTCCCCACGCCCACCTTCCCCACGCCCACCTTCCCCACGCCCACCTTCCCCACGCCCACCTTCCCCACGCCCACCTTCCCCACGCCCACCTTCCCCACGCCCACCTTCCCCACGCCCACCTTCCCCACGCCCACCTTCCCCACCTTTTTCTGCCCCCCTTATGCTCTCCTATTCTTGTCATGCTCTTCTGTCCCCTTCATCCCCTCGTGTCCCCTTTTCCAATAATTTCTCCACCAATTATTCCATCAGCCACGAGTGGCTGAAGTTCAATCAGTGATGGCCGAGGCAGAGGCGCTGGAAGCAGCGCTGCATAAGCCTCAGCTGCTGCCTCCCTGTGCTCACCTGTCCCTCGCTATGCTCTCCTGTCTCCTTTACCCTTTACCCCTCCCAATCTCAGACCCGAGTGAGTGAAGTGCAGTCAGTGATGGCGGAGGCAGAGGCGCTCGCAGCAGCGCTGCAGAAGCCGCAGCTGCTGCACTCCAGTTCTCACCTGCCCCTCTCCATATGCTCTCCGTTGCCCCACATTTGCTTTACTGAACCATACAGACTCGTGTGTCCGAGGTCCAGTCAGTGATGGCAGAAACAGAGGCGCTGGAAGCAGCGCTGCATAAGCCTCAGCTGCTGCCTCCCTGTGCTCACCTGCCCCCTACTATGCTCTCCTGTCTCTTTTACCCTTTACCCCTCCCAACATCAGACCCGTGTGTCCGAGGTCCAGTCAGTGATGGCAGAGGCGGAGGCGCTGGAAGCAGCGCTGCAGAAGCCCCAGCTGCTGTCTCCCTTTGCTCACCTGCACCCTATGCTATTCATTCCCCCACCCTATGCGAACATCAGACCCGAGTGTCCGAGGTCCAGTCAGTGATGGCCGAGGCAGAGGCGCTGGAAGCAGCGCTGCAGAAGCCACAGCTGCGGTCGGCAGTGGCGCTGCTGCCACCCATGCCATCAGTCAACGACTACTTGCAGCAAATAGGCGTCACGCTGCATCAGGTGAGAATGAGTGGGGGTGGGGTTGGTGTGGGGGGCCCAGCTCTGTTCTTACCACTTTCAGTGGCGCTGCTGCTGCCCTTGCCTTCAGTCAATGACTTCCTGCAGCAAATCGGCGTCACGCTGCACCAGGTACGTTCTGCTCTGCGCTGTGAATCAGGTGATGCGCACCAGGTGCGAGTGGGTGGGAGTGAAGTGGTATCATAAGCTCTCCCTCCCCTTCCCTTCCCTCCCCTCCTCTCCCTTCTCCTCTGCCCCTCCCGTCAGGTGCACCAAGAGTATGCTGCCATTCAAGCAGGCGCTGCAAACTCAGCTGCTGCCGCCTCTGCCGCAGCTGCCGCCGCCGCTGCAGCTGCCGCCGTGCCTGCTGCTGCTCCAGGCGCCGCTGGGAAGAAACAGGAGAGGGGCGCAGGGAGGAAAGGGGGCAATGGCGGCCCTGCTGCTACCGCCCCTGCTGCTTCTGCCCCTGCCGCTACCCCTGCCCCTGCTCCTGTTGCAGTTGCTGTTCCTGTGCCTGCTGCTGTTGCAGTGCCAGCACCAGCACCAGCAGCACCAGCACCAGCAGTGGATGCTGCAGCAGCAGCACCCAAGCCAGCATGGGGGGTGCAATCCGCATGGGGTGGTTCAGGCTTCGGTGGTGTGATTGGGATGATGGGGCTGACGGGGTGAGCGAGAGAGGATGAGGGGGTGAGAGGGTGGTGAGGTGAGGGAGACAATGTTGGAGGTTTTTGGTCACAAAAACATGGGCTTGTCTGATTAATGGCTAATGCGTTCATTGTTCAGGCAGACAGAATGCCGAAAGTATGGTGGGGCGGGCTCCGCACTGGTGTTGCTGAATGGAGGTACGGTATTTATGGGGAGAGAGGGGAGGGTGGGAAGGGAATGTTAAAACTGGTGCATGGTAAGGTCTGGGAGAAAGGATCTTCAACTGCTGAGCCATGCACGGAGAAGGTCGAGTGGTTTTGTGCAGTTCTGTCACTGCTACTTACAAATACTTATACCGTACTGGTCTAAAATATTGCCATGATGTGGTGTGGTCCCTTTAGACAACATGCTGTGCTGTAAACATTCTCTAGCAAACATGGTGCTTCATTTAACAATTATACCGCATCCCTGCGCGTAAATGCTTTCCTGCGCGTAAATGCCTTCCCTGTTGCATGGGATGGGATTTTGCGGGTAGTGAATCTGCTTATAGCAGGCTTTATGATACTACCGTACAACCATACCGTATGTCATGGGAAGGGATGGCAACTTACACTGTCCCGGGACGCCTGGAAACTTTGACTACAGTACAATCTGGTATTTCTAGGGCTTCCATGCAGGGTAGGGTAACAGTCAGCCTCTGGATGACAAGATAGGCCCCCATAATTCAGGAGACCAAGCCCCAACATACGGTAGTATTTCAAGGCGACCAACAACATCCCTGCACCCTTGAAGTGACTACTACCATCTCTCCTACCGTTTTTCTTTGTAAAGCGAGCATATAGATTGGTTGCTGAACAAATCATACACGACAGCATTTCACCGTATTCCCGACTAAACAAGGAGATCGACCAACCATATAAACTGGTGTAAGAATGGAGATCTTCTTTTGTTAACCATGCCATGTCATGTCCAATCACCACTAGCCGATCGATTGGGTGGGTGTGGTGGTCGCGACGAAACCCCCCCCGCACCAGCACCACCACCACTCTGCGACGCCGAGACAAGCACAAACCCCGGGGTCTTAGTAAGGACAGGCGAGTCCCCCCCCGTCTCCCCTGCTTCAAGCTTCAGCCGCATCACCTCTTCCTCCAGCCCCCCGCTTTGGCTCCTCCGTACTGTCCGCATCACGCCGCCTCGGTTCTGCGAGGTGGGTTGAAACGACCCTGTTCTGCGTAGGTATGGCTGCTGCTGTTGCTTGGGCTCGTGTGCTGGTAGGGATTGGGAGTGACCCATCCCACCAGACCCAGGACCAGCAGCAGCACCAGCAGCAGCACCGCCAGCACCGCCAGCAGCACCAGCATCAGCAGCACCAGCACCAGCGCCAGCAGCAGCAGCGCTGGTGGTGGGTGCGGCTAGTGTGGCGCTCCGAAACCGGTCCCTGAAACTCATCCCGCTGCTCCCATTTCCACCGCTCCCATTCCCACCCAACCGACTCATTCCCGCCGGCACTACAGACGAAGTCCGTAACTCGGGACTCCTGGGCGGCCGCGTGTCCCATCTCCCACCACCTGACTTCCCACCTGAAATCCCACCTGAACCTCCACCCCCACCCCCGCCAGGGCTCGACACTCCCGAATCCGACACCATACTCCCGCCCCTGAAATGCCTCCCGCCCTTCCCACTACTCCCGCTCCGGCTCGACTCAAAGCTGCGAATACTCGCTGAAGATTCACTTCCCCCGGAAACCGACACCGCGTCAAAGACTGTATCGGGCATGAGGAGAGAGAAGGTGGGGTGGCGGAGGTGCTGGGGGCGCGGGTCTGAGGGCGCGTCTTGCAGGGGGAAGAGCTGGGGGTTGTTGAAGAGATGGTCTGCGTGGAGCACGTCGCGCAGGCGCGCTCGGATGTTGGAGGCAGCCCCTTCGAGCACCCTGGAGTAGCTTTCCAAAACGGCTTTCCCAATGTCCTGAAGTGGGGAGGGCAGGGAGAGCAGGACGAACGGAACGGGGGCAACAAAGGGAGGGAGTGAGAAGGGAGAGCCAAGTGGGTGCAGGTGCAGTGGGCACGGGTGAGGACTCGAGATTGTGCGTGGGGCGTCTTGCAGGGGGAAGAGCTGGGGGTTGTTGAAGAGATGGTCTGCGTGGAGCACGTCGCGCAGGCGCGCTCGGATGTTGGAGGCGGCACCTTCAAGTACCCTTGAATAGCTTTCAAGCACTGCCTTTCCAATGTCCTGGTGGTGAGGGGAGGGAGAGCAAGAACGGGGAGAACAACGGGAGGGTGTGAGAAGGGAGAGCCGCGTGGGTGCAGGTGCTTCTGAGAGGGTGCGTCTTGCAGGGGGAAGAGCTGGGGGTTGTTGAAAAGATGGTCTGCGTGGAGCACGTCTCGCAGGCGAGCTCGGATGTTGGAGGCGGCCCCTTCGAGCACTCGTGAATAGCTTTCAAGCACTGCCTTTCCAATGTCCTGGTGGTGAAGGGAGGGAGAGCAAGAACGGGGAGAACAACGGGAGGGTGTGAGAAGGGAGAGCCGCGTGGGTGCAGGTGCTTCTCAGAGGGCGCGTCTTGCAGGGGGAAGAGCTGGGGGTTGTTGAAAAGGTGATCTGCGTGGAGCACGTCTCGCAGGCGAGCTCGAATGTTGGCGGCGGCACCTTCGAGCACCCGGGAGTAGCTCTCCAGAACGGCTTTCCCAATGTCCTGGAGTGGGGAGGGCAGGGAGAGCAGGACAAAGCAGAAGGAAGAGAATAAAGCGAGGGAGTGAGAAGAAAGGAGAGCACAGGTGCTGTGGGTGCCTCTCATGAGACTGTCTGAGACGGGGATCTTGCAGGGGAGAGAATGCTATTTTGGCAAGATCCATGGTGGTTTGAGGGAGGTCAGGCCACGTGCGGCAGATGGCAGCGAGGCATGATGCCACTCAATCCCCCCAAAGAGATAGCACAGCCAAACACAATCGAATGCCTGACTCCCCCTCTTCCTCACCCGGTTGAATGCGATCTTGGCAAGGTCCAGAGTGGTTTGCGGCAGGTCGGGCCACATGCGGCGGATGGCAGCGAGGCACGATGCCACCCGCTCCAGATTCTCCTCCAGGCGCATGATCTCGCGGCTGCTAGTGGACAAATAACTGCCGCCCAGCGTGTGCGTGAGATACGGCTCCCTGTGATGGCCAGAGTGACACGGTGAGGGAAGGGGTGGGAGATCGGGTTTTAAGATAACAAACATGGGTGTTCCTTCAGTTTAGGGGCAAATGTTTGGGAACTGTAAGGTGGACAATAACTGCTTTTCAAAGGGAGGGATTAAGGGGCACGAGAGGAGTTTAGAATGATAACTTGGAAAAACAGGAGAAGGTAAGGAGGAGGGAGTGGGGGGGAAAGTTTGGGGGGCGTGGGGGGGGGTGTTGGAAGAGGAGGGATTTGAGAAGGTAGAGCTGCCACAATACACCGTGCTGAACCACATCGAACCGCATCATACCTGGCTGCCTGAAGCTGCCTGATCCAAATCTGCTGTGCTGCTTCCATCTTGCATGCCAGCTTCAATGCCGCCTTATGAGCGCAGCACCTCACACGACAGCACTGAACTGGACCACATCATACCACATTGCACCGCATTGAACCACGCTGTACCTGGCTGCCTGAAGCTGCCTGATCCAAATCTGCTGCGCTGCTTCCATCTTGCATGCCAGCTTTAAAGCCGCCCTTTGATTGCTCAAATCCACTGCGCTGAGCACTTTATCCTCGTTATAAGGCGTGGAGAGCAGCAGATTGTACACTCTGTCCCCCAGTATTGCCTTCAAGCTCTGTGTGGAAAAGGGAAAGGGAGATGGGGAGGGGAGAGGGGAGGGACACGGGGAGGGGAGCGGAGAGGAAGAGATGAAGGGAAATAGGGGATGGGAAGGGGTTGGTGGTTTACCGGCAAGGATTAGCGTGTGCGTGCGTGCGAGTATGCACTTGTGTGTGTGTCTGCGTGCGTGCGAGTATGCACTCGTGTGCGTGTGTACACGCATACCAACACTGTCTGTTCCTCGCCTACCCACCTTGGGCAACCGTTGCAGAAACGCGTCTGGAACGTCCATGTCTTGAACCACTTGCTGGTTGATGAACATGCACGCTCTGACATGCCAAGCCAAGTTGCCATCACGCCGTGGGTGGGCACCACACGCGTACCTTGGGGAGTCGTTGCAGGAAGGCATCTGGAACGTCCATGTCCTGAAGCACCTGTTGATTGATGAACATGCATGCCTTCATGATCCGACTCGTTTTGCCCCACCCACGCCCCACACCTGTTCTCAGCGTTTCCATCCCTCTTTCCCCAAGCACAAACCTTGGGCAGCCGTTGCAGAAACGCGTCTGGAACATCCATGTCTTGAAGCACTTGCTGGTTGATGAACATGCACGCTTTCATGATCTGACTCGTCTTCTCCGACTGCTGCTCCAGCCACCTTCTCAGGTCCTCTGATAACCCCACTCTCATTCGCGGCTTCACTTTCCACCGCCACGGCACCCCCCCTCCTCCTGCTCCTCCTGCTGCTGCCGCTCCTGCTCCTGCTCCCGCCCCTGCCACTGCCCCACCTGCTCCTCCTGACCCACCATCACCACCGCCATCGCCACCACTGCTACCGCCGCCGCCACCGCTGCTGCTGCTGCAGATGCAATCACTATCCGCTTTCCCAGCTGCCTCCTTCGACCTGCCCCTCACAAACGCCCCTAGGTCGTAGCTGCGGCTCCCCATTCTCCCCGTCGTTCTCCTCCTAACAAGCTCCTTCACACCACCACTACCACCACCACCACCAGCAGCACCAGCAGCAGCATTGCTGGTATTACTATTGTTGTTATTGTTTCCAGAAGTGGCAGTAACGGAGGTGACTGTAGAGGAGGAGGTGTATGAGCGGGAAAACCCCCAAGATGAGCTTATAGAGGGGCTAGACCCGCCAGAGTTCATCCCCTCGCCTCCTCCCTCCTGCTGCTGCGTCTGCCGATCCCCCCCCTTCTTCTGCTCCTTCTCCTGCCCCCCCTCCTTCTGCCCCTTCTCCTCCGGCTGTTCCGAACCTGATCCCGAGCCTGATCTCGACCTTGATCGCGAACCTGATCCCGAACCTGATAACGGACCTGATTTCGAACCTGATCCGGACCTCGGTATTGGGCAAGGCCCAGGAGCACTGGAGGCACCAGAATGAGCAGCAGTGGAACCTGGAGCATCACGGCTTGGTTCCCCCTCCCTGCCACTACTCACACCAGCGCCAGCAGCTGCGTCTGCAGTAGCAGCAGGAGCAGGAGTTGTAGCAGCAGCTGTAGCAGCGGGAGCAGCAGGAGCACCAGCAACAGGGGGAGCATCAGCAGCAGCGGCAGCGGGAGCATTGGCAGAAGCAACAGCAGCAGCAGCAGCAGCGGCGGCAACGGAAGCAGCGGTAGCATTGCCAACAGAAGCAGAGGTAGGCAGCCTGCCCCCTCGCACCCCTCTCCCCCCTCTCCCACCCATCCCAACCGCACTCACATCCTCTCTACACCTCAGCCTGGCAGCATACTCCTTATCCACCTCTGCAAAGTCCCCACTCTCGCGCCTTTCTGTGGGTGCAGAGATGCTCCTTCGAAACTGATCCTCCAGCGCTTTGGTATCTAAAACGTGCTCCTCCTCCTGCTGCTGCTGATCTCGCTGCTTTTCCTGCTGCTCCTCCTGCCGCTCCTCCTGCTTCTCCTGCTCCCCCTGCTGCTCCTGCTCCTGCCTCTCCTGCTGCTCCTGCTCCTGTTGCTCTGCTGAGTCGAGGCCAAATGGAAAGTCCTCCTCCCTTTGCTCCCCACCGTTGCTGCTTGCACTACCACCACGCATCCCACTCAACCCACTCCCACCGCTCGCTCCACTATCTCCTCTACTGCTTCTTCCCCCTGCTCTATGAGAAATAGCTTCTTTGGATTCCATCCCCCTTATGGTTTCGCTCCCACCTTCTCCTGCTGCTGCTGATCCCTTTTCCGACCCTACCCCTCCATCTTCCGACCCTATTCCTCCCCTTTCCGAACCTGCCCCTCCTTCCGACCTTATCCCTCCCTCTTCCGATTCTCCTGCCACGTCAGCATGCAGATCAAAATCACGATCCACAATATCCCCATCCACGTCATCACCATCATCATCCACGTCATCCTCCTCCTCCTCCTCCTCCTCCTCCTCCTCCTCTTCCTCCTCTTCCTCTTCTTCCCTCGGCTCTTGCCCTCCCACCACCTCGTCTTCATAGTAATACTCATTTGATGTGCTCTGATCTAGTATGCTCTGGTAAATAAGCGCGGCGTGTTGGGGTGAGGGGGAGAGGGAGGGTGATGGGGAGAGGGAAAGGATGGGAGGAGAAGGGGCGGGAGCTTTTCAGGCTGGACATTTGCCCTCATAGTCTTCCCGCCACATCGTCATCATAGTAAGTTGACTCGACTCAAACGTTGACTCAGAAGTCAACTCAAAAGTCAACTCAAGAGTCAACTTTTGAGTCGACTCAAAAGTCAAAGGGACGGGAGTTTGTCAGGCTGGACGTTTGCCCTCATAGTCTTCTTACCACATTGTCCTCATAGTAATGAGACGATTTTTGAGTTGACTCAAAAACCGTTCTCATAGTAATACTCATTTGATGTGCTCTGCTCTAGTATGCTCTGGTTACAAGGGGGGGATGGGTGGGGGGACACGGGAGGGCGAGGGTGGGAAGGGAAGAGTCACACACAAACCATGCCCACACACGCCATGCCCCACATGCACCCTGCTCCACGTACACCCTCCCCACGCACCTGCAGCAGGTGGTCTAGCTTGTTGAGTGCTGGGAGGTTGATTCGCAGGTCCTCCCTCACTCTCCGCTTCATCACCTGCCATTTCAGAGGCAGGGGCGACAGAGGAGCGAGAATAGAGAAGGGTGGTGGTGGAAAGTTAGTTTTGGAAAATAAAAAATGGCTCCCTCTATCTTCATTCAATCGACTCCCCACCACCCTCGCAACCACCCTCCAGTGCCCTCCACCCCCTCCTCACCTCGAATCGTGTGCCATCAGGCCGTGTTTGCCAACCAGGAGCCAGCTCAACGATGTGTCGACACACCGACACACCATGATGCCCATCTCCCTGCTATCATCTTCCCCACCCCACTCCTGCTCTTCACGTTCCCTACAGGCCCCACCCCTTCCCTCGCACCTCGAATCGCGTGCCATCAGGCCGTGTCTGCCAGCCAGCTGCCAACTCCAAAATATGCCGACGCACCCACACAATGATGCCCATCCCACGCCGCCACTTGCTCAAACACACTGCCTCCGTTCCCCACTACTCCTTACCCGTGCCATCACCCACCGGACCTCGAATCTGGTCCCATCTGGTCGCGTCTGCCAGCCTGGCGCCAGCTCAACGATGTGTCGACACACCGACACCATGATGCCCATCTCCCTGCTCCCGGCTCCCACTGCCCACCACCCTCCATTCCTCTCCACCACTCTTCACTCCTCCTCACCTCAAACCGGGTGCCATCAGGCCGTGTCTGCCACCCAGGTGCCAGCTCCACAATGTGTCGACACACTGACACCATGATGCCCATCTCCCGCCTCCACTTGTCCTTGTCCTCCTCCCTCAGTGGCCGCAGCCGTAAACTGTCTCCAAACACAGACGCTGGGATAAAAGAGGGGAGGATAGGGACAACTTTCACACACCGACACCATGATGCCCATCTCCCGCCGCCACTTGCTCTTGTCCTCTCTCAGTGGTCGCAACCGCAGGCTGTCGCCAAACACGGACGCTGAGGGGGATCGAAGCAAAGGGAGAGAAGGTAGAGAAACCAGGAGTACGTTTTCGAGGGAGCGACGGGCTGAGAAACCGAGGAGGTTTCAAAAATGGCCACAAGAATCCAGAAAATCCACTCACGCACCTGAGACTCTGGTGATTGCGTTAGCCATGGCGAAGGCAGGCCCGCAGCCCTTAGCAGCTTCAATCCACCTGGGAGTGTGTAATCCACCTGAGAAACCACCTGACGCACCTGAGACACTGGTGACAGCGTTCGCCATGGCGAAGGCAGGCCCGCAGCCCTTAGCAGCTTCAATCCACCTGGGAGTGTGTAATCCACCTGAGAAACCACCTGACGCACCTGAGACACTGGTGACAGCGTTCGCCATGGCGAGGGCAGGCCCGCAGCCCTTAGCAGCTTCTATCCACCGCAGACTGTGTCAACCACCTGAGAAACCACCTGACGCACCTGAGACGCTGGTGATGGCGTTAGCCATGGCTAGGGCGGGTCCGCAGCCCTTGGCGCCTCCCGAGGGGTCGTCCCCTAACAGCAGCTTCGAGAGGCGCTCCCTCATCAGCTCCAAGTCTGGTTGGGAGGGGGTGTGAAGGGGTATGAATGGGTGTGAATAGGTGTGAAGGGGTGTGCGCGGAGGGCAGGCCCGCAGCCCTTGGCGTCTCCCGAGGGGTCGTCTCCTAACAGCAGCTTCGAGAGGCGCTCCCTCATCAGCTCCAAGTCTGGTTGCCGATGGGTGTAAATAGGTGTGAATAGGTGTGAATCGGTGTGAATTTTGTGAAGGGAAGGGACGGGAGGAAAGAGGAAAGGAGGATAGGGAGGGGGCCAAGATAGGGGAGAAGGGGGAAAAGTTGGTCCTTGCTCAATGGCGGGTGAAACCCTAAATTGGCGGGATACGAGAATGTGAGGAGGGGAAGGGCAGGTGAAGGGAGGAGAGAGGGGAGGTGAAGGGAAGAGAAAGAGGAAAAGGTGTGTCTTACTCAATGGCGGGGGAAACCCTAAGTTGGCGGGAGGCGAAAATGTGAGAGGGGGAGGGACAATTCTTAGTCCGACGAGAAAATTCCCTTATGCAATGGCAGGAGAAACCCGAAAACGGAGAGAGACGATAATAAGAGTAGGGGGAGGGCGAGCGAGGTTGCTGACAGATGTAAAGAGCACTTGACTGACGGAGGCAACGAAACTGCCGGAAACGGAAACTGACGGAGGCAACGAGACTGACGAAACCCTAGAAACTGACGGTGATGACGGAAGTGATGGATACGGAGAGTAGCGGAGGCAACGTTATCCCTCACGAGAAGCCTCAAATTGCCATCGTTTGCGCCTGTCTATACACCTTGAAAAATAACCATAACCATGTTCGAAGAAGCGTGTTCGGAGGAATGTGCATTGAGCAGCGCGCGATCAAGCGAGTCTCGCGCGTTTCGTTTCGCAAACTGGGCAAATGCGCGAGTCTACGCGCCCATGAGACAGCTGCAGAATGGACCTTCTTTCGACCATCCTTGGAGGAACGTTCTGATCTTACCGTGGAGGTCCTTGGTAATATCTCGGGAATATCCTCACATTGACGGTTTTTAGGGTTACTCCTGACAGTGACGGTTCCAGGAAGGACGTTCTTCTCTTACCTTGACGAACCTTGACGGACCTCCCCACTTTACCGTGGCGGTCAGTGGGGACATGATATATCGTGGACGCGTAGAATAGAAGCGGGTTCTCCCCCTGTCGTCAGCGTTTGACTCGACTCAAAAGCCGAAACCTGACGGACATTGACGGGCTTTGACTGTCCTTGACGGACACCGACGGACACCGACGAACATTGACGGACATTGACGGACATTGACGGATCTTGACGGACCTTGACGGACCTCTCCGCCTTACCGTGGCGGTCCTTGGGAATATAATCTTCGACGGCGAGATCGGGATCATCGTAGAACAACGTGTTATCGTCGGCCTCGTTAACCGACGTCAATGCTGATCCTGCCGCTGCCATTGGTCGGCGAAAACCTTCGCGAGCAGTAACGAGATGTCGAGCGGTGACTATTTATCTGTGGTAACCATCTGAAAGTGGTGTATGTAGACGAGGTCGTCGTCTGATGCACGTCGTAACATAACCTACGGATGTTGAATACTGCGACTGTTTAGGAATCGGATAAATACCACCCGAAGTCGGCTGGCTCGAAACAAAAAAACGAAAGAAATGTTTCTTCTGTAAGCCGTTTCGAATGTCATCAGGGAGCTACATTCGAGACAGTCTCCCGTCAGAAATTCTTGCCAATGCCTGGAAGACTAAGGCAACGACACACTACATCTACCTACAATGGCGAACTAATCGCGAAAGAGCAACGGGGAAACCTTCAGAAGACGCATCGAACATTGAAAGCTGACGATGGCATTCTAGCTGCTTCGACGGTATATTCCCGACACGTAATAGTAGGCCAGAAGCAATCCATCTGAGCCATAAAAGTTATGTCAGGCCAGTGGAAACTGAGGCTGGGACTGCTGCTAGTGTGAAGCGAATCGGCTTTTAGACGTTGGGTAGTTGTTGGTCGGCGGGGGCACGGTTGAACAGGGCACGCGAGGAACAGCGATGCAGCAGCGCAAGTCAAGGAAACGAAGAGCGCAGCAGGCGCAGTTGGTGTTCGTGAGATGGGAGCAGTTGACTAGTAGACGAAAAAGCAAATGAGAGAATGATAAAGAAGAGGGGGACGGCAGCAGCGGTGCTGGGTCTAGCTAGGCTTGAGGCTCTTGTCTCTTTCCTCGTCTCCATGTTTGCATTTGTGATTGGTAGTTGGCCGCCATAGCTAGGTTCTGTCTGCCTTCAGTCAGACCTGGAGGACGATTACCTTGGGAGTTGGTGAGTTTCGCTAATAGTGCAAAACTGTCGCACACTATCTTTCGCGAGCAGCCCCGCTTCTCGGCACCCTAGACACCAAACCAACCTGACGGAAGATTGGTGGCGAGCGAGCGCCTTTGATCGACGAAATTCATCAGGGTTACTGTATTGTTAGCAGGGAGATTTCGTCGTCACACGTCGCAACGCTGCAGCACCACCTGCACTTTCCTCACCCTGACTGTCGTCATTTGTCGATATATGGTAACTTTGTGCGGGAGAAGCATCAATTCGGGGAAAGAGCGAAACGCGCGAAATGTAACTGGTTACGCATACGACAAAAGCGCTCAAGGTTTTCCAGCTGGCAAATCTGTCAGAAGTGGTGGTGGTGACGGGGTGAGTGAGCCCAACTGTATTGACGAGTGGTTGACTTTCTCGGCGCCAAGCGGAGGCCTGCCCAAGTGGGCTGCTGTCAGGGCAGGACTCAGGTGGCGGGAAGGATCACTCACAAGTCCGACTTTCGTTTGTTCAGTAAGATATAGAGCTTGAACTTTCAAAGAGTTCGATAGAAACATGACAGCACGCCCATAACAATAGGCAGGCAGTACGTAAAGCAAATGATATGGCACGGACCGTGCACACAGCAATCCTTGAGAAAGGTTATCAAGCAACAATGGAGTTGAAGGCGTCACGCATTTCCCGAGAAGACGGGCTGATAGCTTCGTTCGCATAGCACTTGGCCACCACAGCCTCCAATTCCTCGTATCGCTCCATAAAGCTCTCCTGATCACATGAACAATTTCCCGTGTACAGTGATTTGAAAATCACGCCAGTAGAATTGAGAAACTGAGACAGAAATGCAGGAGTAGTATCAACTCGCCATCTACTTACGTGAGTATGTGAAGTGTAGAGGCACGCCCTTTGATTTCTTTGGAACCGCCCACATAACACTCAACAATGATGCAACCGTATAATTACATCCTCTACTCAGTGATGCGTGCTCACCTGACATTTGAGCCGAAGCGAGGGACGTTTGTAGGTGCCCGTTTGTAAGCTACCTCAACAACCACACTCTTGAAACTATTTGAGGTGCCACATCAACAACCGGACATATGGGCCCATCTACTTAATAAGCGGTGCTCACCTGGTCTGTTCTAGCAAGGCATGCGACTTAACAAACATAGTAGGAGAAGGTTACTCAATGAGAGGTCCTATACTCACCTGGCATTTGAGCCAGAGCGAGGGAAGCAGGTCTCCCGATGTGAGATTCTTCCTCATCTTGTTGAACATGGAGTTGAGTGATCGGTCCACCTGCACCCATTCACCAGGAGAGAGAGAACAAAACAAAACAAAGGAAAGCAATCAACCACACTCTGTTGAACATGGAATCTAGCCCCCGGTCCACCTGCGACAATTCATTACAAATCCAAGGTTTCCAGGCAACTAAGCATGCTACCACGAATTGCGGACTAGAGAGAGCAACAAACACTGGACAGTTGCAACCGCAGCAGCAACTTTTTTTTACCATAAGGACTTACACGCTCCCAGCCAGCTTACCCCGGTGAGTTGGGACTTGAGCACTTTCCGCAGGTCAGCTTTGCTGAAGCCGATTTGGAACGGAATCTGAAACACACGAAAGAACATGGGAAAGCACATGGCACCGTGGGGAAACAAGAGGAGACCATTACGCTTCATGCGATCCGAATCCATAACCCCTTGAGCAATTCGCATGGGCTACAGGTGGTCAGTCCTGCTTGTGTGTCGGATCAAAAGAGACATCGGGGTTGAGTTGAAATGGACACAGAAGCCCAAACGGTACACGGGGACACGGCAGCCGACTTTTGAGGCGCCTCAAACGATACATGGGGACACGGGAGCGGAGCCGTATGCAACACAAACAAGTGCGGTGCGCGCCAGAGATGAAACAGGAGAGCTGACACCACGAAAGCACTAGGAGAACTACTGCACGATGGAAGGTTGCTGTGGTATGGCTGAAAAACCTCCTCTGTTTCAATGGTCTGCAGCAGGTTCTTGATCACAAGGGCACGATGGGAAGTCGTTGTGGTTTCAATGAGGGGCGTGAAGGTTGTTGTGGTATGCTTGACGTACCTCCTCTGTTTCAATGGTCAGCAGCAGGTTCTTGATCTTCTGCAGGTAGTCAAACAGCTTGTCGAAATTCTGCAAGGAAGTGTAGGGTTGGGGAAAGGAACGGTGCAGGTGGGATCACATCGATTGGAATGGTCAGCAGCAGGTTCTTGATCTTCTGCAGGTAGTCAAACAGCTTGTCGAAATTCTGCAAGGAAGTGTAGGGTTGGGGAAAGGAACGGTGCAGGGGGGATCACATCGATTGGAATGGTCAGCAGCAGGTTCTTGATCTTCTGCAGGTAAGTCAAACAGCTTGTCGAAATTCTGCAATGGTAGAATCGTAAGGATGTGTTGAGTATGGGGACAGGACCGCGCAATGAAACATATTGCAATGATCAGAAGCAAGGCTGTTATGTTCCCATTGTAATTCCTTGCATGCAGAAACACGTGCAGAGGCAGATGCGAGCTAGATGCATAGAAAGTTTATCTGGGGAACGAGCACTGCTTTTGAGTCGACTCAAAAGTCAAATTATCTGAGGAAAGAGCACTCACCCCGAAGATGACTGAGTCGATGTAGCGTGTGCATGCTGTCTCGTATACTGCTGGTAGAAGAGGCACTCCCCTCTCTCCCAGTCACTTCCCCCCTTCATGCAGTCCCTTCGGTCATGCACGACCACAACCAGAGACAAAGAGCACTCACCCCGAATATGACAGAGTCGATGTAGCGCGTGCATGCCGTCTCGTATGTCTCACTGGACTGCTGGTAGAAGAGGCGCAGCGTGGGGATGGTGCCCGCCAGGTCGTACGTGCTGTTCGGGGGGGGAGTGGGGGGGGTGGTAGGAGGGGGGGATGGAAAGGATGCATGGGACACAGCGGGGTTGAGTGCACGAGAGAGCAGAAGCTGTGCCGTCTGTACGTTTCACTGGACTGCTGGTAGAAGAGGCGGAGCGTGGGGATGGTACCCGCCAGGTCGTACGTGCTGCATGGGGGGAAGTGGACAGGTGAATGGGAACCGAAAGGAGTGGGATGAGGGAATGGCATTCGTGCAGTGAGTGCACGCTGTCTGGTAGAAGACTCACTGGACTGCTGGTAGAAGAGACGAAACGTGGGGATGGTGCCGGCGAGATCATACGTGCCGTGGGAGGGGTTCGGGGAATTAGGGAAGAGACGGGCCCAAAGGAGAGAGACAGAGAGCCAGCGAGGTGAGGGAGTGGCATCTTCCATACGTCTCATTGAATTGCTGGTAGCTATTCATAGGTTTTGCAAATAGAGTCCGAATGATGCAATGTGGGAACGGTGCCTGTGAGTCCATAGGCGCTGCAAAGAGAGTATGGATGGGGGGACTGGGAAAGATGATTGGGAACCAGAAGGAGCGAGATGATACCTTCGTGGGTGGAGGGATGCACCAAGATTCGTACACAAAACGGTGCCTCATGTGTTCAATGATCAATCTACCTGTTCTGGAAGGAGGTGACTTTTGAGTCGACTCAAAAGTCACCTCCGAGCAGCAAGAGTCGTACACAGACAGAACAGTGCTCCATGTGTTCAATGATCAAATACCTGTTCTGAAAGGCCGCGTGATTCTCCAGCAGCAGCACGTCGCAGTGCTTGGGGTCGATCTGAGCTATGCGGTCCAGCGTAGAGAACATGGTGCTCACCTGGTGGGGGGGGAGGGTGGGGGAAAGAGGGGGAGTGGGGGTGGAGGGATGGGGGAAGAAGGGCACCAAAGAGGGCAGTGCTTGGGGTCGACCTGAGCGATGCGGTCCAGCGTAGAGAACATGGTGCTCACCTGGTGGTGTGGGGATGGGGGAGGGGAGGGGTGAGAGCGGATTTGGGATGTAGGAGGAGAGAAACAAGGCCCAAGGATGCCAAAGCAGTGCAGTGCTTGGGGTCGATCTGAGCGATGCGGTCGAGCGTAGAGAACATGGTGCTCACCTGGTAAAGGGAAATGGGGGAGGGGGGGTGGGGGGAGAGGGGACGTCAAGGGGGGAGGGAGTGCAGGGCGAAAGAGAGGGGGTTATGGGGAGGAAAGGGCACGTCGCAGTGGTTGGGGCCGATCTGAGCTATGAGGTCCCTAGTTGAGAACATGGTGCTCACCAACTCTCCCCCCCTCGCCCCCCCTTCCTCCTCTCCATCTCACCAGCTTGTTATAAGCCTGGTCCACCAGGTCTCTGCACGTGCCCATGACCAGCCCCTACATTCGCACCGCCATCACATCCTAGTGCCCTCTCCTACCCCCCTATTCCCATCCCAGTATGCCACCATACCGGCCCCAGTGCCTCTCTCTCACCAGCTTGTTATAAGCCTGGTCCACCAGGTCTCTGCACGTGTCCATGACCAGCTCCTCCATGCGCACCGCCAAGGTTGCAACCCTGCAACAGCTAGCAACCCAGGGAGCTTCTGTCAACCTTGCACCCCCCCCCCCCCCCACCCTTGCTCCCATGCCTCACCAGCTTGTTATAAGCCTGGTCCACCAGGTCTCTGCACGTGCCCATGACCAGCCCTTCCATTCGAACCGCCAGCGCTGCAAAGCGAGGCACGTAGGACAGCACTCCCGCCTGCTTTACACCCCTGTCGTACCGCTCGATTTGCCCATTGGCCTCTTCCACATACTGCGAGGGAGAGAGAAACAACGGACGGGGGAAGGGGAGATGAACGAGGCAATGAATGAGGCACGTAGGACAGCACCCCAGCCTGCTTCACTCCCCTGTCGTACCGCTCGATTTGCCCATTGGCCTCCTCCACATACTGGGGATGGTGGTAGTGGGGAGGTGGGAAGGAGGGTTCCGTTAGGTGGGTCAACAAGAGACTAGGAATCGAGGAACATAGGCCAGCACCCCCCTGCTTCACACACATCCTTGCCGTATCGCTCGATCTGTCCCAAAACCCTGAACCTAAACCCGAAACCCTGATATTACCCAAAACCTAAACTTTCAACCTCAAACATCCCTCGGTTCGCCCACTCACCCGGAAGAAGTTTTGCCTGATTCTGGTTTCCAGCTCGAGCAAAAGCTTCCTGGTAATAACCGCACCGCACCCCCCGGCATCCGCCCCGTGCTGCAGTTGAAGCTGTTGCTGCTGCTGCTGCCAGGCCTCTGTGTGTCCCACGAGAGTGATGCAGCGCAGAGGGTCGACCTTGAAGACCCACTCCACCATGGCCACAAAGTCCTCGTGGATCCCTTCAAACAGCTGCTCCGCTGCTGCCGCTAATGCTGCGGCGTCCTCGTCCGCTGGAAGAAAGGGGAAGGGGAAGGGGAGGAAGAGGGCAGGGTGGAAAACGGATTTTGCGAGTGAGTGCATGTGATGCAGGGGGTCGACCTTGAACACCCACTCCACCATGGCCAAAAAGTCCTCGTGAATCTTTTCAAATAGCTGCTCCGCTGCTGCTGCCAACGCTGCTGCATCCTCGTCCGCTGGGTGTGATTATAACAACGGAAAAGGGTAGGAGAGAGGAGGGAAGGGCGGGTGGGGAGGAGGTAAACCAGAGGAGAGAGAGGAGAGGAGAGTGAGAGAGTGCAGGGGAGAGGGAGGGAGTGATGCAGCGCAGCGGGTCGACCTTGAACACCCACTCCACCTTGGCCACAAAGTCCTCATGAATCCCTTCGAATAGCTGCTCCGCTGCTGCTGCCAGCGCTGCTGCATCCTCATCAGCTGGAGGGGAAGGGAGATTGTACCGGGGGAGAGAGGGGAGGAGAAGCGCAGAGGGTCGACCTTGAAGACCCACTCCACCTTGGCCACAAAGTCCTCATGAATCCCTTCGAATAGCTGCTCCGCTGCTGCTGCCAGCGCTGCTGCATCCTCATCAGCTGGAGGGGAAGGGAGATTGTACCGGGAGAGAGAGGGGAGGAGAAGCGCAGAGGGTCGACCTTGAAGACCCACTCCACCTTGGCCACAAAGTCCTCATGAATCCCTTCGAATAGCTGCTCCGCTGCTGCTGCCAGCGCTGCTGCATCCTCATCAGCTGGAGGGGAAGGGAGATTGTACCGGGGGAGAGAGGGGAGGAGAAGCGCAGAGGGTCGACCTAGAAGACCCACTCCACCATGGCCACAAAATCCTCGTGAATTCCCTCAAACAGCTGCTCCGCTGCTGCCGCTAATGCTGCTGCATCCTCATCAGCTGGAGGGGGAGGGGAGATTGTACCGGGGGGAGTGGGGAGAAAGGAGGAGAAGCGGAGGGGAAGGGACCTTGAACACCCACTCCACCATGGCCACAAAGTCCTCGTGAATCCCTTCAAATAGCTGCTCCGCTGCTGCTGCCAACGCTGCTGCATCTTCATCAGCTGAAGGTGGGGATTGTTACCAGGGAGGGAAAGGAGAGAGGGCGAGGGAGGGAGTGATGCAGCGCAGAGGGTCGACCTTGATTGAACATTCACTCCACCATGGCCACAAAGTCCTTGTGAATGCCCTCAAGCAGCAGAGAAACTGCTAGAAGAAGGCAGGCAGGTATGTATGCGTTCACATCACACAGGCAAGCGTGCAAGTGAACGCACACGGAAACACCTATACATTCCGGCATAGTCAGGCTCACTCACACATGGGCTCTTCATCCTCGTCTGCTGCTGGGGAGAAGCAAAGGAACTGCTGGAAGAACAGACCCTGTAGCAGTGAGGAAACAGGTGGGAGGGAGGGATACGGAGGGGTAGGGAGGAAAAGAGAGGGGCAGGGAGTGAAACTGAGGGCGAGAGAAGTCAATGCAAAGGTGAGCAGGGAAGAAGCAGAGGAACTGCTGGAAGAAGAGACCCTGTAGCAGTGACGAAACAGGAGGGAGGGAGGGAAACAGAGGGAGAGAAAAAAACCGGAGGTGTTTGCATGCGAGAGTGTCGCTGGCATGGCTCCATTGGAGCCAGCAGCAGGCGGCCTGTTACCAGACTCACACACGTGATGCCTCGCATACATGATGTCTCACACACACACATCCTTAGACCCACCTCCTCAGAGATAAGAGGCAGGAACGCGCGGAGCATCTTGGCAAAGGCATCGCTGGCAGCCTGGGAGTCAGCAGCAGGCGGCAGGGCAGCACTGCCCTGCTCATCAGTCACACTCTCCACACTCACAGTCCCTTCACTCAACTCAAATCAGTCACGTAGTGACGCACCTCTTCAGAAATCAGGGGCAGGAATGCTCGCAGCATCTTGGCAAAGGCGTCGCTGGCAGCCTGGGAGTCAGCTGCAGGCGGCAGGGCAGCACTGCCCTGCTCGAGGAAGGGAGGGGCCGTGCTGGTCTTGGCTGAAACACGCGCTGATGCACGGAGGTCAGTTGAGAACTCACGAGCCTGAGTGGTGGGGAGGGTGGGGAGTGAAGGGGGCAGTTGACATTTAGCGCTGCAGAACCCAGGGCGGCACTGCCTAGCTCCAGGAAAGGCGGGGCTGTGTTGGTCTTGGTTGAGACACGCGCCGATGCATGGAGATCAGTGGAGAACTCACGAGCCTGAGAGGTGCGGAGGGAGGGGAGTGATTGGGCAGTTGGCAGATGGAGACGAAGGTAAATGAGGGGGCGGTTGGCAGACTGTGGAAGGCAGAGGCAGCGCTGCCCTGCTCGAGGAAAGGCGGGGCTGTGCTGGTCTTGGCTGAGACTCGCGGACCTGAGAGATGGAACCATTATCTACCAGGGTGACTTTTGAGTCGACTCAAAAGTTGGCTGAGACTCGCGGGCCTGAGAGATGGAATGGAACCATAATCTACCAGGGTCACATCTCACCTCGCGCCTGAGCAGCATGTTGAGTGAGTGGATGTACGCCTGTTCGAGGGAAGGGTTGAATGATCACATATCATCTACATGCCACCTGCACCGTACATACAGCATGCCACGAGCACCTCTCTCTCTCACCTCGCGCCTGAGCAGCATGTTGAGTGAGTGGATGTACGCCTGTTTGAGGAAGGGTTGAATCATCACGTATCATCTACATGCCACCTGCACCGTACATACAGCATGCCACGAGCACCTCTCTCTCTCACCTCGCGCCTGAGCAGCATGTTGAGTGAGTGGATGTACGCCTGTTTGAGGAAGGGTTGAATCATCACGTATCATCTACATGCCACCTGCACCGTACATACAGCATGCCACGAGCACCTCTCTCTCTCACCTCGCGCCTGAGCAGCATGTTGAGTGAGTGGATGTACGTCCGCCGAATGTTGTCCAACACGTTGGGATCCAGCTCCTGGGAGAGGGGTGCAGGCGGAACGGGGGGGAAGATGCAGGTAGGAAGGGGGTTGGTCGTGAAACGTCTGAGCAGCATATTGAGTGAGTGTGTGGATGTATGTCCAGCGAATGTTTGGATGGATTGCCCTTGTTATAGTCATCCTTGTTATAGTCAACCTCGTTATAGTCAACCTCGTTATAGTCAACCTCGTTATAGTCATCCTCGTTATTGTCATCTCGTTACAGTCACCTTAAGGCAGTGGATGAGCTGGGTGTAGGCGGACCATCTGCGGTGCAGCTCCCTATGATCAGGCGGGCCCCTCTGAGACTTCTGCTCTCCATATAGTCACATTGGCAGGGGGAACGGCAGGAAGGAATGGCACAGTAACAAGAGGATATTACTTCTGTCACAATCATATTGGGATGATGATGGATAGGAAAGGGATGAGAGAAGAGATATGGAGATTTAGAGAAGAGAAAAGTGATGCAAGACAGGTTTTTTGCATGGTGGGTGGAGGGATATGCAAGAATTGTCAGCTACCCGGCCAATCAAACCTATCCCGTTGCCCAGCCAAGACTCACATTGAAGCAAGTCAAGGAACGCTGGTGGTAACCGCAATTCTTCAAAATGTGAATTCGAATTTTTATTCTTCATACGAGGCACCAATTCTTCGAAACTCCCGTTATCAGGCAACTTCATCATCGGTGTGAACCGAGACGGGGTGAGTGGTTATCTCATCCGTGGATAACCATTCACGGATGAGATAACCACTCACCCTGTTTCGATTCACACCGATGATGAAGTTGCATGATAGCGGGAGTTTAAAGGTGTTGGTGTCTCGAATGGAATAAAAACTCAAACTCACATAAGATTTGCGATTACCACCAGCAATCCTTGTATTGCTTCAATATGATAATGAAATTGCCCCAACCAATTACCCTATCCTACGCATCCCTGTGCCCAGCCGTACCGCAGCAGCCTCGACGGTGGAAGAAATGAAGGAGCGAATGAAATCAGTGGCCCGTCGCACGAAGCCATTCTTCAAGCTGTCGAGTTCAGCCTTCTTCTCCTGCACCTGGGGTGGGGAAAGGTGGGTACGGAGGAGGGTGGGTTTGGGTTGGGTGGGGGGTTGAATGTACTGAAAATGGTGACCTGATTTACAGAGATGTTTCTTCAAGCTGTCTAGCCCCCCACCTTCTTCTCCCAAATGGATTGAAGAGATACTGATTTGTGAGCAGCAACACGCTGACATGCATGCATGCATACATATACAGATGCACACATACATACATGCATGCATGTATCCCTTCCTTCTCATTAACCTACCGCGCACATGTTGACGTAATTCTCAACCAGCTGAGCGGGCCTCCAGCTATTCACAGTATCCAGCAGCCAGTGCCGATGCCCTATGGCTAGTACATACGTGCATTCATGCATGTATGCGGACCCATCATCATATCATACCGCGCGCATGTTGACGTAATTCTCGTCCTGCTGAGGCTGCTCCAGCTTCTTAACCGCGTCAACCAACCAACCCACAGCCTCGAGTGTGTCAGGCTTGGCTTGCTCGTCCGAATAGCCCGAGGAGAGCACGCGAATGCTGATGCACTCCCTATGCCATGAACCCATGCACACACACACATACCGCGCGCATGTTGACGTAGTTTTCATCCAGCTGAGGCTGCTCCAGCTTCTTGACGGCGTCCACCAGCCACCCCACAGCCTCGAGTGTGTCAGGCTTGGCTTGCTCGTCCGAATAGCCCGAGGAGAGCACGCGAATGCTGATGCACTCCCTGTGCCATGAACCCATGCACACACACACATACCGCGCGCATGTTGACGTAGTTTTCATCCAGCTGAGGCTGCTCCAGCTTCTTGACGGCGTCCACCAGCCACCCCACGGCCTCGAGCGTGTTGGGCATGGCTTGCTCGTCCAGGGAGCCCGAGGAGAGCACGCGGATGCACTGGGGCGGGATGTAGAGCGACTCGAGGAGAGTCTCGAGCTCCTCTAGAAGCTTCTTGTTGTTCTTCGCCTGCATCTCCAGCATGTTGTTCTGCGCCTCGATCTGGTGGGAAAGGGGGGAGAGGAGGGGAGGGGAGAGAAGACAGGAGGCGGAGAAGAGGGAAGAAAAAAAAAGGGGAAGTGGGTGGGGAAAAAGGGTGTGAGGTAACTGCAAAGCTCCTCCAGCAGCTTCTTGTTGTTCTGCGCCTCCATCTGGTGGTGGTGGGCTGGGGAAGGGGGGTGGGGGGGGTGGGGTGCCAGGAGGAGGGCGGGAGGAGAAGGGGAAGAAGGAGGTCTTGGGTGTGAGGGGAGGTTGGATTATACGCGTTTAGCGTATATACGCGTGTCGTATATACGCTACCGTATATACGCTATCCGCTAAGGGGCTGGTTTGGACATACGCTATTTCGGGCAGGGGGAAAACTTTCCCGGGCAGGGTTCAAAAATGCCGTGCTCAACATCGGGAAGGTATTCTATATTCCCACTAAGAATTTCGTAGCATTCTCCTAAGTCTGAACTGCGATTAGGGTGGGATGCGTAGTAGACACTAATCGGGATGAGCTTTGTTGGGAAGCGGGAAAGCAAACTAGTGGAAATGTCGAGTGGGGTTTGTTGGGGGGACATTTTTGACAGGTTGGAGTTCGTAGATGGGATGGGTTTCAATGCGGTACTAATCCAAATTGTAGATCTGAACTGCCAAACGCGATTGTAAGGCACATTCCCGCTTCCCTAGACCCCCGAATTGCATCTCGACTATGGCGAAATGCTCAACAGGAAATTCCGCATCTTTCCGTATACACAATTTTTTTCCCGGGCAGCCCCTAAAAAATTCTGGAAGCGTATAGCGTATTAGCTAGCGTATAGCGTTTTGCGTTTGAACGCAAGCGTACATACGCTAAACGCTTTAGGGTCTGAGCGTATATTCCAACATAGGAGGTAAGAAGTGGTGGGGACCAGGGAGATTATGCACGCACCAATTCAATGTCATTTGCGCATGTGATTCAGCTTCACGTTAAACACGTTGAGCCAATTCTCCATGTCCTCCACTCGCCTCCACTCGCTCTCCTCAAGCCTCTCTACAGTTCGCTCTCCTTCACCTCCCTTAAATCCTCTCCCCAAGACCCACTGACCAACAGCCAAGCCAACCATGCACGCACCGATTCAATATCATCCCTCATGTGCTTCAGCTTCATGTTAAACACGTTCAGCCAATTCTCCATGTCCTCCACTCGCCCCCCATGGGGCCCACTCTACCATCCACCCATCCCTCTCTCTACCTACCACTCACCGTTACCTCTCACCATCCCCTCACTCACTCACCGACTCAATGTCATCCCGCATGTGCTTGAGCTTCACGTTAAACACGTTCAGCCAATTCTCCATGTCCTCCACTCGGCCCCCTTGATTACCCCCTCCCTACCGCCCCTCTCTCTCTCTATGTCATGCACGCACCGATTCGATATCATCCCGCATGTGCTTGAGCTTCACGTTGAACACGTTGAGCCAATTCTCCATGTCCTCCACTCGCCCTGCCGCCTCATCCAGGCTGTCAACCACCTGCCAGTGCCACGTCAGCAGAACCATACAGTAACGAGGATTTCAACACCAGACCACATCAGCAAAATGGCTAGATACATAAACTTTAAGAGCAAATGCGAACGCAAAGGGCCCAAGAGAAAACACGTAAACCTTCCTTCTCCTCCCTCTTGTCCCACTCACCTCCTCCACCAGCGCCTCGCTTTCCAGAATGGCATGCACATTCGCGGCCTCCAATGCCCCCAGATCCCTGTCATGTACTGTCAGCTGAGTAAGAGTATACTTCCGCCCCACTCACCTCCTCCACCAGCGCCTCGCTTTCCAGAATGGCATGCACATTCGCAGCCTCTAATGCCCCCAGCTCCCTCTTCAGCCTCTCACTGAACGCCTCTGCCTCGTCAATGCCAATCACGTAGCTGGGGAGGGAAAGGAGGAGACGGAAAGGAGAGGGAGAGAGACAGAGGAAGTGAGCAGTGAGTGTAGCGAGCTCGATTCAGAGCTCCAGTGCATGCATCGGCCACTCCAACGCCCCCAGCTCCCTCTTCAGCCCTTCACTGAACGCCTCTGCCTCGTCAAACCCAATCACATAGCTGGGGAGGAAAAGAGGAGACGGAGGAAGTGAGCAGGGATTGTAGCGAGCTTGTTACAGAGCTTAAGCGCACTGAACCTGCTCTCACCGCACTGAACCGACTGTCACCGCACTGAACCGCACTCACGTGCCCAGCAGCGCCTCCATGTCCTCCTCCTCCACCTTGGACACCAGGCTGTCCTGCGCCATCATCGACTCACTCTCCACCCCCACCGCCTCGCTCTCCCCCTCCCACCCACCCAGAACCTGCTCTCACCGCACTGAACCTGCTCTCACCGTACTGAACCGGCTGTCACCACACAGAACCTGCTTTCACCGCACTGAACCGCACTCACGTGCCCAGCAGCGCCTCCATGTCCTCCTCCTCCACCTTGGACACCAGGCTGTCCTGCGCCATCATCGACTCGCTCTCCACCCCCACCGCCTCGCCCTCCCCCTCCTCTGTCAGCCGCGCTCCCCCTGGCAGCGACTTGGCGTTTTTCTGCCAGTTGGGGATGGGGGTTGGGGAGGGGTAGAGAACGGTGGAAGCCATCAGAAATGGTTCCATAATATCGCACTCGCCCTCCTCCGTCAGCCTCGCGCCCCCTGGCAACGACTTGGCGATTTTTCTGTACTGCAAGGGGTGGGAGTGGGGATGTGGGGTTAGGTAGTTCTTGTAGGTGTTGAGGTGCAACCAATCAATCCCCGAAAGAACACCAATTCACCGCACACGAATCGCACCCCCACCGCACCACACCCCATGCCACGCCACTCCACCTCACCCCACCCCACCCCACCCCACCCCACCCCACCCCACCCCACCCCACCCCACCCCACCCCACTCCCACAGCACCCCTCCCCATCGCAACCCACCCCACCCCACCCCACCTTGGCCCAGAGCGCGAGGTCGACCACGTCGAGCCCAATGACCTTGGGCAGCGTTTTCAGATAGTCCGTGCACATCTTGAAACGCCATTAACCTGTCTTACCGTACACGGGTCACACCCCCACCGCAACCCACTCCACCGCACCTCAACCCACCTTGGCCCAGAGGGCAAGGTCGACCACATCAAGCCCAATGACTTTAGGCAGCGTTTTCAGGTAGTCTTTGCACATCTTGAGCAGCAGAAACACGAGCTGATTCCTGTGGGTACGGTAGCGGGCAGCAATGGGGAGGACGGGATCAGATCAGCTGCCTTAGTCTCACACAGGGCAGCGTTTTCAGGTAGTCCTTGCACATCTTGAGCAGCAGAAACACGAGCTGATCCCTGTGGACGGGGTGGGGTCAGGACAGGAGCAGCAAAAGAAAACAGGGGGGGTGTGATAAGCGCATCAGAAACCCCTTGAGCTGCACATCTTGAGCAGCAGACGCACGAGCTGAGCTGGTTTCTGCAGGTGAGGATAGAGGGCGGCAACAAGGAGGCGAGATTAAATGGTTTAGCGGGGCACACTAAGCAGTGCTTGCGAATGTGTTCAAGCATGCATGTATTTATGTGAGAGCGAGCACTCCTGCCGTCGGTGGTTCATTAAGGCAACTTTTGAGTGCGTGTGTGCGTGCATGTGTGTGAGTGTGCTTGCATGTGCGCTTCCATGTGTGCATGCATGCATGAATGTGTGGGAGAAACGGCACACCTGTCATCGACTGTCCTTGTGGTCCATTGGGGCTGTGAGCTGTCCGATTTCTCGTCAAACACCTGGCAGCACGCCATTGGCGGAGAGAAAGAAGGAATCACACAGTGGTGAGAAGGAAGATGATGAGGTGAGATGCCGTGCATGTATGTGTTCTTCCGAGACGCACAAATAAGTATAGCCAGCTTAATGCTCGTGAGAGAGTGAGTGAATGAGTGAGTGAGTGAGTGAGTGAGTCAGTGAGTGAGTGAGTAAGTGAGTGATCGAGTGAGTGAGTGAGTGAGTGAGTGAGGCCGAGAGCCTACCAGGAGGAAGGAACGACCTGTGGAGTCACTGGTGACTAGCTCAATGCTCGTAAGAGAGAGTGAGTGAGAGTGAGTGAGCGAGAGTGAGTGAGCCATGACACGCCGGCAAGTCTCGTGCGAGCGAGAGCCTACCAGGAGGAAGGAGCGGCCTGTGGTGTCACTGGTGACCAGCTCAATGCTCGTAAGTGAGTGAGAGTGAGTGAGCGTGTGAGTAAGTAAGTGAAAGCGGCCTACCAGGAGGAAGGAGCGGCCTGTGGTGTCACTGGTGACTAGCTCAATGCTCGTGAGGGCGCCCAGTCGGTACGACTTGAGCAGCTGCGGGAGGAAGGGAGGGAGGCGGGGGGAGGTGGCGCGTGGGGAGACATGGTGGGACGAGTTTTGAGTCGACTCCAAACTGGCCTGTGGTGTCACTGGTGACTAGCTCAATGCTCGTGAGGGCGCCAGTCGATACGGCTTGAGCAGGTGGGTGGGGGAAGAGAGTTGCGCGTCAGCAGCGTGGGAGGAATAGTTAGGACTGGCAGGTTTGGACAAGATTTGTCAGGATTTTCGGAATGTAAGCGATTTCAGGAGGTGTTGGAATCAAAATGATTGATTAAATATATAAATAACACACACAAACATACATACACACACGCACGCACGCACGCACGCACGCACGCACACACGCACGCACGCACGCACGCACGCGCGCACACACAAACACACACACCCCCCCTACCTCTAGTCCTTGTGGTCCGGGCTTGATGATGTGGATTTTTGGCTTCTGCTTTCCCGTGTTCTCCTTGCGCCTCACTGCCAGTGTAATCGGGAATTGACACAACAACGAGTGATTTGCAGCTTCAGATTGAGTCAGCCTCGTTCGTATCAGCAGCAAAGGCTACATACGACTTGCCTACAGTAACCTAAAAATGTTGTACCAGCCAACTGCGGTACACGACAGTGCTCACCGCCAATAGCGAGGATACGCGGCTTGCTCTGCAGTCGCCCGCGTCGCCCGGCGACGGTCCACGACGCCTGGTTCTTGGAGAGTTTCATCGCCATGAGAATCGTCTGCGACGGATCCTCCAGCAGCGCCTCCACCTGCTTCGTCAGGTCCGTGCTCCCCGCCATCGCGACGGCTGGCGAAACTCCGGCGAAATGCGACGAAAGCTAGCGAAGAAAAGGACCTTCGGACACTCGTGCCTGGCGGCAAACGCTGGTTACGACGACGGCAGATACCGAATCAGGAAAAGTGTTGTTATCGAATACCAATGTTCAATACTAAGTTCGCGAAAGCGCAGGGACAGTCGGAAACCTAGGAAGACGCAAGCGACGTTGCGGCTAGTAGTGTCCTAACAAACAGATGGTCGCTAGCGTCGCCAAGCTTCAAATGGAACACTAAAAGCGGGGTATAAAAATCAGGGAAGCTGCAGAGCAGTCACGCAAGTCGCGAAAAGGGTTACGAGCCGCGATGTAAGCGGTGTTGCGGGAAGCCAAGCTTTTTCGGAGGCTCGGAAGAGGCAGAGATGCGGCGTGGCATCTGCGAGGATTGCCAGAGTCGTCTATTCTCTACGAACGTAATATATTTCCCCAGGTTTGCGGCAGCTAGCAGGGCAATGTTCCGTGAGCTACGGGAATGGTAGAAGACCAAGCTAGCCGCTGCAGCTGACGAACCTAGATATTGACGGCGACGGCAGCCATATAATGTAGTGTGGAATGCCCTAAAAGACGACAATATCTGGGTTGAGAGACCGAGCGGGTTCACCCTGGATGTTGTCCGCGTTTGGGATTATGCTGGGATAGATATCAGTATGTCTTCATGTAGTGTGAAAATTTCATTACTACAATTATTTTATTTGCCATGTTACGGTTTTCACTCACCTAATACTGTACATTCCATGGTGGTTCATGTGTAGTTATCTCATATTGTGAACTCATCCAGCTTTGGGATATCCTGTGGTGCTTGCCATCCTTTTTGCTAATATCAAGCATTCTTCGTACGGTAACGAAGGTGGAAAAAAAGGTATGTGCATGCTCCACATTTGAAAAAAAATGAATAAATGATTCCTAATACAAGCGGGAAAATTGGAGATAGAATGCTTGCTTCGTGGCATTCCACCTAACAGAACATAATAAATGAAGATACGGTATGAAGAAAAAATTAGGACCTTGCTGCCCTTCGAGAAGAATGCTCCCCACAACGGCTGTAGCCCTACACAGTAGCTCTTCACCCGCATCTTTCAGCTAAAAAATCCACCCCCACAGCGCCAAGGAGCTACAAGCGCCGGGTGCCAAGACATTCCGTCACGCTTATAGAGGGTATGAGAAAGTGGTTGAGGAAGGTACAGCAGACGGGAGTGGACGGTAGCTGATTGATAGGAACAGGAGCAGAAAAAAGAGTTTAAGCCAGGTCGTTCAGTGCTGTTGCGCATCCTTTGTCTCTTGTGACGGGTGATAATCCATTTCCATGCCATCACCCTCGCCTTCACTCTGCATGTTCAGAGGCATCAGTTGTGTGAGAGGAGCGGCATCGACAAATGCGTCCCACCAATGCTGCTGCTGCTGCTGCTGCTGCTGCTGCTGCTGCTGCTGCTGCTGCTGCTGCTGCTGCTGCTGCTGCTGCTGCTGCTGCTGCTGCTGTTCCTGCTGCTGCTGCTGCTGCTGCTGTTGCTGCGGCTGTTCCTGCAGATGCTGCTGCTGTTGCTGGTGCTGCTGCTGTTGTTGCAGATGCTGCTGCAGCTGATGCAGCTGTTGATGTGCCTTCTGCTGCTGCTCTTTCTGCTGATGGCACTGCTGCTGCTGCTGCTGCTGCTCTTGCTGCTGCTGCTGCTGCTGCTGCTGGTTCTGCAACAGCTGCTGTTGCTGGCCTTGCTCGTACTTTTGCTGCTGCTGCTGAAACTGCTGCTTTCGTCGGCCGAGCAGCAGCAAGCTCAAGGGAGCATCTGTAACCCCCAGGTCCTGCGCTCGCTGCACTCGCACAGTCGCTGCTGCTGTGCCGCGAATCCCTGCCCGGCCTCCGTAAATCCCTGCCGAACCTCCTGCCGAACCTCCTGCCGGACCTGCAAGGGTGCTGCTGCTGTGGATTGCAGAGGGAGCTGCAGGGGTGCTCCTGCTCTGTGGTAACGTGGGGATTGTGGGGAGAGGTTGGGTCTTAGCAGGAAGGGAAAAGGCGGGAGTGAGGCGGGTGTTGGAAGGAGGGAGTGAGACGGTGTGTGCTTGGCTGGTGGATGGGAAGGCTGAAGCAATGGTGGTCGAGCGAAAGGCTGCTTGGATAGTGCCAGGGGAGGATGGTTGTAGGGGCGAGGTAGGCCGGGGGGAGGGAGAAGGGGAGAGGGAGGGAGTGTGGGAGTGGGAGGGAGTGTGGGAGTGGGAGGGTGAGGGAAAGGTGAAGGCTTGGGTGTTTGCGGTGGGGGATAGGAGCTGGAGGTTGGAAAGGAGTGGAAGTTGGGGAGAAGAGGAGGGAATGGAGGCGGATGGAATGGAAGGAGCGTGGTCTCCGGCATTGGAAGCTGCTAATAACGAGGATATTGCTTGTGAGGAAGCAGCCTGGGAAGGGGCGACTGGGGAAGGTGTTACCTGGCTGAGAATGTGCGTGACAGAGTCAGACATAACGCTTGACGAGAGAGCAGCGGAGGGGAGAGCGGGAGGCGGGAGAGCGGTAGACGGGAGGGTGGTGGAGGAGAGGAGGCAGGGAGAGAAGGTAGGAGATGCAAAGGCTGATGAAGAAGAGAGCATGGGGAAGCACAGTGCACTCCATTCCTGCTGCTCGTCCTGCTGTTGCTTCTGAGTCGACTCGAAAGTTCGCTCGTGCTGCTGCTGCTTCTGAGTCGGCTCAAACGTCTGCTCGTGCTGCTGTCGCTCCAGATATTGATCTAAGAGAGACTGAGGCGGCATAGCTGCAGCTTCAGCACGTGCCATCTCAAACCCAAACCCTGATTCTGCCTTTTCTCCTGCCACCGCTGCTGCCGCCAATGCTGCTGCCGCTGCTGCTTCTTTGGAGGGATTTCCAAAAGGGCATCCTGTTGCCACATCACTCCCTGCAATCCAACACTGCTGCTGCGAAACCAACTCTTCCCCTTTCAGAAGTTCCAGCTTTGCTGTGAACATCCTCCCTTCCACCCGCTCTCCCTGCCCCTCCATTTGACCACCACCACGCCCACTACCCACACCACCCCCACTACCCACACCACGCCCACTACCCACACCACCCCCACTACCCACACCACGCCCACTACCCACACCACCCCCACTACCCACACCACCCCCACTACCCACACCACCCCCACTACCCACACCACCCCCACTACCCACACCAACAACTGGAAGTCGACCGGTCCCCACTGCTCCCGCATCCATTGCAGAACCCCCCACGATCACACCCTCACTTTTGACTGTAACCTGGTTACCACGACAGCCATCCGTCACACGAGCCTCCATCTCCTGCACCGGATCCCCCGCAGGGGCGGTTCCAGTCAGAGGTAATTCCTGAGCCATATTCAGTTCAGGTGTTGCACCTTCAGGGATCAGCAGCCCTGTAACGGAAGCGGGGAGGCGTCTAAGGGGGATATGCAGACGCTGGGAGATGGGCGGGCGGGAGTGAGGAGGGTTCGGAGCCTCATGATTATGCTCATTAAGGTAGTTGATTATAGGGGAGATAGGGGCACTAGTAGCGGCTCCAGTGGCAGCAGCGGCAGCATCAGCACCAGCAGGGGTGGAGCTAGCAGATGGTAGGGGAGCTGTGCCTGCAGCAGCAGAAGGCTGACCTGCTTCAAATCCTGCTCCGGATTCCAACCGTCCACCAGTGGACGCGTGGGTAATCGCGCTGCTGATAACACCGGGTGTGATCCTCCAGTCGACAATTTTTTTCGCCGGGCAGGGTTCCCGGTCAGGATGCAAGCTGACCTGGCGGGGGTCCCCGAGAAAGCAGCGGTAGTAGGAGCGGATACAGCAGGAATCCACCACTAGCGGTTTTTGTCCGTATTTGCACCAGTCGTACCCGTCGTCTGGCAAGTCAACCGGAAGCCACTGGTACCTCTGCCGCCCGCTGACCCCGCCGCTGCTGCCACGCTGCCGCCCGCCCTGCCGCCCGCTCTGCCGCCCGGTGGGGTCGGCACTGTCGCCGCCCTGCCGCCCAGTGCCCGGGATGCTGCCGCTGCCGTGGTCTGCTGTGCTTTCCGAGCCTCGCTTGCAGGCTTGGGCAGCAGCAGCACTGGCAATGGCAGCAACATTGGCAGCAGCAGCAGCAGCAGCAGTGGCAGCAGCAGTGGCAGCAGCAGTGGAAGCAGCTGCTGTGGCAGGAGGTGCAGAGGCAGCATGCGTGGCGTGAGGGGATAGCTGGGGAGCAGAGCAGAGAGAGAAGAATGCTGATACGGACGGAGGGGAGGGAGGGGGGCAGTCCAACACACCCCCGGTTGAAGCCGGTCGTTCCATCATTGATCCAGCAGAGGAGGGCCGATCTAACACTGCCCCAGCAGAAGCTGAGCAGCGGAAAAAGGATAGGGGATGGTCCGGAGTGGTTGCAATCTCGGTAACGCCCATTCCTGGGACGGCAGCTGTAGCGGCAGCAAAAGCAGCAGCAGCGGCAGCGGCAGCGGCAGCGGCGGCGGGTGTAGCAGCTGGGGTGGCAGCAGCAGGAGGTGCTGTAGCCGCAGTGCTGCTTCTCCGGGACCTTGAGCGTGCAAGGTACTTGGCACGGTGTGCGGTTCTGCAATGCACAGGCAAGAGGAGAAGAGAGGAGAGGAAATGTTAGTAAGAGGTGAGGAGAGGGGGCATAATGCCTGGAATGAGGCGAGGATGAGGTGAAGGGCGTGGAGCGAGCTGAATGGAAGCAAGAAGGAGGCAAGCACCTTGCATATGGAGAAGCAAGGAGTGAAGATGAAGCCTCAAGCAAGGATCTAAATGAGGGGTGATGAGATGAGGGGTGATGAGATGAGGGGTGATGCGATGAGGGGTGATGAGATGAGTGGTGATGAGATGAGGGGTGATGAGATGAGGGGTGGTGAGATGAGGTGTGATGAGATGAGGGGTGATGAGATGAGGGGTGATGAGATGAGGGGTGATGAGATGAGGGGTGATGAGATGAGGGGTGATGAGATGAGGAGTGGTGAGATGAGGGGTGGTGAGATGAGGGGTGGTGAGATGAGGGGTGGTGAGATGAGGGGTGGTGAGATGAGGGGTGGTGAGATGAGGGGTGGTGAGGTGGAGGGGGAGGGTTCCTAGATGACCAAACTCTTGAAATCACTGGGTTTCATCTATCAGCACGTACAGTTTCAAGCTGTGTGACTTGGGTACGGCTCCTTGCCATCGTACGGTTTCAGAAGGGCACAGCACCGCCCCTGCTTCTGCGTCTGCGTGTGATGCGGCGGTGGATACTGCAGGACTGGGGCCCGAACCTCTGGGACTGGGTGCCGAGCCTGCAGGGCTGGGTGCCGAGCCAGAGGGACTCGGGGCCCCTGAAGCAGCGCCATAATGGCTAGGTGCCGAGCCAGCGGCAGAGGTGGCGGAAAACTCGCGGAAGCCGCCGCTGGTGAGGGGGGAAGGGGGACGATGAGGCGCCGCCGTCGCCACGAGCGGAGTCAGGGCCGGGCGGCGGAACCCACCCGCTTGCAGCGGGGATGCCGCCTCCCGCAACACCACTCCCGATGCTCCCGCGGATGCTCCTGGTGCCGCTTCTGCCGCTAACGTTGCGGGTGTCCATTCCATGATGATCGCGCGACCTGCGGCATCGCCTTGCTCACCGCCGCTGGGTGCGGAGGATGCAGCGGCGGCTGTGGCGGCGGCGGAAGCGGCGTCGCTTTCTTGCTTGACGAGCACCAAGCCAATGTCTCCATCCCTAACAATGTCGCACTCGTCCCACTCCCAGCACGGATCCATAATAAAATGATAGCTTCAAGACGATATCGCGCTATATTACGGAAAAAAATGCACTATATGAGAAAACGCGCTATTATATGGAACACGAGCACGTATGGTACGCGTATCAACTCCGGATTAGCTCGAAACTAGCTGCAATGTACCAAATTATAGTCTGGAAGGCGAGAGGCTGGAAAAGCGGGCTGAAAGCGCAGAAACACGATCAGCTGATCGCGAGATTTTATGACTGCTAAGGCACCGTGACAGCGTGTGATGAGGAGATTTTCGTTTAAATTTACTAAAAAAATGACTAAACGCAGCGGTGCATTCTCACAAATTTCTACTCGTCTTCAGAACGACGCTCACCAAGGCCACGATCGCGCATTTGTACGAGCACAAGACGCAAGAGTCGCGACGGAATCAGGCTGTTGCGGCGTTTTACGTCGAGATCTGAGGTACCCATGACGTTGCAGCTGCTTGCTTATGTAACTAGTGCTACCTGTGCCATGGCTCCGTGGATCATTGAGCCACTGTTACACAAAATTCCTCCAAACAACGGGGGGGATGCACGGGGCAGGACTGGCTACTGTGCGCACAGCAGCTGTGAAATTTGAGTGCAATTTCCCATCTCTCCGCGTCTCAGCTCAATTTCCCAGCGAACCGCACCGCGTGCAGCACATTGGCGACTGCGAATCGCTACTTCCTGACGCGGTTTCGGGGGGTCGTTTGGTTACTGTTTTCCAAATTCCCTACTCCCTCATTCGCTGAAGTACGGAAGGGGAATGACATTTGCTTCTGCCAGCAATTCATTTCAGCTCCAGATACGGACAAACGACGTGACAATTTGTTACAGTACACGGAGCCATCTGCCAGACCACATGATTGTTAGCAGACCATCGGAGAAATTGTGCTACACTGCTCTGTCCTTTGTTCAGACATTAACCCTGGATAAACACCCTCACGAATAAGTGCTGAACAAATATCCAACCACACTCCTCGGAAGCCACTCAACAACCATAATTACATTTTAGGGTAGTCAAGAATTGTTGGACGAAAGCACTTACACAAGAAGGGCAGCTACCCTGACGTTAAAAATAATCCAACGGTAGGTCATGACTCTTGATCCCGCTCGCACCCCCCCAAACCCCTCACTCCCGCCCTCTCCCCACAAGCTGCTTCCTCAAATGATCGTGATTCGTGATGTCGTGTCGTTCCCCCTCTCCCCCCGCTCATTCTTGCCAGCACCACGAACGAAAGTGATGGAGGCGCGTTTAAAACAGTTGCTCGTTACAGCTCAAGTTTCACGGTTCAGGATGGTGAGTAGTGTTTCAAAACGGTTAGAGTAACACACGGCTCTATACAGCTTCGTACACAACATCGTAGCATACCGCTAAAGTGCATCAAATGCGAGCCCAGAAGATACCACCAGAAAACTGCCACTCACTGCCCAATCCAGAAAAGCCCCCCCAATTTGAGCACACCCAAGGGCTCAGGTGCCGTGAGCGAAGCTGGTCCGCAAGTGCTCCTCACGCGTCAGCAAACTACCTCGAAAACCCGGTTCAAACTGTCCTTTGAACGGCATAACTCAATAATACTTTCCTATAATATAATGCACGTCACTAGTAGTTTACGGTACTTAACTTCGTTCCATACCGTACAACCGAATGAAAGCACGGGATTGCGGTGTTCAACACAGTACAAGAATAACATGTAGCTACAAACCCACGCATTATTTTTATGGGGAATGATGCCCCCAAAACTGTTCTCATCGTAAAATAGGGTATACGGTAAGATCGGATGCCTACCTTATACAATACATGGACAAAGTCGTAGAAATGTTAGTAAAGTCGAGTCAAATCAGTGTATGCTCCTACAATGCACAGGGAAAACTGGTTGGTCAAGCGCTGTTAAAATGGCATCAAATCAATAGTCACAGGGGCTTCAAGTGCCGAAGAAACTTCAACAAATTTCAATTAATGTTTTTAAGCAGGGCTTCCAGACCCTTCTGGTATCAGCTCAAGTGTAGCTGATGTGGCCACTCTAAGAATCGCTCTTTCCAAAAGAGCTACTGAGGACTGGGATAGTCCTAGGTCCTGCAAAGCAAGAGAAGAATCGGAGAGGCACCCGTCAGTACAAATGATAAGATGGTTACACTGTTACTGGTACGTAAAACGAAGTAATATAAGAAAAGAGTTTTCACCTGGTAGAGGGAGGGCAGGGAGACGATGGAATGGTGTGTGGGAAGTGTGGAGGGAGGGAAAGAGACTTACCGGACTGTGTATAAGATCCAACAGAGCTGCTTTCTGCTGCTCAGTCATTGGCCTAGGCTTCAGTGGCGCCGCTCCTGCTGCCCCTGATGCAGCTGCTGCCGTTGCTGCTGCCCCTGCTTCAACCATCCCTTCTGCTACGCCGTGGATTGCTGGTGCAGGCGCATCTGCTGCATCTCCTGCAGCAGCAGCTGCAGCTGCTGTTGCTGCTGCTGCTGCTGATGCTGCTGCTGCTACAGCTGTTTCAGCTACAGCCGTTGCAGTGTGGGTAGAAGGAGGGTTGGAAGTGGCAGAGGGATGACTGGAGTGGGTGAGAGACCAGATACGATGGAGAGCAAGGGAGAAGGGAGAGGGGGGCCGGTGCGAGTTTGGAGAGCCTGCACCCGCGTATTTTGGTGCTTGGCTTGCAGGGTTTGAAGAGAGTGAGTCTGAAGGATGGCTTGACGAGTGTAAGTCTGAAGGTGAGGTGATTCGATTGGAAACAGGTGGGGAGTAGGATGGAGCTGCGGTGGGCTGGAGGGAGGGTGGCTGGTTGTGAGTCTGGGGAAGTGAGCTGGGAGAGGGGGAGAGTGAGGGGGAGTGTGGGTGTGCAGGGGAGAAGGGGGAGAAGAGAGATGCGAGTGTTGATGCTGGTGATGCAGGTCGATTTCCTGCCTTTCCATGAGTCCTTGCAGGTGTTTCTTCAGGTGCCTTTTCAGCTGTTTCACCAACAGAGGGAGCTGATGCTGCTGCTGCTGGTGCTGCTGGTGCTGCTGCTGCTGTCCTAGATGCTGTAGGCTTAGCATTGGGTGGTTTTCCCAAGGTGGGGCGAGATATTGTGGGGCTGAAGAAACGGAATGGGGAGAGTGAGCGAGGGCGAGAGGATTTGTGGGAGGAAGAGGGAGAAGAGGAGGAGGAGGAGGAGGAGGAGGAGGAGGAGGAGGAGGAGGAGGAGGAGGAGGAGGAGGAGGAGGAGGAGGAGGAGGAGGAGGAGGAGGAGGGTGTGGCAGGGGCAGTGGTGTTATCAGAAACGGAGCTGACATTGGGTGCAGCAGCGGATGTTCCCGCCGATGCTCGAGATGTCCTTTGAGGCGCCTCAAAAGTCCTGCTATCAGAAATGGAGCTGACGTTGGGTGCAGCAGCAGTAGGTGTAGCCGCAGCAGAATCAGCCGCAGCTGCAGCATCGGCTGAACCAGTAGCAGCCTCACCAGCAACAGAGTCAGTATGACCACTGCGAGACACCAGCGAGAGTGGATCAGAAGTAGCAGCAGGAACAGTAGGAGCAGTGGGAACAGTAGGAGCAGTGGGAACAGTAGGAGCAGTGGGAACAGTAGGAGCAGTGGGAACAGTAGGAGCAGTGGGAACAGTAGGAGCAGTGGGAACAGTAGGAGCAGTGGGAACAGTAGGAGCAGCAGGAGCAGTAGGAGCAGCAGGAGCAGGAGCGGGAGGAGCAGGAGCAGGAGCGGGAGGAGAAGGAGCAGGAGCAGGAGGAGCAGGAGGAGCAGGAGCAGCAGAAGCAGCAGCAGCAGCAGCAGCTGTAGTGGCAGGCAGCAGTCTTGCTACAGCGGAAGTGAAAGAGGTGGTGGAGAGAGGGGAGGAGAAAGACGGATGAGAGGGAGGAGGAAGAGGAGGAGGGGGAGAGGTAGGAGGAGGAGGGGGGGATGGAATAATCTTAAGACGGAGGAGAGGAGCAGTAGGGGTTACCAATGGGCTTTTTGCAGGGGATGCTAAGGGGGAGGAAGGCACAGGGGATGCTAGAGGGGATGTTGGGGACCGTTGCTCCTGGGGATTTGAACCCAAACTCCCCTGCTCTTTGATCGGTGAAAGAGCAGTCCAGCTCACAGACCTGGCGCGTCCCACACTGCCCGGAGAACTGCCTTGCTGCACGCTGCTGTGACCCTTCGATTCTTCCGAATCTAAACCAGATCGCTCCACGCTGCCTTGGGACTTGGATGATGCTTGCGAATCTAAGCCCAGTCCCTCCTCCTCCTGGATCGGAGAAAGCGTGGTCCACCTCACAGATGTGACTCGAGGCTTCCTGGCCAGTGGCTCACTCAGCAGAGCGAAGGAGAGGCGATGCCTTCGAAATTGACGGGTGGTCGCAGCTGTTTTACGCAGAGCCTGTTGCTGAGACGCCTCACCAGCGGTATTGCCTGTTTTGTCAAAAGCGGAAGCTACTGTGGCTGCTACAGTAGCTGCTGCCTTACTAGCAGCCTGTTTCCGAAGAGTTCCACAGTCTGTATTGGCTGTTTCGGCCAAAGCAAAAGCGACTGAGCTCGTAACTGTTACAGCAGCTGCTGTTTTAGAAGCAGTGAGTTTCCGAGGCATCTCACAAACTGGATTGGTTGCTTCGTCAGAAGGAGAAGCGACTGTGCCCGCTGCCGTGCCAGAAGCAGCAGGTGGATCCAAAGCAGTGGTATCAGCCAGAATTATTTCTCTGCACTTGGAACCTCCTTCCCCTCCTGCACTCGCCCCTCCTCCTCCTTCACTCGAAACCCCTTCCTTTTCACAAGAATCTGAAACATCCGTGCCTTGCGCCTCACCCACCCCCATCACTTCGAGAGATTTCCGAGTCAACTCACAAGTCGCCTTGACACGGGCCTCATCTGCCTTGCACTGCACCTCATGTAGCTGCTCCCCACCCCCGTCCTTTTCTTCATGTGACTTTTGAGACGTCTCAAAAGTTGACTTGCACTGCGCCTTATGCAGCTGCTCCACACCCCCGTCCTTTTCTTCACGCGTCTCAAAATTTTTAGCTGCCTCGACTGTCTCAGCTGCCCCTGACTTTCCATCGTTTTCCTTCCTTTCAGTCACCTCTCCCGCTGCAGCGTCAGCATTAGTTGGTGAATCAGCATCAGTTTGTAAGTCAGCATTAGTTGGTGAGTCAGCATCAGTTGGTGAGTCAGCATTAGTTGGTGAGTCAGCATCAGTTGGTGAAGTGGCATAATTTGGTGATTCAGTACCAGTTGATGAGTCAGCACCACTTAGAAGCGACTCAGGAGGTGATGACAAGTCAGCCGCCCAGGAAACATCAGCAGCAGCACCAGCAGCACCAGCAGCACCAGCAGCACCATCAACACCACCAGCAGCAGATGCAGCAGCAGAGTCAGAAGATGTAACAGCGGCCACAGCAGGAGAAGCAGTACCAGCAGCAATTCGTCTAATAGACCCAACACCCCCAATAACAGCTCCAGCTGAACCACCTGCTGACAACCCACCCAAAGCACCCGACTTTACCGTCCCACCCAAACCGCCTGACCCAACTGAACCACCACCCACCCCACCCAACCCACCTGATCCACCTGACCCACTTCCTCCATTAGCAGCACTCCCCAGCCACCCCCGCAGCCTGCTCGTCTCTTCGGCCAGCTGGCGCATCGCCATTCGCTGCTGCTGCAGCCGGGTCCGGAGGTTTTGCAGGCTGTGCAGGCTGTGTTGGGTGGCCACACGGGCGGCAAGAGCGGGGGAGAGGGGGAGGGAAGGGGGTTGTGACCTGGGGGTGACGAGGGAGGGAGGTGGTGGTGGGGGGCTGTGCAGGCTGTGTTGCGTGGCAACCCGGGCGGCTAGAGCGGGGGAAAGGGGGAGAGAGGAAGGGGGTTGTGGCGTGGGGGTGACGAGGGAGGGATATGGTGGTGAGGGGCTGTGCAGGCTGTGTTGAGTGGCAACACGGGCAGCTAGAGAGGGGGAAAGGGGGAGAGAGCAAGGGGGCTGTGGTGTGGGGGCGAGGGCGAGTGAGGGGGGCGGTGGTGTGGTGGGGGTGACGAGGGAGGGAGGTGGTGGTGTGGCGCTGTGCAGGACGTCTTGGGTGGCCACGTGGGCGGCTGGGGCGGGGCAAAGAGGGAGGGAAGGGGGTGGTGGTGTGGGGTCGAGGGTGAGAGAGGCGTTAGGTGGTGCGGTGGGGGTGGCGAGGGAAGGAAGTGGTGGTGGGGGGCTGTGCAGGCTGTGTTGAGTGGCCACGCGGGCAGCTAGAGTGGGGGAGGGGAGGATGGAAGCGGGCGGGGCGGGGGAGAGGGTGAGTGAGAGGGGTGGTGGTGTGGTGGGGATGGCGAGGGAAGGAGGCGGTGGTGTGGGGCTCTGCAGGCTGTGTTGAGTGGCCATGAGGGCAGCTAGAGCAGGGGAGAGTGTGCGAGAAGGAGGTGGGGTGGGGGAGCGGGTGAGGGAGAGGGGTGGTGGTGTGGCGGTGACGAGGGACGAAGGTGGGTCAGGAGAAGCAAGGGCGATAGTGAGAGAAAGGGAAAATGTGGAGGAGGGGGAGGCGGAAGGCTGAGGGGAGAGGCACGAGGATAGAGGTGGTGTGACTGTCCCTTCTGAAACGCCTGACGCTGCTGGTCTTGTGATTGCAATGCTTTCCTCTGAAAGGCCTGGTACAGCGTCCTTTACTTCACATTCCAAGGTTCCTACGCCATCATAATCATAACCACTCTCCTCCTCACCACCTGATTCTTCTCTTTCTTCCTCTCCTTCAGCTGGAAATGTGCTTTCCTCATGCAGCCCTACCCACTCACACCCTGCCATTCTCTCTGCACGCTCCTGTTCTGCATCGATTCTGTCACACTTCTTGTTCTCCTCCTTCACTTCCACAATCTCCTCCCCTCCCTTCTCCACTTCTCCCCCCTCCTCCTCCTCCTGCCCATCCTTCCTCTCCTCCACTTCCCTTGTGCACGAATTTCCAGCTGCGGGAAAAATTTCCTCTGCTACAGCCGGCCCATGGGTCTCAACTCCTGCAGCGAAATTTGCTGCTACATCCCTGCAAGAGCTTACAGCTGCTGCGGGAGACTCCTCTGCTACAGCCGGCCCATGGGTCTCAACTAGCGCAGGGGAATCTGCTGTTACATCCCTGCAAGGGATTACAGCTGCAGGGGGGATATTTTCTGCTACAGCTGGGCCATGGGTCTCAACTAGCGCAGGGAAATCTGCTGCTACATCCCTGAAAGAGCTGTCAACTGCTGGGAGAACCCCTCCTGCTACATCCTCCGCTACAGTTGCTGCAGTGATACTTGCTGCTACAGCCACCACTGAACTAGCAGTAGCTGCTGCTACAACTGGAGATTGAACTCGTTCTGCTGCAACAGCCACCTGATCACCTGATGGAACACCTGAGGAGGCACTCCCTGCTACAGCCAGTGCAGGCGCTTTGTGAAATTCACCTGAGATTCCACCTGAGCCGGCACCTGGGCTGAGCATCTTATGAAGGGAGGACAGGAGGCGGCGGGGAGAGGGAGGTCGAATTCTAGAAGCAGGAGGGGAGGATTGTCTGGGTGAATTCCCAAGGGGTGAATTCTGAAGGGGTGAATTTCGGGTGAATCGAAAGCGGGTGGAATTGAGAGCAGGGGATGCAGAGAGCATAGGTGGGGTGGAAGGGGTGGTGTTAACAGGAGGGGTTGGGGGTGAGGAAGGAGAGGGTGAGATGGGGAGAGCGGAGAGGGGAGGAGCGAGGAAGGAGGGAGAAGTGGAGAGGTGAGAGTCGGGAAAGCCATGAGGAGGAATAGAAGAAGCAGGAGGAGCAAAAGGAGGAATAGCAGGGGGTGGGATGGGATCCAAAGCGATAGCAGGTGGAGGGAGGTCTACAGGGGGAAGGTTCCAAGCAGTTGCTGTGGGGTATGGGGCAGGCCCTGCAGGGGCTGATGCAGGGAAAGGCTGGGGAGGAAAATGGGGAGGAGGACGAGGGAGAGGAGCATGGGGCGGAGGGGTATGGGCAGAAAGAGCATGGAGAGGAGCGGTATGGGGAGGGTACGGGGCATGATGAGGGGCGAGTGAGGAGGCAGAGGTAGAGGGTGCATCGACAGATGGCAGAGAAGGTGACTGTACCCAGTGTGACTCTGTGGAACGTGACTGTCTGGTGCATGCTGCTTTAGCATAGGAGGAGGAGGAGGACGAGGGGGAAGGGGAAGGGGAGAGTGTGGACTTGAGAGAGCGGAGCCAGGAGGAAGCAGCTGCTGCTGCCGCTGTTGACAGGCTCTTGGATCGCTTGGGTGTCAAGGATTTTGTAGGTGTTACGGGTGTGCCGCTGGTGGTTGCAGTGTTATCCCCGCTTGCTGAGTGCTGCTGAGGCGGGTCAGAAATAGAGAAGGGTGCTTTGTGCTGCTGCTGGCGCGAGGTGAAAAGGGGCGTTTTGCTAGCAGTTCCCCCACTAGGAGATTTGAAGACCTTGGTGATGAGACTGGAAGGCTTGACAGTTGGATATGAAACGTTGAAAGAGCTTCTGCTCGTCTTGCCAGCAGCAGCATCAGCAGCAGCAGCATCAGCAGTATCGGCAACAGCAGCAACAGCATCAGCATCAGCAGCAGCGACATCATTACCAAAAGCAGCAGCAGCAGCAGCAGGAAAGTAAAGAGAGGGTGGCTGTGTTGGGTGGAAGCGAGGGGAAGATACACGGATATAGCCTGGGAGACTGCTGCTGAGGGAAGGGGGTGGGGATGGGGGTTTAACTGCCGCTACTGCTGCCATCACTGCCGCCGCTGCTGCTGTTGCTCCTGCCACCACTGATTCTGCTGGGACTGCCTTTTGCTGGTCGTCGGCAGGAGTACAGAAGGTGGCAGTTATTTGAATGTCAGGTGAAGCGTCAGGTTGCTTTTCAGGTAGAATGTCAGGCTGATTGCCGGGCTGAGCCGTGACAACTGCAGTGGCAGTGCATGATGCAGTAGGAGCAGAAGGAACAACAGAGTCACTCGCAGGAATGATAGTCACATCATTGCTATCCTCTCTGCTCGCTCCTATCTTCTCCTCCTCCCCCGTCGTTCCCATAAGGGAGATTGAAAACACGCTCTCCTCCTGATCACTTGCCGAGACACCAGCATCTTCCTGAGACGTTTCAGGTGATTCTTCAGGTGCTGGTGAAGCTTCAGGCGGTGCTTCGACTCCTCCTTCAGGCGTTTTTTCAGGTGATTCTCCCAGTTCTGCTACTTCAGGTTCTGCTGCTGCAGGTGCCGCTTCAGGTGCTGCTTCAGGTGCCGCTTCAGGTGCTGCTTCCTCGCCACTCACAACAGGGAACAAGAGTGGTGCTGTGGTGATTGTGGTGAAGGAAGGAGGGGAGGGGTGGGAGGAGATATGAGTGGCTGCAGATGGGTAGGAGAGAGTGCGTGTTGGAGCTAGGATCTGGGAGGATTGGAGGGTCTGAGAGGAGTGAACGGCGTGAGAGGAGTAGGGAGTGTGAGAAGAGTAGTGAGTGTGGTGGGTTGAATAGTGAGTGTGGGAGTGGCGAGTATGTGCGGAGTGTGTGTTGGAGTAGTGAGTATGGGAGGAGTGTGTGTTGGAGTGGTGAGTATGGGAGGAGGAGCGACCAAACACACTGGCTTGGTCAGAGTTGGTTTGAGTAGAGTGTGTGCGGGGAGGGGAGAAGGAGCGGAGGCGGGAGAGGGGAAGAGAGAGGCAGGAGGAGGAGGCACAGGTGGATGGGGAGAAAGGGGTGGAGGGGAAGGAGAGGGTCTGAGGGGGTGGGGAGGTGGGTGAGTGGGCAGAGGCGGAGGATGGGGAAGGAGGGGCGGCGGAAGGGGAGGAAGGGGCGGAGGAGGGAGGGGTGGAGGGAGGCGAGTGGGGGGCGGAAGAGGGGGAGTGAGGGGCAGAGGAAGGGGAGTGAGGGGCAGAGGAAGGGGAGTGAGGGGCGGAGGAAGGGGAGTGAGGGTCAGAGGATGGGGAGTGAGGGACGGAGGTAAAGTCAGGAGAGATGGAAATGGCGTTTGAAAGGGCCTGGGATGTGGCTGCTGTGAGGGAAACGTCTCTTGGCAGGGAGGGGTGTGATACTAACGAGGCGTGTGATACTAACGAGGCGTGTGATACTGATGAGGCGTGCGATACTAAGGAGGGGGACTGGAAGGGGACTGAGGAAGGGGACTGAGGGTCAGAGGATGAATCAGGAGAGATGGAGATGGCGTTTGAGAGCGCCTGCGATGTGGCTGCTGTGAGGGAAACATCTGCTCGCAGGGAGGCATGTGACTCTAACGAGGGAGAATCTGACTGTAACGAGGGGGAGTGGAGATCGGAGGAGGGGGAGTGGAGATCGGAGGAGGGGGAGTGGAGATCGGAGGACAAGGCAGGAGAGGTGGAGATGCCATTTGAAAGAGCTTGGGATGTGGCTGCAGCGAGGGAAGGATCTTCTGGCACAAGGGGATGTGCTTCTAACGAAGGGTGAGCAGCAGCTGCTGCTGCATTGACAGCAGTCGACTCAGATGTTCCAGAAGCAGCAGCAGCGGATGAGTTGACGAGAACGAGCCTTGCCTTGATTCGCAGCAGCAGTTGCTCCAACCGCTCCACCCTCTCCTCCTCCTGCCACGCCTGCTTCCCTCCTCTCTTTGACTCCTCCACTTCACACTCCTCTCTCTGCTTTCTCCTCACTTCCTCTCTCCCCTCGTCCTCCCTTTCCTCTTCCCCTATTCCCACTTCCTCCCTCTCTAACTCCCCTCTTCCAACTTTATCCCATTGTCCAATTTCCTCCTTTACTTCTTCCCGCCTCCCCACTTTCTCCCTCTCTACGTCCCCTCTTCCAACTTCCTCCCTTTCTTCTTTCACTCTGCCCTTCTCCTCCCTCTCTTCTTCCCCTCCCCCCACTTCCTCCCTCTCCACTTCCGCTCTCTCCACTTCCTCCCTCTCATCCTCCCCTCCCCGCACTTCCATCCCCACTCCGTCTCCCAACCCCTCCTCCACGTCTTGCCTACCCAACTGGGCCCGAATTCGTCTCAGCAGCATGCCCACAAGCCCCACTCGCTCCATCATCTCCCGTGCCTCCATCATAGCCTCTCCACCCGCTCTATCACCCGCGCTCAAACCTGACACCTCTGCCTCTGCCACACCCCTCTCCATGTCCCTCGCACCCACCATATCCTCTCCACCTGCTCCATTTCCCACTGTCAACCCGGACTCCTCTCTGTCTTCCATGCCCTTCCCGAACACAACCTTTCCACCCGGTGCATCTCCCACTCTCAACCCCGACCCGTTATTAGCATTCTCTGTACACTCGCAACCCGTCTCAGTCGCCTCAAAGAACACCTGTTCGGTGCTGAACGGGCTTTCAAACCCCTCCCGGGCTGAATCAAACAAATCCAGAGCAGAAGCAAACTCAGCAGGGCTTGCAAGCCCTTCCTGATTCGACTCAACTGAAACTTGAGCCGAGTCAGCAGGGCTTGCAAACCCCTCCCGAGCTGAATCGAACAAATCCTGAGCAGAAGCAAACTCTGCAGGGCTTGCAAGCCCTTCCTGATTCGACTCAACTGAAACTTGAGCCATGTCAGCAGGGCTTGCAAACCCCTCCCGAGCTGAATCGAACAAATCTTGAGCAGAAGCAAACTCTGCAGGGCTTGCAAACCCCTCCCGAGCTGAATCGAACAAATCTTGTGTAGAAGCAATCTCAGCAGGGCTTGAAATCCCCTCCTGAGTCGACTCAAAGGACCCTGGTTCGAAATAATCTGGGCTTTCCGTAACCTCTGCCGCGGCTTGTACTGCAGTGAGTTGATCAGCTGCCATTGCCACCACTGCTGCTTCAGAGCCAGCAGGCCTTGCAAACCCCTCTTGAGTCGACTCAAAAGTCACCTCCTGAGTCGACTCAAAGGACCCCGGTTCCGAATTGCTGGGACTCTCAGTGGTAGCAACCTCTGCCGCTGCATAACCTGCAGTGAGCTGATCAGCTGCCATTGCCACTACCGCTGCTTCTACTGCTCCTTCTCCTCCTGCTGCTCCTGCGGTTGAGTTCCCACTGGCTCCTTCTCTCACTTCTTCTCCTGCTGCTACAGAGCAGCTCGCTTCTGTTCCCTCAATATTCTCTGCTTCTGCTTTTGCTTCTGCTGCTGCTTCTGCTCCTGCTGCTTCCGCTTCTGCTCCTGCTACTTCCCCTTCTGCTCCTGCTGCTTCCTCTTCTGCTCCTGCTGCTTCCTCTTCTGCTCCTGTTGTTTCCGCTTCTGCTCCTGCTGCTTCCGCTTTTGCTCCTGCTACTTCCCCTTCTGTTCCTGCTGCTTCCTCTTCTGCTCCTGCTGCTTCCTCTTCTGCTCCTGTTGCTTTTTCTTCTGCTCCTGCTGCTTCCTCTTCTGCTCCTGCTGCTTCTGCTGCTTCCGCTTCTGCTCCTGCTTCTATTCCTGCTGTTGCTTCCGGTCCTGCTTCTGTTTCAGCTGCTGCTGCTGGTGGTGATGCTTCTTCTGCTGTTTCTGCTACCTTTGCTCTTGCTGCCCTTTCTGCTGTCTCTCCTGCTGAGACTGCTGCCTCTGATTCTGCCTCTGCCGCTTCAGCAGCCTCGCATTGGATTCCACCCGTCCTTTCAATTGCTGCTGTCACTGAACAGTCGACTGCATCAGCTGTCTCTGCTGCCTCTTCTTTGTTTTGCCTTTCCCCAACTGCAACTGCTGCCTCTGATTCTCTCTCGTCAGCTGCAGCTGCCTCGCATTGGATTATATCCCCACTTGCAAGTCCTCCTGTCAGTGAACATTCGACCGCATTAGCTATCTCCACTGCCTCCTCTGCCTCAACATCTGATGCTTCTCCCACTCTCACCTCCGCTACTGTCCCTGCCGCTACCACTCCCTCCTGCTGCCTACGTAACAGCAAAGACTTCTCTCCCTTTTCCTGCAAAACCTCCTCATCTGCCAATGTTTTAGGCGCCTCGGAATCTGTTCCTGACGCTGCCTCTCCCTCATGCTGGCTACAGACCCGCGACTTCTCTCCCTTTTCCTGCAAAGCCTCGTCATCATCTGCCCTTCTCTCACCCTCCTCATTCTCCTCCACCCCTTCTTCCTCCTGGTCTTCTTCAACCCCCTCCTCTCTCTCACAACCGCCATCCTCCTCCTCCCCATCCTCCCCTTCCTCCCCTCCATCCCCATTCCCACTTCCCACTCCACCATTCCCCACTTCATCACCCTCCCCTCCATCACCCTCCTCCCCATCATTCCCCACTCCGCCTGCCCCACCTGCTCCCCCTTCTCCCCCTGCTCCCCCTTCTCCCCCTCCGCCCTTTCCATTGCTCTCTTCCCTCCCCCCTCTGCCCTCACCTCCCTCTCCTCCCTCCGTCCCACTCCCTTCCCCAGTCCCTTCCCTCTCTTCCCCCTCCCTCGTTTCTCCCTCCATCTCTTCCTCCTCCTTCTCTTCCCCCAACTCGCCTTTCCCCTCCAACGCCTGTGAAGGTCCAATCTGGCATCCCCCCCGCGCTAGAGACAGGGGCAGCAGCTGCTGAGGCGGTTCAAACGCTTCACCCTGCCTTGGGGATATCTCCCAAGAGGCAACCTCACAACCTCCCCGCGCCATGGCTAGAGGCAGCTGCTGTGGAGATTCAAATGTGTCACCCTGCCGTTCAAATGTTTCCAAAGGAGCAGCATTGGCACTCATACCAGGCCCAGCCTCACATCCCCCTCTCGCCATCTCCAGGGGCAGCAACACCACACACTCTTCCCTCGACCCCCTCTCACGCAACCAGGGCGAATGGTGAGCCAACTCCTTATTCTCCTCCCTGCCCACGCTCCCCACGCCCTCAGACACAGCAATCGGAGCTGTGGCAAGCGACTTTTGAGGTGCCTCAAAAGTAGACTGGTGAGCCAACTCCCTCTCCTCCCTACCCACGCTTCCCAGGCCCTCAGACACAGCAGCCGGCGCTGTGGCAAGCGACTTTTGAGGCACCTCAAAAGTAGACTGGTGAGCCAACTCCCTCTCCTCCCTACCCACGCTTCCCAGGCCCTCAGACACAGCAGCCGGCGCTGTGGCAAGCGGTACGGCAAGGTGATCGGTGGTGTGCCGGGTGTTGTGGAAGAGAAGGGCATTTCTCACTGTAGAGTGCTGGTGGGGCAGCGGCAGGCTGTTCCTTTTCCGCTTGTGCCCTGTTATGGGCCCAGAGAGAGGGCGGTGGGGGGAAGGTGCCCCTGACGCTGCCTCTGATGCTGCTGCCACTGCCACAACCGGTCCAGAGGACGGCCGCCAATGCAGCACCAGACGAACTCCTCCCGTGAGTGTTGCTGCTGGTACTTCTGGTTTCGCTGCTGTTGGTTCTGCTGCTGGCTCGGCTGTAGGTTCTGCTGTTGGCTGTGGCTCTGTTGCTGCAGGCTTTGCTGCTGCCAGCCCTGCTGCCAATTCTGATGCTGCTGCTGATTCTGCTGCCGGTGGTGTTGCTGCCACTGCTGCTGCTACAGTTGCTGCTGGTGGCCCTGTTGATCCTGGCTCTGCTGCTGCTCCACCTACCAGCAGACCTCCTCGCTGATTATTCTCTAAGCCCATCTGTCTCTCTTCCCATTTCTCCCGACTGGACGACACCCGAACCCCAGCGGCCCCCAGTAACGCTGTCAGCGTTATTATGTCCAGAATTGGCGAATCGCCGCTCGCCAGCTCAGCCTCTCCTTCCATCTCCAGCCATTCGTGCACCAGACTATGAAGATCCTTACACTCCCCTTTTCCCTCCTCCTCCTTCTTCCCCCTCCCCTCCTCTCTCCCCACGCTCCCCTCCTCTCGTTCCTCCCCTTCCTCTCCCTCCTCTTCCTCAATCCGTCCAACCAACCCCTTACTCCTCACGGACCGCTCCCCCCGGCTTCGCTTGCTTCTCCCCCGGCTGCCCCCCTTCCTTCTCCCCATCGAGCCCACTGCATGCCTGTCCTCGTTATGAACGGCCTCAGAATCCTGCTGACTGCGCGACTGCTGTAGCGAGACCAGCATCGCAAGCAGATTGTTTCTGCTCCCCACGAAGCCACTCCCTCCAATGCTGCTCTCTCCAATGCTTGTTCCCTCACCAGCCCTGCTGCTGCTTGTACCCATATCATGCCCCGTTTGTCCCTTGCCCAACTCCCCACCACCCCTGCTCTTACTCCTGCATAATTCCCCACTACCCCTGCTCCTGCTGCCTCTACCGAACCACCCCCTGCCACTGCCTACGCTCCCAGCCTTGCCTAAGCTCCTGTGGCTACTGCCTGATTTGCCGTCACTTGCATGGCTGTGTCTCCTATCAGCACTCTGCCTGCTGTTTCTGCTGCTGTTGTTTGCTGCTGCTGCTGCTGCTGCTGCCATCCTGCCTGCTGCTGCTGGCGCTGCCATTCTGCCCGGTGCTGCTACTCCTGCTTCTGCTGCCGTTATGCCTGCAGCTGCCATTCTGCGTGCTGCTAATCGGGAAAACACTGCTTCGGCCGCCCCCATCTGTCCTTCTGGCAGATCCTTTGGTACTGACCCGAGCATGGCTATCGGCGTCCTCACACATCATACCCACCTGAGCCAAGGTCCCTTCCATCCTCCGTTCCTCCTCACCCCCCTGCTCCATAGCACCCGCATGCTGACTCATACTATTCCCAGCATCTCTCATCCTCTCTTCCGCCCTTCCTCCTTGCCTCAGAGCGTCTCTCTGTCTCAACAGCCCCACGCCCCAGCCGTAACTAGAGGCTTGAGACGCCTCACAACTCGAGCTGGCCCCACCGTGATCACTCAAATCCTCGCTTCCTCCGTGCTTCAGGGCATCGTCAAGCCTCAGAAGACCCACGCCCCACCCGTGCTTTTGAGTCGACTCAACAGCAGAGGTTTGAGACGACTCACCACTCGAGCTGGCCGCGCCGTGCTCACTCAAATCCTCGCTTCCTCCGTGCTTCAGAGCGTCGTCAAGCCTCAAAAGCCCCACGCCCCACCCGTAGCTTACCCCTCCTTCTGCTGCAGGCCCGCCCAGAACTCTCTTCCCTAGCAACAGACCCTGATTTTCTTTCTCGTTTTGTGAAGGGGCAGAATTACACCTTGCAGAGTCACATCTGGCAGGGTCAGACTTGGAAGAGTCACATCTGGCAGGGTCACATCCGCCAGTGTCACACCTGGCAGTGTCACACTCAGCAGTGGCACATCTGGCAGTGCCATACCTGCTCCCGCCACTGAGCCTCAGCGCCCCATGCCATGCTGCATGGTTCCTCTCTTCATCCAGGGCGTTAGGAGGCAGGCTAAACTCGCTGAAGCTGCTCATCCTGCTGCTGCCCACCGCCATGCCGGACCCTGCTGACCTGCACCCTCCGGCTGTAGCAGCACTGAGAGCAACACGGCTACAGCCGGTCCTCTCTTCATCCAGGGCGTTAGGAGGCAGGCTAAACTCGCTGAAGCTGCTCATCCTGCTGCTGCCCACCGCCATGCCGGACCCTGCCGACTTGCACCCGGCTGTAGCAGCACTGGCAGGAACGCTGCTACAGCTGGAACCTGCCGATCTGAATCCAGCAGTAGCAGCACTGACGGGAACGCTGCTACAGCCGGAGCCTGCTACAGCTGCTGCGGCGGCCGGAACAGGTTGGGAGCCCCCTGCTGAGGACGAAGCTGCTCTTTGCGTTGCAGGCAGAGCGGGAGAAAGGGTCGACGAGGACGGACTGTAAGGCGTTTTGGAGGATAGGGAGCGGTTTGAGGGTGATATTGGGCGGTACAGGGAGAAAGGGCGGTGTAGGGAGGAGCGGGTGGTGGAAGCAGGGGTGTTGAGGAAGGAGTGTGGGAGCGGGGGATGGGCTGGAGTGGTAAAGCGAGAGGGATAGTTGGAGGAAGAAGGGGTGGTCTCAGAAGAGAATGGGGGGAGATGGAAGGGGAAGGGAAAGGGGAAGGGGAACGGAAAAAGGGAAGGATGTGCAGATGGGGTGGGAGAAAGGGACGGGGATGGGGCAGGGACGACGGATGCTGTGGTGGTGATGGTGGTGGTGGTGGTGGTGGTGGTAACGGCCAAGGGAGGGGAGTGAGTGAGGGGGAGTGTGGAGCAGGAGGAAGGGTGCGACGGTGACATGTACTCTAGGGATTGGCCACCAGCCTTTTCCTCTGCTTCATCTGCCTCCCCTCCACCAGCCCTTCCGTCTGCTCCATCCGCTTCCCCCCCTTCGGCTCTTTCCTCTGCCCCATCTGATTTCTCCCCTTCAGCTCTTTCCTCTGCTCCATCCGCTTCCTCTGCTCCAGCCCGTTCCCCTACTTCAGCCCGTTCCCCTGCTTCAGCCCTTTCCTCTTCTCCAGCCCGTTCCTCTGCTTCAGCCCGTTCCTCTGCTTCAGCCCGTTCCTCTGCTTCAGCCCGTTCCTCTGCTTCAGCCCGTTCCTCTGCTTCAGCCCGTTCCTCTGCTTCAGCCCGTTCCTCTGCTTCAGCCCGTTCCTCTGCTTCAGCCCGTTCCTCTGCTTCAGCCCGTTCCTCTGCTTCAGCCCGTTCCTCTGCTTCAGCCCGTTCCTCTGCTTCAGCCCGTTCCTCTGCTTCAGCCCGTTCCGCTGCTTCAGCCCTTTGAGGCGCCTGAGGAATCTCCTGATAGACATAACCAGCCACATTCCTCGCCAATCGACCCTCCTCCGCCTTTTGAGGCGCCTCAAAAGGCGCCTGAGGAATCTCCTGACAGGCAGAACCAGACACATTCCTCGCCAATCGACCCTCCTCCCCCCCAACCCTTTCCCCCGCTCCCTGCCTGTTCCTTTCGCCCCATTGCTCCTTCACCTCCGCTTGTCCTTCCTCGAACCTTCCCACAGAAGTGTCAACCAGCAGCGGCGGCGGCTGCAGCAACGTGAAAGCGCGCTCTCGCTCCCCTCCTGCAAACCCAAGCCCTCCTCCAAACCCAAAATCTCCCCCAAACCCCACCCCTTCTCCACCTCCTGCCACTTCAACTGATTCCGCGTGACCCATACCTGCTGATCTCACTCTCCTCATTCCCCGAGGGTGCTTCTGGTCCTGATCCGCCACCCTTGGCCTCGTCTCCACCGCCCCTGCCCCCACCTCCTCTGCCCTAACGAAAGATCTCTGCGAAATTCCAAAAACCTCTTCTGCCTTGACTCGAAGTGCGTCGATTGACTCGTCTATCTGCATCTGATTTCCCTCTTTCCCGTTTTTTAGCTCCAGGTGTGTGTCGCCCTCGCCCTCTATCTGCATCTGCTTTCCTAGCTCCAGGCGTGCGTCGTTCTCACCCTCTTTCCCATTCATTTCCCCCTCACCCTCCGCTATTTTAGCATCCCCTATATGAGCAGCCCCGCGAAGAACCACAATACGGTCTACACTCACAGCATCATCACCTTCTTCCTTTTCCTCTTCCTCTTCCTCTTTCTCCATTTCAATCCCCTCAATCCCCTCCCTCTCCTCCTCCACCCCTTCCTCCTCCCGTCTTTTCAGCGCCAGCACAGCTTCCAGCGCCTCTATTCCCATCAGACAAATCTCTTCACCATCGGACGGCTGAGATTGAGAGGCGAGGCCTACACTATCCTGAGCCAATAGACAAGCAGCCTGAGCCAGCTGGGAGTTAGGCGGGGCGCTGGGATTTGAGCCACCGCTTTCAAATAAGACTCCACCTGCCTCCATCTCTCCTGCTGCTGCCTCTACCCGTGCTGCTGCATCCGTCCCTGCGCTTGACTTTGGCCGTGCCCGTGCCACAGTCCCTCCCACTGCCTCTGTCCCAGCTGTTACCTCTACCAAAGCAGTGGCTTGCTCTGCTCTCTTGCTCAACTGCCCAAGATCATCCGCCTTGTGTGCTCTATCTTTCTGTCCATGCCCCTCTCTATGCACGTCTCTGTGTTCGCGTCCGTGCGACCGTTTCCGCGGTATTAGCTGCCCCTCCGCTGCTCGCTCCCCCTGCTGAGCGCAAGCCATTGTCAGCGCTTGCGCCGCAAGGACCTCGAAGACGCTCTGAGATGGGCTGCTGAGGAAGTCAGGGAATGCGGGGGAGGGGAGGGGGGGAGGGGGGTGAGGGGGAAATTTTGAAATTTCTCAAAAGCAAGACATTGTCAGCGCCTCGAAGACGCTCTGAGATGGGCTGTTGTGAGAGTCGAGGAATGAAACACGGGAGGAGTGAGGGGCAAAATGTGAGGGAAAGAAGCACACGTGACGGATGCTGGGGACGGGGGAGTCGGGGTGAGGGTTTGTGTTCACTTCTTAACAGGAAAGGACGTATTCAGGTGTCTTACATGTGAGGTTGCTCCCATTGGGGACACACTCTTCTAGGTTGGAGGTAGCTCGGCGCGCAGTGACCGTACGAGCCCTGAGCTTGCAGTTGAGAGCACCCAATGATCCCCGAGCCAGGAGGAACGAGACGGAGAGTTGGAGGAACGGACGGAGGCTCGGCAGACAGCGAGCTTCGGAGTTTGCCCAGGTTCGGCAGGCAAGGCGCGGGGTCGTGGGACGGAGAGGGATGGGTCTTGCTGTTGGTTTGCCAAGGCGACGAAAAGCAGTGGAAAAAAACAAACAAACAGAAAAGATGAGTTATGAATGTCAGAAAACTTATGCGACGAAGCACGCTCTAACGAGAAGAAAATGAAGCTACCTACTTTTGGACGTTAACGAGCTGTCGTATAAGAGACGCAAAAGTCGTCTTGGACACATGGCGAGACAGGTGGTTATTAGACGCCGCGACGTCTTCCTTGCGCTCCTGCGACGACCGTCGAAAGGACTCGCTTTCGTGACGCCGCGACGATGTGTCAGTAACATCGTTAGTAAGAGGTACTGTAGTCATTGTTAAGTGAGCTTGACAGACGGGCTTCAGGTTCAGGTAAGAAACTGCGAAGAGCAGTGGAGCCTAGAAGTTGGTTGCATAATTGCTAACGAGCTACAAGCAGACCTATTTCAGGTTCAGTAGTTAGTGACGTTAGACGAGTACTTCTTAACCAAGAAAGTCGGAAGATGATTTGAATTAAGTTAGCTGAACTGAAAGCGGTTGACGCACCGCTAACGCAGGAACGAGCTACACAAGACTAGGACTCCCAGGCTGTACTGGAAGCTCAAGAAAGCAGCTGGAAACTTATGATACGCCTTCTACACAGCATTTCTGAAACTGACGTCTTGGAATTATTCTTGAATGAAAGCACCTTTCTGAATCACCTTGCTCGAAATGTCGAAGCATCTCCCTGCCTTGAGAGTTGTGTCAGGCTAGGAGGAAGAGCTTCAGCAGGGGCGGCTGCTGCTCGCAATTTCGGCCTACCCTTGAGTTCCCAAGACCAGAAAGGTTCGGAACCTAGAGATTTTCCCACAAGGTGTTCCGAGCCTGGAAATCAGGCTTCCAAAGAGGCGCCAAAGCTGCAAAAGGGCGAGGCTGCTTCTGATTCGTTGAGAGATGATGTTGCGAAGAGTTACCCGAAAATGAGCCCACGATTGACTGCTGATCGCAGCTGCAACAGGCCTGCGGACAGTTGTTGCAGGCGAGGAATGAGTAGTGGTTACTCCTTCCTCGTCTAAAAAAATCGCGAATGTCCGCGTTGCTCGCATTTGTCGGTCGTGCCAAAATGCCCTCCAGGGATCAGTCGCAACCTGTTCGCGAAGGAACTTGGTCTGTCGTGCACTCACACCAAAGAGGGGCAGGCCACGTCGCTGGCTGTGGGTTTGGTCGGAACCATGCGAAGCGCCCAAGCCTGCACGAGCTGACGACGAAAAGGTGGCAATGACCATTTGCTGATTCTGATTCTAGAAAATATGATGTACACATTACTTTGCTGCGCTAAACGAGTTACTGTATGAAACTGAAAAATAAGAAATTTAACAAAAACAATCAGTCAACAGCATCCGTGTAGAATTACTCCTCAGCTAGCTCTGCCAACTCTAGCCACCTATCTGATTTCACCTCTATAGCCTGCCCCAGCGCAGCAAGCTCATCCGACAATTCTTGGAGCATCGCAAAATCTCCCGCCTTGCTCTTCCGCTCAAGCTGTGCCTCAACCGCCACCTTTTTCTTCTCCAACTTCTCAATCTCCTGTTCCAACCGCTCCCACTCCTTCCTCTCCATATACGACATTTTCCGAGCCGACTTGCCTTTCGTCTTACTCCCACCCGAACCCGCTCCCTCCTCCCGCTTCCTCTGCTCCTCAACCACACTCTTCCCTTCAGCCTCCTTCCTCCTGTCCTCCTCCGCAACCCTCTCCTTCTCCTCCTTTTCCTTCTCCGCCTTTTGCTCCTGCGCGTCAGCGAGGTATTCCGAGAACAGCCCATCATATAGCAACACCTGTCCGTCCCCTTGCAGCACAAACTGGCGATCGACCACCGCATCCATGAATGCACGGTCGTGGGAGGCGACCAGCAGACAGCCCTCGTAGGCCGAGAGAAATGACTCGAGAACCTGGGGAAGGAGTGAACAGGAGGGAAAGGAAGGGGAACAATGCGTTGAATGCACCATCCCCTTGCAGCACAAACAGGCGATCAACCACCGCATCCATAAAAGCGGGAGGCAAAGAGCAGACAGCCCTCATAGGATGACAGGAAGGACTCGAGCGCCTGCACAAGGACAGACGCAGGGGAAGTGACGGTGGGAACTGGCAGTCGACCACCGCATCCATGAATGCACGGTCGTGGGAGGCGACAAGCAGACAGCCCTTGTAGGCTGCAAGGAAGGACTCGAGAGCCTGGAGAAAGAGAGAGGCAGAGGGAGGGGAAGGAAGCAGAGGGAAAGAAGCAGGGGAACTAAATGTGTTGGTCCGTCCCTTGCGGCACAAACTGGCAGTCGAACACCGCATCCATGAATGCACGGTCGTGGGAGGCAACAAACAGCCCTCGTATACCGAGAGAAACGACTCCAGGGCCTGAATCAGGGAAAGATCCAGGGGAACCAGAGGGGAAACGGCATTGAGATGATGTGCCTGTCCGTCCCCTTGCAGCACAAACGGGTGGTCGACCACCGCATCCATGAATGCACGGTCGTGGGAGGCAACTAGCAGACTGCCCTCGTAGGATGACAGGAAGGACTCGAGGGCCTGGAGAAGGGCAGAAGCAGGGGAAGCAGAAGGCAGAAGTAAGGGAAGAGAAGGAAAGGAAGATAAAGGAAGGAATGGGATGAAGAGGATGGCATGAGTGCACAGTCGTGGGAGGCGATGAGCAGACATGCCTCGTCCAATGGTTTGCAGGTCGAGGTCGTTGGTGGGTTCATCCAGCATGAGGAAGTTGGGCCGCTGCGGCAACACCGCTGTCTTGAGTCACAGGCACAACCACAGGCACTCTTGTTCTTAACAAACACACATCACCCATACCTCAATGGTCTGCAGGTCAAGGTCGTTGGTGGGTTCATCTAGCGTGAGGAAGTTGGGCACCGCTGTGTTGAGTCACAGGCACTCACGTGTTCAGGATTCTACCGTCCAACGTGAGTGAATGAAGGGGCGCCACCCACCTCAATGGTCTGTAAGTCCAGGTCGTTGGTGGGTTCGTCCAGCATGAGGAAGTTGGGTCGTTGAGCCAATACTGCCGCCAGCAGCAGCCGTCGCTTCTCCCCTCCACTGAGCTTCGATGCCCTGATGTGCACGTGGAAGGGGAGGGTGGGGGGGAGCAGAGCCAAAGAAGAGGCAGGGTGATGCATGCAATGAGGAGGCATGAGGAAGTTGGGTCGTTGAGCCAGCACTGCCGCCAGCAGCAGCCGTCGCTTCTCCCCTCCACTGAGCTTCGATGCCCTGATGTGCAGGTGGAAGGGGAGGGTGGGGGGGAGCAGAGCCAAAGAAGCGGCAGGGTGATGCATGCAATGAGGAGGCATGAGGAAGTTGGGCCGCTGCGCCAACACTGCCACCAGCAGCAGCCGTCGCTTCTCCCCTCCACTGAGCTTCGATGCCTGATGTGCACGTGGAAGGGGAGGGTGAGGGGTTGTAGAGCCAAGGAAGAGGCAGGGCGATGCAGTGAGGAGGCATGAGGAAGTTGGGCCGCTGTGCCAGCACTGCCACCAGCAGCAGCCGTCGCTTCTCCCCTCCACTCAGCTTGGATGCCCTGATGTGCGTGGGTGGGGGGGATGGAGGGGGGGAGAATATTAAAGAGGCAAGAGGGGGACAAGGGAGGGGAAACGGAACCTTTTGACACAATAAGGGAGGAGAGGATGGAAGTCCAGAGGACCTATTCAGGCTAACGACACATCAAGTGGCATACAGAAATACGCCGCGAGCTAACAGCATCAAGCTCACCAGGTGTATTGCTTCGCCTTTTGAGGCGCCTCAAAAGTCGAGACATCAAGTGGCATGGCAACAACATCAAGCTCACCAGGCGTATTGCTTCGCCCGCGGAAACCCAAACCGCTCCAGAAGCTCCGAAGCAGAAACAGGCTCGGCCGAACCAGCGGCAGCACCAGCGGCAGCAGCAGCAGCAGCAGCATCAGCAGCAGCAGCAGCAGCAGCAGGGATGGAACCCCAGGAGCCGAGAACAGCAGCAGTGGGGTTGAAGTTTTGAACGAAGTCGAGTACTCGCATGTTGTCAGGCACAGGGGGCATGTGCTGTGTGTAATACCCCATCACCACTGTCTCCCCAACATCTCTAGTGCCTGATGGGAGAGGCAGCAACCCCGCTAAGGCATCAAGAAACTGAGGACGGAGGGACAGGACGAGGGGGAGAAGGGGGACGGAGAGCGAGAGGGTACAGAGAGGGTTGGAGGTCTGAACAAAGTCGAGGACTTGCATGTTGTCAGGCACAGGGGGCATGTGCTGTGTGTAATACCCCATCACCACCGTCTCACCCACTTCTCTGGTACCAGAGGGGAGAGGGAGCAGGCCCGCCAAGGCGTCTAGGAACTGAGGTTGGGAGGGGAGAGGGGAAGAGAGAGGAGCTTGTAAGAGAAAGAGGGACGGAATGGAGGGAGGAAAGTGGGGACGAAAAAGGGAAGGAGGGGCGAGCAAGAGAAGGAGAGAGAAAAGGATACTGATGACTCGAGTGCTGCAAGATGGAAAACAAAAAGGGGATTTGCTGAGCTGGAAAAACAGCTGTGGCGACTGACTGACGACTCAGTTGACAAGCTGTGCTTACAGTGGTTTTTCCTGCTCCATTGCGCCCTACCACTCCCAGGCGATCCCCCCGACCAAACTCATACCTGCATGGCATGTAGGTGATATGGCAAGGCATAGGGGCCAAGAAGAGGGGGTATGTATGAGGGACATGGGAGGGCATTGGTGGGAGATGGGGGCGCATGGGGAGTCATGGGGAGTCATGGGGAGCACGGGGAACATGGGGAGCATGGGGAGCATGGGGAGCATGGGGAGCATGGGGAGCATGGGGAGCATGGGGAGCATGGGGAGCATGGGGAGCATGGGGAGCATGGGGAGCATGGGGGGGAAGCAGATCGTTGTCTTGAAAATCCAAATACGACGCTCTACCCTCTCCTCTCCTCTCCTCTCTACCTCCATTAAAACACGACAGTCACCAAGAATTGAGACGGCTTGAACCTCATCACATGACCGTCAAACATGTGACCCCCCCAGCACATGTGAACCGTCAAACACGGTAACTGAAATGACCCAAAACTTGTAACCTACACCCTCATCCTCCCTGTGTCCCCCAGCACTCACCCCATCCAGCACTCACCCCCCCAGCACTCACCCCCCCAGCGCTCACCCCCCAGCACATGTGAACCTTCAAACACGGTGTTCTCTCCTCTCATAGCCGTCGCAGCTCTCAACTCCAACACCTTCCCATCCCACACACACCCCTCAGCCATACAACCAACCGAGTAATCACACCCCCATCTTCCCCCATCCCCTCTCCAGCACTCACGTGAACCCTTCAAACACGGTGCTCTCTCCTCGCATCGCCGTCGCATCTCTCAGCTCCAACACCTTCCCACCCAGCCGTGCCTCCCCCATACCCATCTCCACCACTCTCCCCACCGCCGCCTGCTGCTGCCGCTGCCTTTTCTCCGCCGTCGCTTTAGTAAGCGCCAAAAACCGGTCGATTCTCGACCGGGACTTAGTCGATCTAGCTTTCGGCATTCGCCGCATCCACTCCCCCTCCCGCCGCAGCGTGTTCGCTGCCCGGCCAATCGCGGCGGCTTCTTCGGCTGCCCGCTTCGCCCGGGCAGCCAAAAAGTTTGAGTAGTTGCCCGAGTGCCGAAAAGAGTACCCGCGATCTATTTCGAGCATGTGCGTGCAGACAGCGTCGAGAAAGTAACGGTCGTGGGAGACGAGGACGACGGTTAGAGAGGGATCGGAGAGGGCCGATTGCATCCAATCAATGACTGCCACGTCCATGTGGTTGGTGGGCTCCTGTTGGGGGGGGGGAAGGAGGGGAGGGAAGTGGGTTGGGTTAAGGTAATGAATACCTGTGGAAGGGGTGAGAGAAATAGAAGAGGGAGGGCCGATTGCATCCAATCAATGACTGCCACGTCCATGTGGTTGGTGGGCTCCTGTGGAAAGGGGGGGGGGGGGGGGGGGAGGACAGAGAAAGAGGGGTGGAGAGAGGAACATGCGTATGACCGTGAGAGAGGGATCTGAGAGGGCCGATTGCATCCAATCAATGACTGCCACGTCCATGTGGTTGGTGGGCTCGTGGTTGGGGGGGAGGGGGAGGAAGGGAGGACAGAGAAAGAGGGGAGGAGAGAGGCGAGCACGACGGTGTGAGAGGGGCCTGAGAGGGCGGATTGCATCCAATCAATGACTGCCACGTCCATGTGGCTGGTGGACTCCTGGTGAGAGGGATACTGGGTGGGGATTCAAAAAGAGATTAAAAAAGGGGTTATGAGAAAGTGGGAGGTGACATGGATCTCCCATCAAGAACAATGGGCTCTCATTGACAAGAGCCACTCACATCGAGAATGATGAGCTCTGGCTTCGCCAGCAGCGTTGCAGCCAGGGCCACCCGCTTCCTCTGCCCGCCACTAAGCGACGAAACTTGCCGCTCCATAATCCCACCACCACTGCCACCGCCACCACTGTTGGTCAGAGCAGCGTCCCCCAGCCCTAGTATTTCTAGAAGCTTCTCTGCCTCTGCCACCACGTCCCATGCCCCCATCGCCTCCACCCCATCTATTGCCCGCTGCAGCGCCGCTGCCTCTGCTGGGGTGGGGTCTGGATAAGGCGCAGTATAGGGGATGGGATGGATGGGGATGTCACAAAGGGGTTGTGGGATGAGTACACGCACTAGCTTCTCCGCCTCTGCCACCACGTCCCATGCCCCCATCGCCTCCACCCCATCCAGTGCCTATTGCAGCGCTGTTGCTTCTGAGGGTGTGGGGTCTGGATGGGAAGATGGAGATGGGGACAGCCAGTCTCTCAAATAAGGCAACTTTTGTTTTGAGGCGCCTCAAAAATGGGGACAGCCTGTCTCTCAAATAAGGCGCCTCAAAACTGAAACGAGTTTGCGGTGCCTAGTTAAATCAGGTTTCCCTTTCCATTCTCCGAGCTAGTCTCTCATTCTCCCTCATAGCACGTATGGGCAGCATTTCTTGCTGACAGCACTGACAGTCCCTTACCCCAACTTCCATCCCCTTTACAAGCTGCACACAACAGCATACTGTAACTGGAATCTCACCTCTGCCCTTCATTCTCTGTGCAGCTCTCTCGTACTCCCTCACAGCACGCATGGCAGCATTGTCCGCTGACAGCCCTCCCCTTCCCCTCACCCCTGCTTTCATCCCCTTTATAAGAAGACGCACAGGCACAACACTTACCTCGCCCCTTCATCCTCTGTGCAGCTCGCTCGTACTCCCTCACAGCACGCATGGCAGCATTGTCCGCTGACAGCCCTCCCTCTCAACCATCCCCTTTATAAGCAGACTCGCAACACATACGCACCTCTGCCCTTCATTCTCTGTGCTGCTCGCTCGTACTCCCTCACAGCGCGCATGGCAGCATTGTCCGCTGACAGCACTGCGTCTAGCAGAGACAGATGCGAGGGCAGGTCGGGGTCCTGTTCAGGGTTCAGGGTTCAGGAATTCGGGGTTTGGGGTCAGGGATAAAGGAGGGAGTGGGAAAGCATTGACATCACTGCATTCAGAACACAGAGTAAAGCGGACACGCCCGGGTCCTGGGATTTTCTTATGAGCCTAAAGATGAGAGCAGCTAGGGATTGGCAGGGGCCCGGCTCGTTTTTGTTGAATTCACCTGAGCGAGAAACGCCAGGTTCAGGTTCCGCCTGCGCTGCACCTTGCCCTGATCAGGTGCGTCCATCCCCGCTAGTATCCTCAGCAATGTGCTTTTACCGCATCCGTTCCGCCCCAGCAGCCCCAGTTTCTGCCCTCTGCTTATAGTCACATCCAGCCCCTCAAAAAGCACGTCCATTCCGAAGCTCTTCGCCAGCCCTTCCCCCGTTATAAGTGCCTCCCCGCCTCCGCCCGCGCCGGGCCTAGGCGCAGCGGGCGCGGAAGCGGGGGAAGCGGAGGTTCCCCCCGCGGGATTTGAGGTTGCAGCGGTTGTGATCCGGCTGGAGCGGGATTGGTTACGAGCTTGGAGGATGCGCGGAGCGGAATGGGGGGGAGAATAACGCGGGGAGGCGGAACTGGGGGAAGCGGCACAGGGGGAAGCGGAAGGGGAAGTGGGGGATGCGGGCACTCTTCCAGCTGCGCCTGGTGTCGCGGCGGTTACAGTCCGGCTAGCGCAGGAGCGCCTATTTCCGGAATACCAGGGACCATTTCGCAGCGGCAGCGGCGGCGGAAGTGGCGCTAAGACGAGGCTGCGACTCGGCATGAGGCTACTAATCGAAATATTACAGTGTGCGGAGGATTGAGAAATGAGTGTACCAGGCTGACGCTCCGAGCGAATGCAGATGGACGGTGGCGATATTGAGCAATTATGGCAGGGAGATAATTGCGATAGGTGGGTGTAGAGAGGCATGGTGCCTGTGCCAATAGCCAGTGTCAATAGCCAGCCGTACACCTATTGCGGCCCGCTATCCGTATACTGGCTGGCGAGGGGGGTCCTAAGATGCGACTTGGAACACCAGGCTTTGATTAGCAGGTGATGGGGATGGAGAGATGGCAGTTGCATGTGTGTTCGGATGTCAAATATGGTGCCATCGAGCATATGTGATCTCTTACGGTATTGTAGCTGCTTGGAGGCGCGATCGAATGGGGAACGTCATAACGCGGATGCCATGTCACCACAGTCAATAACACCAATCAGAAACAGCCTCCAAGATCCGATGGCCCACACTTCGTTCCCGACCTGGTTACCCGATTCGTCACGCTGATTCTGTGTCGTCCAGCGCCTGCCAAAGCTGCTGCGAATTCGGCATCAACGCTGACAAATCATCGCCTTGCTGTGTAAACACACATTCTCCTCCCAAGCCAGATGTTCGCGTATTCTGCACTTCCGAACCGGACTGGGACCCCACCGGACCAGGTCAATTCACTTGAAGCGGCGGCAAAAACGTTCCCCCGAGGTTGTCGAGTTCTGCTGAACGCGCAGCCCTAACCTAGGGTTTCTCCTGAAATGTACCCGTTCAGCCAACAACCAAGTGAAGCCGAACCAGGAACTTGGCTGAAATATGCTTCCGAAGCAAAAGGCATAGCTCCCCCGAGCCTTGGGTTTTCCGTCTCCCCTCACTTCCCCTGCTTCGCAGGCTCGCAGCCCGTCCATTCGTCCTTCCCGCCCGTCAGTTACTTTCAAGACGTGCCTGAATTATCTTAGAGCTGCTGTTTCGCTTCGAGCCTTTCGCGAGTGAGGAAATCTCGCAGGACAGTCTCTGCCAAGCGCTATCGATGGTTGTGTGGGATAAGCGCCGTTTCCTGATTTCGCTTAGAATGCGGAAAGAAATAAGACAGAGTAAGGAAGGAGTGGCTACTCGCAGTCGTAGGTCGTCTGGAATGTCCGTTTTAAGGCTCCATAACCCAGCTGACTACTAAATCCATTATTTTGTTATTGATGGAAGGAGTCGTTCCCTCATGGAATCCGTGGTTCAGGAGAACGAGATTGACAGTATTCTTTATTGACTCGATTTGAGATTCTTTCATTTCTCAAGGGGTCGTTGCCCCATGGATTTCGTCATTCTGGAAGAATGGTTTGGCAAATTATTGTTATTTGGTTGACTAGAAAGTTTCGTTAATTTCTCAACGAGGCGTTTCCCCATAACGTCCGTCATTATGGAGGACGAGATTTACTATTATTATTATTTACTCGAAGAATAAAGTCGCTAGCTTCTCAGAGAGTCAGTTTCCCCATGGAGTCCGTCATTCTGGAGGAGGAGGTGGACGAGAATTATGAGCCGACGGAAGAAGGTACTACGGCGTGCTTCTTAATCTTTGTCGTTGGTCCTCGTCGCTACCTCTCGATGTTCTCGCCTAGCCATGCCCGTCAGCCTGCTAAGCCAAGGACATTCGAGGACGAAAGTATCAGTTCCCTGCACGTATTACCGCGTTTCACGGAGTCATAGTCGTGTGTTGATTTCGTCTGGGGGGGTGATTCCCAGACACCCATTTCAAATTTCAAAACACCCCTCCCGGATTCTAGGGCGTGTTCATATTGGATTCGCAGGCACGTTCAATCCTTCTCAGATTTCCGAACCATTCTTCTGAATTCCTGACCGTTCCTCCTGGGCTCCGTACCGTTCCTTTGGGGTTCCGTACCGTTCCTCCTGGATTTCTTACCGATCCCCCTGGATTCGTGACCGTTCCGTTTGGATTTTTTACCGTTCCTTTTGGACTCCTGACCGTTATTCGTGGATTCCTTACCGTGCTCTGCTCTCTGACCCACTGGCCCTCCCTGCTCAGATATTCTGGAGTACGCGCGGTGGCTGGGCATGGAACTCCCGGGGGAGGAGGAGCTGCTGTGGGTGGGCCATCCCCTGTCAGCCCCCGTATCTTACGTCCCTCATGGTGCTCCCGTGCCCTGCTTTCTGACCCACTGGCCATCCCTGCTCAGATATTCTGGAGTACGTGCGGTGGCTGGGCATGGAGCTCTTGAGGGAGGAAGAGCTGCTGTAGGTGGCCCATCCCGTGCGACCCCCATCCATCCCTGCGTCTGATATCATGCTGCTTCTCTGCTCTGCTCCGCTCCGCCTCTCCCGCTTCCCCGTAGAAATTCTCGAGTACGCGCGGTGGCTGGGAATGGAGCTACCGGGGGAGGAGGAGCTGCTGTGGGTGGGCCTGTCCCTGTCACTCCCTTTCCATCCGACCACCATCCCATCCGTGCTCTGTTCTCTGACCGCCCTGCTCTCCCGCAGAGATTCTCGAGTACGCGCGGTGGCTGGGAATGGAGCTACCGGGGGAGGAGGAGCTGCTGTGGGTGGGCCTGTCCCTGTCACTCCCTTTCCATCTGACATCCATCCCATCCGTGCTCTGTCCTCTCCTCTGACCGCCCTGCTCTCCCGTAGAAATTCTCGAGTACGCGCGGTGGCTGGGAATGGAGCTACCGGGGGAGGAGGAGCTGCTGTGGGTGGCGCGGCAGGGGCTCAAGTCGCCTCTGCCGCCCAACTGGAAGCCCTGGTGAGTGCCTCGTCTTGTCTGGTGTGCCTCGTCTCGTCTTCCTCTGACACTTGCCTCTCGTCCGGTGCGCCCTACGATCGTTCTTTGAGACGGCTCAAAAGATGTCGCCTTTCCCGCCCTTACCAGTGGCACGGAGGATGGGGAGATCTACTACTTCAACTTCCAGACGGGCGAGAGCGTTTGGGAGGTGTGATGGTATGCTATGGCTGTTCTCACAATCCCGTCCCACTCACTCCCACCTCTTCCCTCACCGTCTCCCCTCCATCCTTCACCAGTGGCACGGAGGACGGGGAGATTTATTACTTCAACTTCCAGACGGGCGAGAGCGTGGGGGAGCACCCCTGTGACGACCACTACCGCGCCGTTTACCACCAGGAGAAGGCCCAACTGCTGCTCGCCCGCTCGCCTTTCCGTCCTGCTGTTGCCGGTGGTGCTCCCTAACTAACCAACCATCCCTGCCCTAACTAACCATCCCTGCCCCTCGCCTCCTCATTCCTGCCCACAATGCCAGTGGCACGGAGGACGGGGAGATCTACTACTTCAACTTCCAGACGGGCGAGAGCGTGTGGGAGCACCCCTGCGACGACCACTACCGCGCCGTTTACCACCAGGAGAAGGCCAACCTGCTTCTCGCACGCGCCGCTCCCCCTCTTGCTGTTGCCAGTGGTGCTGGTGGGGGTGAGGGTGGTGGTTCTGCTGCTACTTCTGGTCGTGCTGCTGCAGCTGGAGGTGGGAATGTGGAGGGTGCGGGGAGGAAAGGGGGCTTTGGTGGAGCGGCGGGGGCAGGGGCGGGGATGATGGGAGGAGGAGGAGGAGGAAGCGGCGGAAGAGGAGGAGCGGGGATGATGGGGGGAGGAGGGGCGGGGATGATGGGGGGAGGAGGGGCGGGGATGGGTGGAGAGGCGTATGTACGGCAGGCATCCCTGCCGCCACAGAATAGAGGGGAGCATCACGGAAACCTGTTTCGCCAGGGATCGTTACAGCCTAACTCAGCGGCAGCAGCACTGGTGAGGCTAATTGGGTTACATGTTTCCTCCTTTTGTCCTCCTCCTCCCTCATGAATTTCCCCCTTTGCTGTCGTCTTGAAACCTCCTTGACCCACTCGCTGCCAGCTTCAAGGCACGCCCCTAGCCCCACTTACCGCACACCTTTCTGCACGCACTCCGTTTTCTTGGCATCTGCCTTCCAGTTTTGAGACGTTCTCAAAACTTCAAGGCACGCCCCTAGCCCCACTTACCGCACGCCTTTCTGCACGCACTCCGTTTTCTTGGCATCTGTCTTCCTTCTTCCTGTAAACCCTTGTCTCGCATTGCCGTGATGTTTCAGTCGACTCAAAATCGTCTTTTGTACTCACTCCGTTTCGTGTCATCTGTCACCCTGTCTGCATGCCCTTCTCTTGCGTTGGCCTGCCAGCGGCAGCAGAAAGAATTGCCTAAGCCCAGCAGTCGCAGCCTGTAAATTTCTCTTGCTCCCCATCTCGCTCTCTCTCCCTGCCTGCCTGCCTGCCCTTCTCTTGCGTCGCCCTGCCAGCGCCAGCAGAAAGGGTACTTGGGCGATTTTTGAGGCGCCTAAAAAAAAAGTACTCACTCCGTTTCTTGTCATCTCGCTCTCTCCCCCTGTGACCTGTCTGCATGCCCTTCTCTTGCATTGCCCTGCCAGCGCCAGCAGAAAGGGTCACCTGCACGCATGTGAGGAGTCAATTTTTGAACCGACTCAACATCGTCTGTTGTACTCACTCCGTTTCTTGTCATCTCTCCCCCTGTCTGCATGCCCTTCTCCTTCGTTGTCCTGCCAGCGGCAGCAGAAAGGGTCACCTGCACGCGCCCACGCCCAGCAGTCGCAGCTACGGCCTCAGCAACAGCAGCCGCAGCAGCAGCAGCAGCTACACCAGCAGCAACGCCAACAGCAGCAGCAGCTGCAGCAGCAGCAACAGCAGCAGCAGCAAAAAGCTCAGCCAGTAATAATTCAGAGAAGCTCCTACACCAAACCTCCTGGTCCCCCGAACCTCGCTCGGTTCGGCAGTCTGCCGCGGATGCCAGCCTGGCTCGGGCAGGCTCCGTGCCTGCGGTGACGAATGGTGTGACGGGCCTTCCTGCTGAAACAGAGGAGGAGGAAGGTATGTGTGTTTGTGTGCGTGCGTGCGTGCGTGCGTGTGTGCGTGCGTGCGTGTGTGCGTGCGTGTGTGCGTGCGTGCGTGCGTGCGTGCGTGCGTGCGTGCTTGTGTGTGTGTGCATGTGTGCGTGCATGTGTGCGTGCGTGCGTGCGTGCTTGTGTGTGCGTGCATGTGTGCGTGCGTGCTTGTGTGAGCGTGCATGTGTGCGTGCTTGTGCGTGTTCAGAGTCAGATTGATTCCTTTTCTTTTCCTCCTCCGTTTGTGCTCCCTCTGCTTCCACGTGACAGTCTGGAGCATCTGATGTTTCTGGTGGCGGTGGTGTTGGTGATGGTGTGTTAAGATTCAATTTGCCTCATTCTTATCATTCTTCTATCCCCCCTCTCCTTGTGCTCCCTCTTCTTCTTCGCCGTGACAGCCTGGAGCAGCTCTGATGACGATGGTGGCGGTGGTGTTGGAGACACAGCTGCTTCTTGTGGGAATGCTCCTGGTGATGCATCTATTTCTGCTGCTGGCTCTGGGTCAGGGGCAGGTATAGGAAGGGTGGTAGGCAGGGTTGCTGGAGCAGTTACTCAATCTGATGCTACTGCTGCTGCTGCTGCTACTGCTGCTGCTGCGACTCCTACAGCTATTGCCACTGCTGTCTCGGCTGCTTCTGCCGCTATTGCTACTGCCGCCACTGCTGCTTCTACCGCCGCCACAACTCGAGCATCAGGTGCCGGTACGGCTATCGCTGGTTCTAAGCTAGCTGCTGCAGCCTTAGGGCAGGATGTGCGCCGAACCTTCTCAGACCCTAAAAAGGCCTCAGGGTTCTCTAAAGCTGGTACTGGTAACCCTGTTACTGCTGCTGGTGGTAACCCTATTGTGGCTCGTGTGGGCGGTGGAGGGGAAGCAGCGGGGGGAAAAGAGGGGAAGGAGAGGCGGAGGTCTTTGGACGGGGCAGGGGAATGGCGAGGAGGGGAACGAGGAGGAGGGGAGCAAGGAGGAGGGGGAGGTGGCAGTGGGAGTTTCAAAAGAGTGGAGAGTGGAAGTGGAGAGGCAAAAGCTGTGCCTCGTCTTGGTGTTGCTGGTGCGCCCAGAACAGGGGCCAGTGGGAGCTTCAAAAGGGCTGATAGTGCTGATGCTGATGTTAAGGGAATGCTTAAAACGGAGGGATTAGGAGGGAGTGAGAAATTCAAAAGGGCTGATAGTGCTGATGCTAGTGCCAAGGGCTTGCTGAAAGCAGACGGATCAGGAGGGAGTGAGAAATTTAAGAGGGCTGATAGCGCCGATGCTAGTGCTAAAAGATTGCTCAAAGCAGACGGATCAGGAGGGAGTGAGAAATTCAAGAGGGCTGATAGCGCTGATTCATGTGCTAAGGGCTTGCTTAAAGCCGAAGGAGTGAGAATAGGAGGGAGCGGTAGCTTTAAGAGGGCTGATAGCGCCGATTCTTGTGCTAAGGGCTTGCTTAAAGCCGAGGATGCGAGTCCTCAAACGGGCGCAGGAGGGAGCGGGAGCTTCAAACGGGCTGATAGCGCGGATGCTAAGGGTGTTGTTCGGGTTGAGGTTAATCGAAAGGGAGGCAGCTGGGATTTGAAGAAGGATTGTAACCGGAAGGATAGTGGTGGGGATAGTATGAGGAAGGATAGTGGTGGGGATAGTATGAGGAGGGATAGTGGTGGGGATAGTATGAGGAAGAGCAGTGGGGACCTAGGTAAGGGTACTTTTAGGTGTGAAGAGGCAGGTGGGGAGGAGAGAGATGAAGGCACAGAGTCTGGTCAGGAAGGGATGGTGATTTCAGACATGGGACAAAGCAAGAGAAGGGCAAAGGGAGTGTATGGGGATGGTGGTGAGGCAAAGGGGAAACGTGGGTTTGCGTCAGAGGAAATGCAGGAGGAAATGGAGAAGGAATTGCGGGAGGAAATGCAGAAGGAAATGCGGGAGGAAATGCGGGAGGATATTGAGAAAGAGAGGGCGCGACTGTGGGAGGAGATGCAGGCAGATGTGATGAGCCAATTGGAGCGCAGGAAACAGGAGCTGCTTGCTGACATGGCAAGGAAAGTTGATGCTGACGTGGCAGAGGAGTATGAGAGGATCAGGCAGCAACGGGAGGAAGAGATTCGGCAACAGGGCGAGGTTGAAACAGAGGTTAGGGATTACCGAGCCAAGTTGCTAGCTTCGGTAGAAGAGGAGGCGACTCGTTTGCGGGAAAATTTGAGGGAGAGCAAGGCTCGGGAAGTGGCTCGGGCCGAGCGTGAGGTCCGGCGGCTGCAGGAGGAGCTGGAGGTTCGGGCGACCCAGGTGCTAGACTCGTTCCGAACCGACCTCCAGGTTCGGTTGGAAGGGGAGAAGCTGAAGCTGAGGAGAGAAGCAGTGAGGGCATTAGAGAGATGGAGAGAGGAACTGGAGATGAAGGTTCAGAGGAAGGTTCAAGGCATGCGGATGGATCTACAGATGAAGCTGGAGGCGAAAAGGAGGGAGATGGAGGTGGTAATGAGGAAGAAAGTGGAGGAAGAGAGAGTGTGGCGATTGGAACAGCTCAGTCGGGAGCTGAGAGAAGAGGAGATGGAGTTGAGAAGAGGGTGGAGGGAGAGGATGGAGAGGGAGAAGCAGCGGGTGCTGGGAGGTGGTGGGTCGAGGCGTTCGTTTGATCTGACGGGGAAATCAGCTCTGATGGGGCTGGGGGGTGAGAGGAACGGGCAAGTCGTGGGGATGAGAGAGGAGCAGAGGGTGTTAGGGGGTGCTCCCAGGCATTCGTTTGATTTGACGGAAAAGTCACCTCTGATGCTGGGGGGGATGAGGAACGGGCAAGGTGTGGGGTTGAGAGAGGAGGAGCAGATGATGTTTGGAGACATGAGGAGTCCTAGAAGGTTCGGAGGAGTGATGGGGCAACAGCAGCAGCAGCAGCAGCAGCAGCAGCAGCAGCAGCAGCAGCAGCAGCGGCACTTGGGGGAGGCATATGTATGGGACGGATTTTTCGACCTGGAGTCAGATTTTAGCCGAGACGGCTTGATTGGGAATGAGCATGGATATGGGCATGGGGATGGGGATGGGGATGGGGATGGGGATGGGAACTGGACTGGGGATGGGGGTGCGTATGGATATGGGAATGGGGATGGGGCGGGGGGATCAGGGTTCCTTCTCACGTCCTCTCCAGGTGCCCGCCCTGAGCATAGGAGAGCGAGGGCAGGGGAGCAGGGGCAGCAGGCAAGAGGTAGTGGTGAGGGTGGATATGGGGTTGCCGCTGCTGCTGCTTCTGCTAATGGTGCTGGTGCTGCTGCTGGCGGTGCTGCTGCTGGTGGTGGTGCTGCTGCTGCTGCTAACAGTGGTAATGCCTCTGCTCCTGCAGTAACAGCAGCAGCAGTGGCAGCAGCAGCAGCAGCAGCTGTTTCTCCTGCTCAGAACCTTGCTCCCTTTGAAGGGGGCCAATATGATTCTGGCAGCAATTTCGGGGAGAGCTCGCGTGAATTCATGCCGAGATTTTCGCTCGGGCAGGTCGGGCAGGTGGAAGGAAGTGTGTTGGCCGGGGACTGGATGGGCCAGGGCAGGGTTGGGCTGGGGGCGGGCGGGAGGAAACTGAGGAGGCGGGGGAAGAGCAATCGGACGGTGGGGAGCGAATCTGGCCACGATCGGACGGTGGAGGATGCATTGAAATCGGGGAGCGGCGGAGGGTATTACTCGGCACGAGGCGATTCGGATTCGGAGGAGATGGGAGATCTAGGGAAGGGGGATCTGGGGAGGGTGCATCTACGGGCGCGGCGCAGAGGGGTTCAGAGCGGTGGAGGGGCATTTGACGATGGAGGGATCTCGTTTGGGGAGTTTGATTTCTTTTCTTTCTTTCTTTCTTTCTTTCTTTCTTTCTTTTCTTCCTTTTCCTTCCTTCCTTCCTTCCTTCCTTCCTTCCTTCCTTCCTTCCTTCCTTCCTTCCTTCCTTCCTTCCTTCCTTCCTTCCTTCCTTCCTTCCTTCCTTCCTTCCTTCCTTCCTTCCTTTCTTTCTTTCTTTCTTTCTTTCCTTCCTTTCTTCTTTCGCTCGTTCTTTGCCTCTTTTGAGGTGGAATCTCTCTAAATTTTGCTGGTTTTTCCTGCTTGTTTTTTCTCTTTGGCAAGATTGAGCAATGCTACATGTTCCACAACTTACCCCTTCACCCTGTTCCCAGGGAGCGCGAGAGCATGCTGCGTCAGGCCAAGCGGTTTGCAGCGGAGCAGCGGCAGAGCTTGAAGGAGCGAGAGGGGGTGCTGGAGGCGGCTAGGCAGGATTGGAGGAGTCGTATGGAGGCAGTTCAAGAGGTGAGGGGGGATGGGTGTGATTGTAGTGAATGGCATGTGGTTAATGAAGCTGTGTGATTGTACTGGTGGGGTTTCAACGTGCAAGTGAGCTTGAAGGAGCGGGAGGCGGCTAGGCGGGACTGAAGGAACCGTATGGAAGGAGTTTAAGAGGATGAGTTGTAGTGAAGGGGTAGAAGGTGGTGTGACTGAAGCACGGGTTCTTGAAGGTGCGAGAGGGGGTGCTGGAGGCGGCTAGAAGGGACTGGAGGAGGGGGGTGTGGGTGATAATAGTAAAGTGGAGTGATTGTGGCGAATGGGTGTGACTGCAGTGAAATGTTGTCATAGTTTGAAAGAGAGAGGACGTGACAGAGGCGGGTAGGCGGGACTGGAGGAGCCGTATACAGGTAGCTGAAGTGGTGAGGAGGGGTGTGGGTGATAATAGTGAAGGGTGTGATTGTAGTGAGTGGGGTGTGTTTGTAGTGAATGGGTTTCCTACGGTGGGGCAGAGAGGTTGAGATGGGAGCGGCTAGGCAGGACTGGGGGAGTCGCATGCAGGGTTGATCCTGGCGAAGGGGTGTGATTGTTTGTTTTCTTGCTCGAAGAGAGGCAGTGGAAGGTGCAGCATGTGATGTGCATCAAGGCGACGTTGTATCAGCATGAGCGTGAAGCGGCTCAGAAAGAGCCTTCTCTCCGTTCCCCCTCATGTTCCTCCTTTATTCTTATCGTTCTTTCCACCCTCTCGAATCTCCTGCACTCTTCCCTTCCCGCCCTTGCTTGCAGTTATCCGATCAGGATGAGAAGAGGCGGAAGGTGCAACACCTGATGGCAATCAAAGCAACATTGGATCAACACGAGAGAGAGCTGAATGACGATGCCAGGAGCGTCAGGCAGCTGAGAAAGAGCTTACTTGCCTTCTCCCGCAATGCCGCTTCTGCTGGTGGTGGTGGCGGCGGTGGCGGCGGTGGTGGCGGTGGTGGTGGTAATTTAAGTGGCAGTGGATTCTTAAGTGCAAGTGGTGGTATCAATACCGAGGAAGGGTTTTGGGCTGGGGGTAGGGGAGGCGGTGGGGAGCGAGTGGGCGGAGGGATGGGAGGAGGGATGGGAAGGGGGGGTGGTGGTATTTTTGGAAAGTACTTGGGTATTCCGCCAGGTGGTGGCGTGCGATTGGACCAGAACCGCCCCTTAGTCAACTTCCCGCCGAGTGCGATCATGTCCCCAGCCTCCTCGTTTGCTTCGGTGACGATCCAAGAAGGCAACCCAGACCTGAGCGACGTGAGCTGCAACTCAGGCTCGGGGTTGAAACTCCCTGCCGAAGCTGATGCAGCGGGTGTAGGTGGTCCTGGGGTTGCTAGGGGTGCCGGGGGTGGTGGCCGTGTATCATCTCCCTTGTCATCTCCCGTACGAAGAGAGATAGGGAAAAGCATGCTGGGTTTTGAGTCTCCTAAGAATAATTCTCCCTTGCCTTCTCCTGTGCGGCAAGAGGTGGGGAATAGCATATTTGGGGCAAAGCGTGAAGAAACGAGGGTTGGAATTGGGAAGGGCGCTGCTGGTTTGACTGCCGCTGCTGCTGCTGCTGCTGCTGTTGCAAGCTTCTACTGGTGGTGTTGGTGCCGGTGCTGGTGGTGCTAGTGCTAGTGCTGCTGCTGGCAGCAGCCAAGGCATTGAGTTGAAACTGCAAGGAGGACAGAATGTGGGGGGCAGAAAAAGGGGAGCTGAGGTAGCCGGGAGAGTAGAGGGAGGGCATGTGGGAGGAGGGAAAGGTAGAGCGGAAGCAGGGGGGAGAAAGGAAGGAAGCGGGAAAGGTAGAACAGAGGGTGGAGAGGTTAAGAAGGCAGCAGCCACAGGAGCGGCGGATTACCCTCCACCGAGTTTTGAGTCGAGTAGAAAATCAGCTGGAGAGGCTAAAAGCGCAGCCAGGGGTGCGGTTGATAAAGCTTCTTCGGGAATGGCAACGGTTGTAGGGGAGGAGAGGAGGGGAGAAGGACAGGAGAGGAGGGGAGAGGGGGAGGAGAGGCGGGGAGAGGGAGAGGGGAGGCGTGCAAGTGGTCAGGGAAGGAACGCCTCGGGTTCTAGGAAAGGGGGAGCTTTAGCTGGAATTGTAGCAGCAGGAGCAGGAGCGGTGACAACACCAACAGACGGCCAACTAACCCGCCAGTCAAACCAGACTGAGCATACGTGAGCTTCGTTCTCAAACCTTCCAATTTCTTCCATTTTCCCGGTTTGCTCCTTCGTCCTCTCCCCTTCTGTTCGCTCTGCCTGCTCTCTGTCGTCCTTTTTTGCCTTCCTCATTTTCTTTCTCATTCTCGTGCTTTCCTTGCTATGCCTCCCTGGTGTTGCCAGCGGTTTTTTGAGATGGCTTGCAACAGCCCCTCCGTTGTCCGCTTTCCTTGTTACGTTTCTACTCATCCCTCCCTTCTCCGTTTCCCACCCTTCACCCATTACCTTCCCTCTCTTGCATCCCTGGCATTGCCAGTCAAAGGGTGAAAGCCGGCCGTAGCAGCACAAGCGTGGCAAGTGGGGGTGCGGCTGGGGCCCAGGGATTGGGGGGAGGGACCAGCGGGGCTGTTGTTGGGGGAGCAACTGGTGCAGGGCCGGGTGGATTATCAAGAATAGCAGCAGCAGGAGCAACTGGTAACCATCACTTGTAACCCAGTAACCCAACACCCAACAGCAGCAGCACAAGCGCGGCAAGTGGGGGTGCGGCTGGGGGCCAGGCATTGGGGGGAGGGACGAGCGGGGGTGTGGTGGGGGGAGCAACTGGGACCGGTGCACTATCAAGAAAGGCAGCAGCAGGAGCAGCTGGTAACCATCACTTGTAACCCCAACAACACCAACAGCAACGCAGAAGAGGCAGCAACCCAGCAGCAGCGCCAGTGGTTTGTTGAAACAGGACCAGTGAAACAGGACCGGCGGAAACGGTAGGGTTGGGTGATTCGTCATTGTATCATATGTTCATTTGTTTCCATTTAATTTATTTCATTTGTTTTGGACAAATGTGTTGTTCACTGCATGTGAGACACATTACTTATCTTGTATTTGTTCCGCACGAGTAACGTTTATCTTTGGGTTCCAAGCTTGTAACCTTGTATGACCAACAATTCAGTAACCCAGCATGGAAATGTGGTATTTTTCATACTTCTAAGCCTAGTCCTAGAAAACGATGATAACTACGGTAATATCAGTGTACCGTACCCTACCCTGCATTTTGCTGCAAAACCCTGCCGACAATGATGATGTTGCTGGCACTGCTGCTGCTACTGCTGCTGCTGCCACGGCTGGTGATGAAAGGACGACATCTGTTGCTGCTGATAATTCACCTGCTGCTGCTGATAGTTGATATGTTGATGCTGGTTGTTCACCTGCTGCTGTGGGAATGTCTGTTGCTGCATGTGCTGCAGCTGCCCTACTGCTGTGTAACCCTGCTGCCCTGATCCTTGCTGCATCGCCCCAAACGGGTTTCCCTGTTGCCCTAACTCTTGCTGCATCGGCCCTTGAGAATACCCCTCAAGGCCATATCCACCAGTTGATGGGGATTGTGCGAATGCTGGTGATGCTCCTGGTGCTACAGCTGGTGCTGCAGTTGCCTGTGCCGCTGAAGGCCCCGCACTGCCCCAGCCATGCCCTGCAAACAGGCCAGTCCCGTGCGAAGCGAAAGCTGGAGGCATGGAGGAGGAGGCAGAGAAAGAGGAGGGGGAGGAGGAAGAGGAGGCTGGGGCGTGGTTGTGAGCTGATGGAGAGAGAAGGGATAGCGGGGAAGCTTCCTGTTGTTGTGTGTGTGGTTGTGCATGTGGCTGTGTGGTCGAAAGGGCAGCTCCTAGTGATGCCATGTTGGGGAAAGGTGCCTGCTGGGATGGGGACTGGGAGATGGTAGGAAAGGAAGTGGGGGAGGGTTGAAGAGAGAAGGAAGGGCTTAAGAGGGAGAAGGGACAGAGCGAGAAAAGATAGATTGGTTGGTGAGATAGAGTGAGAAGGGATAGAGTAAGAAAGAGAGCGCTAAAGAAGATGAAGAACAAACCAAATGTACGGTTTCAAAGTAAAACAAATAACAAGGTTTGTGGGAACCTACCAATCCGGGAGACCCCAACGGTGACGGCCTAACCCCAGGGCTCCCCATGACGCCTGCAGGCCCTGCAGGGCTCCCCATGACGCCCGAAGGGCCCCACATAGCAGCTCTTCCATTCCCCATCATTCCCCCTGGACTCCGCATCACCCCACCTGGACTCCCAATCACACCTTGTGCGCTCTCCATCATTCCCCCTGGGCTCCCCATAAACCCCCCTGGACTCCCCACCACACCTTGTGCGCTTCCCATCATTCCCCCTTGGTTCCCCATAACCCCCCCTGGACTCCCCGTAACCCCCCCTGTACTCCCCATAATCCCCCCTGGACTCCCCATCAACACTGCGCTCCCCATAGCCCCCCCTGTACTCCCCATAACCCCTCCAGGACGTCCCATCATTCCACCAGTGGCCCCCATAATCCCCCCAGGGCTTCCCATCGCCCCTCCTTGACTCCCCATCATTCCCCCCGTGCCCCCCAACCCCCCCGGACTCCCCGTCACCCCCCATTGGTTCCCAATAAGCCCTCCCTGAGGGTATGGGTGTGATTGTAAGGGTGATTGGAAAGAGAGTGATTGTGAGGGAGGGAAGGGATGTGACTGTAACGGAGGGGACTGTACTTGGGAGAAAGCCTGAGCATAACCCCCATAATTTTGAAACCCCTGCCCCTGCCCCTGCCCCTGCCCCTGCCCCTGCCCCTGCCCCTGCCCCTGCCCCTGCCCCTGTCCTTGCCCCTGTCCCTGAGCCTGCATCACCACCCTTTGTGTCTGAATGAATAATTCAGTCTGCCCCTGTCCTTGCCCCTGTGCCTCAGTTACCGATTGAAACTGCCCTTGCCCGACCTGCGTTACTGATTGAAACTGCCCTTGCCCGGCCTGGGTTACTGATTGGAATTGCCCCTGCCCGGCCTGGGTTACTGATTGGAACTGCCCTTGCCCAGCCTGGTTTACTGATTGGAATTGCCCCTGCCCAGCCTGGGTTACTGGCTGAAACTGTTCCCGCCCCTGTGCCTGCATCCCATAGGCCTCGTACCCTAGTGGTGCTGCTGATAACGGAGATTGCCCATAGCCCATGGACCCATATTCTGGCCCAAGAGAAGGGGCATTCCCAGAGATCGATTGCATAGCTGGCATAGCTGGCATGGCAGCAGGCATGGCAGGCATACAAGGTGCAGGTACAGCTGGTGCAGGCACAGCTGGCATGGGGCTGCTATCAAAATGTGCCCAGGAGTCAAACCCATTGGCAATGCTGCTGCTGTCGCCGCCGCTGCTGCTGCTCTCCTTTCCCACAGGTGTTGCTGCTGCTGCCTCCGCTGCTACAGCTGTTGCTGCTGTCGTTGAGGCCTCTCCTGCTGCCACCGCTGCCGCTGCTGCTGTTCCCGCTGCTGCCGCTCCTGTTACTGCGGCTGCTGCTGCTGCTTTGTCTGCGTGCGCTGGCACTTGCGTTTGCCCCTGCAGAGCCGTTGGCTGATGCTGCTCCCCTCCCACTGCTGCACCCCCTGTCTGCTCCTGAAGCTGCCAGTGCTTGGGAGCAGGCAGGGGGGCAGCAGGAGGGAGAGTAAGGCTATCCCCATCCCCTTCATCTGAGAAATCAATCAGGTTACCTAGAGAAGCCAGAGGTGCTGACGCTGGTGCTGCTGTTGATGCTGCTGCTGCTGCTGCTGCCGCTGCTGATGCCGTTGCTGATGCTGCTGCTGCTCCTGTTGCAGATGCTGATGCTGATGCAGCTGCTGCAGGTGCTGGCACAGGGCCGGCAGGTGCTGACGAGGGCATACGAGGCGCAGGAGTGTGGGCAGCAGTAGGAGGAGAGGCAGGGTGAGAGGCATGGAGAGAGGCCGAAGCAGAGAGAGCAGAGGGAGCAGAGGGAACAGAGGAGGGAGAACTGGGGACAGCTGAAGGAGAGGACGCAGCTTGATACACGTGTGCGTTCCCCGGCCCGGTTCACTGTGATACACTCGCAGCTCAATCTCGTCCCCTAGCAGGTCACTCACAGGCCTCACAGGCGCATCCACCCCATCCCTACTGGCTTCTATCCCATCCCTGCTGCCATCTATCCCATCACCACTGCTTGGGGCGTTAGAGAACCTAGTGGTGCTGCTCGTGCTGCTGCTGCTGCTGCTGCTGAGCCAGGGAATCTAACGCTAGCGCTCGTGCGGGTGCTGGTGGTGGTGACGGTGTTGCTGCTGGCAGAGAGAGAGGATGTGCGTGGGGGAAGAGGGTGCTGCTCCTGCGGCTGTGGCTGCTGTTGCAGCTTGTGATGGTGGGAGGGAGGGAGAGTGGGGGAGAAGGAGAGGGAGGCCCGGGCGCTGCTGCTGCGTTGCAGGTCGGAGGGCTGGGGGAAGGAGGCGGAGGGGGAGCCGTCCATAGAGTGGGTTCGGCCAGAGGGAGAGCTCTGGGTGGGGAGGGTAAGGATGGTGGGCGGGGGAGGTGGGGATGGGGAGGGAAGGGGCAGAGAAAGGTGGGGAGAGAGTGAGTGGAGAAAACAGGCCAGATGTGCAGGAAGAAGGAAAGGGAAGCACGGGTACTGCTATGCTACTCCATTGGAGGTTGGAGGGCAGGAGGAAGGGGGTGGAGGGTAGAAAGAAAAAAGAGGAAATGGACGATACAAGTGGGCCTTGGTTACATGTGCCTATGTTAGTAAGCACATACGCGCATGTACATGCTGCCCCCCACCCCCCTAAACACACACACTCACACACACTCACACACACACACACACACACACACACACAAGCTGCTGTTGATGTCATCACCACCATCACGCCATCACCATCGCCACCACCATCACCACTGCCCATCATCACCACCACATACATCTCGTGAGTTCCTCCCCACATATCGCCTTTCCACAAAGACTGCTCGAATGAACTCCCTCACAGCCTGGGGATCACTGCGGTGGTCGGGGGAGGGAGAAAGAAAAACGGGAAAAGGAAGACAGGAGGGACACGAGAACCCCAAGCTGGACGGCATCTCGCCTGCAACGGAAGAGGGAATTGTGGGCATTGGTGCGCTGACCCCCAAGCTGGACGGCACAATGCAATGCATACAGTGCGGCGCGGCATTAGGGGACACAATATGGACGCAGACACCATTATTACTCAGTGATACGTTTGCGGCTAACAGGGGCGCGGCGCGGCTGCCCCTTGAACAGGGCGGCAAAGCACAATGTGTACGGGAGTCGGTACAGAAGCATTCATCAGTGACTCACTTGCTGTTGGGAGGGGCTCGGCCGGCTCCAGGGAGAAAATACTCTCGCGCCCGCTGTGAGAAAGTGGAGGAGGGGTGGGAGAGAAGGGGGGGAGTAGGGGGAAATGGAAGAACCACAGGAGGCATTTGTCAGTCTGTGACTCACTTGCTGTTGGGAGAGGGGCTCGGCCGGCTCCAGGGAGAAAATACTCTCGCGCCCGCTGCAAGAAAGCAAGGGCCGAGGCGGAGGGGGAAGGGAGGGGGTTGGATTGAAGAAGCGCAGGAAGGAGCACTCTATTGCTCACTGCCCCAAGAAGGTTTGAAGAGAGCACTCCATCCCCCCCTCTACAACTCCTCAAAGAGCACAAGTGTGACGGATAGGAGAGAGAGTGCCTGGAGTCTACAGAGAGAGAGGGAATGTGTTGGCTTTATGCGTGTGATACCAATACCTTGCATGTTTGTATACCTTGACTATCAATGACAGGGCCATTAGAGGGAAAAAAATGCGTTGCCACACCTCACCTGGTTACCAGCTTTCATTTGGTTACCAGCTCCTTGCTGGGGCGCCGCCACCTCTTCAGGCATAACCTAGTCCATTCCATTTACACTGACTTGACGCGATGGCTGATTTCCCATCACGTTACCATCTGCATGCATAGTCCCCAATTGTCCGGTTACCAGCTCTCACCTGGTTGGCTCCTTGCTGCAGCGCCGCCACCTCTTCAGGCATCAACTTGGCCATTGCTGCTTACCGCTTGACTGGTTACCAGGTTACCGGCTCCCACCTGGTTGGCTCCCTGCTGCAGCGCTGCCACCTCTTCAGGCGTAAACTTGACCATTGACACTGACTTGACCTGCTGGTTAAACTCTCGTCTGGTTACCGCCTGTTGGTTACCAGTCATCTGGTTACCAGCTTTCACCCGATTACTGCATCTCACCTGGTTGGCTCCCTGCTGCAGCGCTGCCACCTCTTCAGGCGTAAACTTGGCCATTGACACTGACTTGACGCGATGGTTGAACTCCCGGCTGCAAGTAGCGTGTACATGAGACATCCAGTAAGAAACGGAAAAAAAACATATACGAGCAACGAAACAACAAATAAAGAAGGGGGAAATTTGGAAGGAAATGAAGTGCTGTGCCCTTGAGGGGACACGGGGAACATTGAAAGAACCACGCAAAGCACACAGTCAATGTGGAGCAGAGATGACACTCAACTGGACACCGCTGCATGCAGGGCAGACGAAGATGCTGTAGTTGGTGCACACGTACTGAGGGCCCTGTAAGGTTTGTGGTGTGCAGTGTTGCGGAGAGAGAGGAGACGGAAAATTGATGACAATGGCACGGATGTGACTGTAATTGGTCGAGTCGTATGTCACGGCATTATGGCAGTGGAAGACGTTAGAGTTAGTGTAAACGAATGACATAACGATGAAAGAACACTGACATGACAATAACAAGACCTTGACATCACACTGATATGACACTGACATGGCATTGACGCAACAGTAACATGACACTGACACCACATTGTCATGTCATGACTTTGGCAAGACGTTGACATGGCAATGACTGACGCTGGCATGACAATGGCAGAACACTGACATGGCATTGACGCAACAGTAACATGACACTGACACCACAGTGTCATGTCATGAATTTGGCAAGGCGTTGGCATGGCAATGACTGACGCTGGCATGACAATTTCTTTGACATTACATTGACACGGCAGTGAGGAGCGATTGACATGATTTTACATCACACTGACATGACATTAACGTCGAGATCCATCGTAAGTATGACAAGACGATGCTGTGGCAATGAGAAAGCAATGGCATGCAGGACACGGCAAGAAGCAGGTACCAGGCTGTTGCAATTGAAGCATTTCCGGTTCTCCGGGAGCTTCATCAAGGCGCGAATGATCTTCTCGTGCTTCTCGTCCTCCCTCATCGTGACCACCGTGATGACCGCGAACGACCACGAGCGACCACGAACGACCGCGCACGACCACGAGCGACCACGAACGACCGCGCACGACCACGAGCGGACGAACGACCACGAGCGACCACGAACGATCACGGCGACCACGAACGACAACGAACGATCACGTGGACCGCGAACGACCGCGAACAACAATGAAGAGGTCCCTTTCGTCGGCTTCGACGACGACGACGACGACGGCAATGTGGAGGTCCTGCTTGGCGACTTTTGACTAAAGACTACCGTCGCGAGCTCGTTCCCGCTATTCGAAACTTCGCTGACGACGGTTACCCGACTGTATGGAACCAAGCCGCTGGATTCTAAACAGATCGTCGTTAGTGTTTCTCGACCAGCCTAGGTTGCCTTGGTTGGCTCGCTCCGAACAGGGAACAAGAACAAAAGGACGAGTGAGGGAGAGCAGCACAACCGTTTGAACTTCTATGGGGTAGACACTAAACGAGCTGCGAAGGATGGTGAGGAGCTCAAAGGATATTCCGTCGGAAGGTTTAGTGCGTACCTAGGGACTTGCCGGAGACAGTAGTGCATGTTGGGATTGGCTGCGAGATAGATTGCGATGTTCTGCGAAGAAGGTACCCCCTCCGGAAGAATGGGATGGTGGGTGGGCGGCATTACAAGGCGTAGTTTCTTTGACGAACATCAGATACCCTTCAATTTGTTATAGGCCACCCAAGACTTCCCGCATTAAATTACATCGAATAGAACGCGACAAAGAAGGGCCTTCCCCTGTCCGTAGACCGACATAGTTAGCAAGCAGGCGTCTATAGTGAGACACTTCCCTGCAAAGAGCGGTAAGTGAGCTGTTGTGGGAGGAAGAAAACACAAGGCGCTTCTTTGTTCTTTACAAAGAAAAGCATCGCACAAGAGGAGAGGAACGGGAAAGAAAGACACCAGAAACAACTCAAACGCAACACCCATAAAAAGCCCCATAAAAATACTCTATAAAGAAAAAACCCAACCAGGATCCCCTACCAGACGTCCCATCTCGCACCCCATTCCCCCTCCCCCCCCCCCCCCCCCCCCCCCCCCCCCCCCCCCCCCCCCCCCCTCCCCCCCAAGTCACATCTGCACATCCACCATGTAGGGGGCCTCCACCCAAAGAGGCCCGCCCTCCACCTCGACATCGTCCCTCTCCCGATCCACCAAGTCCACATTCAACCCCCCCATGGAAGACGCCGCCCGAAGCAGGATGACACGAGCTTGCGCCCGTTGTAACGCCACTCCGATGAGCGCCTTCAGAGACCCCAAAAGGTAAGCCGAGAACGAAGTGTCATCCTCCCGACAAGCCCCCCGTGACACAGCTAGCCCCACGTGCGCGTCCCCCTGCTGTCGAAGCCACCGCCGGAAGCGACCGCCGAGACACCCCCACGTCTCCACTATCAAAGGGGTGAACTGCACGCCTCGGTTCCGTGCAAGAAGAGGCGCGTAATCCCCCGTTTTGCGACGCTCCCACTCCTTTGCCGCCACGCCTATAGACCGCCCGCACTGCCCTAGCAGAGATGGAGACAGTGATAGCGGGTCCGCGACACTAATCTCTAAAGCATGAGCCTCCCCAGCCATTGGTCGTCGCACCGCTACGTCAACCCGCTTCCCCGGCAGCACCGCACTATCCTCCATCGTCACCACCCCCCCTGACGCCTTAGCGATCTTTGCCACCGCAAACTTCACCTCATCATGCACCCGAGATGGACCGTGTTGGTGCTTGCATCTCAGCGCATGATGCGGGTCTGCTGGGTCATCATACGCTGCGCCACAAACACACTTCCCCGCCACTTGCAGCTGCTGGATTGGGAGACCAAGCCGTATAGCAGCAGCAATGCCCCACTCCGCTGCAGTGAATGTGAGATCTGAATGAGCCGGAACTGCCGAAACCCATGCACCAGCCCCCGGGCCCTGAAGGGATGTGAAACGGGCTAGGGTGGCATCGTCACGAGCCAAGCGGCGGAGTGCCTGGAGCTCCTCAACAGCCAACTGCCGCTGCCGCGCCTGGAAAAGCCGAAGAGGAGGGGCCGCCACACACAGGGGTAAGTCCGGCAGCTCCTGGCGTATAGTCGCGGGCAACTGCTCAATGGCCTTGGCAAACCACGGGTCAAGAAGCTCCGCCCCCGCCGAAGTGGTGAGGTACTCTGCGAACATCGCCTCCTCGCCCGCCACCCCCAAATGTGCAATATCCCGTGCGGCCTGCGCCCACCCACAAACATAGGAGAGCGGACTCAAAGAGGCCGCCGCCCGGATCCCAAACCCTCCGAGGCGCACAGGGAGATGCAGCTGCATGCGTGCGCGCCTAGACCTGCCGGGATCCTGCTCCCAAGTGCCAGGGGGGAAAAGCTGCTCAAAGCAATCCTCCAGACAGCTGTCCCACTCTCTAAAGGCCTCCACCACCTCCGGCCGCGGCGGCATAGTCCGGGCCAGGTACATCGGCCGTGCTGAAACTGCAATAGCGAGGAGATGCGAGGCCATCTGGGGGTGGTCGAGCAGGGGGAGCCACGGCAATGGCGCCTGCAACTCGCGAAGCCGCTTCCGTAATCGGGCCCCCTCCCAATCCTCCTCTTGTGTACTGAATGAGAGTTTAAAGGGATGGTTCAGGAATCAGATTAAATATGTATGCTTTGCCATAAATTCCACATCTGTACTGTATATGATTGTCGTTGATGCAAAATGTCCTCGTTACAGTGAGTTGGACCACAAGCGACGTGGCGCCGTTCGAATCCAGCACAGCACTGACCAGAGGAAACTGCGAATCGAGCGTGTTGAGGTTTCGGCTCTCGACGAAATTTCGCCCTTGGTGCAACACTTGCTAACGAAATTATGGTTGACGCTTTTGCGAAAAACAATCTGGAGCCTGGCGATGCGATTGCCAGCAAAACGAAACACTAACGAAATCAATGAGCAGGAATGGATTTCGCGGCTTGCTCTCCACGATATGTCAATACAAGCCGTGTGTATTTATGTCAGCAAATAAATCTGTCTGTTAGTAGCTGAGCAAATTAATTAACAGAATCGCTGTTGCGGGTGCTTCACGAAGCTATGGCAACGAGCGCTGCGCGCCGATGGGGCCTCGATCAACTATCAGTGCGCGGCAAGGTAGCTCTCGTAACGGGCGCCTCGTCCGGAATCGGCCACGATCTCGCGCTCTTCCTCGTGGCACGTGGATGCCACGTGGTCGCCGCAGCTCGGCGCGTGGACCGCCTCGATCAGCTGTGCGCGGAGGCGGAAAAAATGCGACGAGAGGCGGAAAATCTGCACGGAGAGGCGGAAGGCATGTGCTGCGGAGAGGGTGATAATCGGGAAGCGGGGGATTCTGGGGGAACCGAATCGCGTGGTATCGTGGGGAACGAGATGCCGGGGCGCATGCGCGCAGTCGCGATGGACGTCGCGGCGGACGAGGCGGCGGTAGATGTGGCGGTGCAGGCGGCGTGGGACGCGTTCGGGCGGATTGACGTGCTGGTGAACAACGCGGGGTTCCGAGGTGAGCCGCGTTGACTCTCATTGACTCTCGCTGACTTGCGTACTTTGTCTGAAAGCAGGGTGTGCGACGCGCCGGTTCGGATAGACGATGTGGTGTGGACTGCAGTGGCTGAGAGGTTTTGCTGAGTGTGTTTTTGAGAATTCTCAAAAAACACACATTGACTGGCTTGACTTGGGTTGACTTGAGCTTCACATGCCTCAAAAGTTGCCTTGACTTTACTTGACTTGCGCTGACTTTACCACCAATGCGTGACTTGTACCACCCTGTGCTGACGTGGACTCCACGTGTTTTCAAGATTGCAGGGAAAAAGGTTGACGCGATCGACATTAGCCAATCAGAATTCGACACGTCATTCCATACCAACGTCCGAGGCGCTTGGCTCGTTTCCAAGGCTGTGGTTCGGCGCGTGCTGGGGCGGACTGGCGAGGGGGTGCGAGGGGGAGAGGGGAGGGAGATGGGAAAGGGTGGCAGAGGAAAGGAGGAGAAGACTGATCGGGCTCATGAAGGGGGTAGTAACGGAGGCACCCGTACAATTTTGAGTGTAATCAACATCGCATCTACAGCCGGTATTCCCGGGGCCATTCTCCCCGGCGGGGCTGCTTACTCCTCCTCCAAGGCTGCTCTCATGCGCCTCACTGTGGTGCGTGCGTTCGGGGGAGGGGGGAGAATGAAGGGTGTGGTATGGGGTAGTGGGCAGTCAAGGAATGGAAGGGGCAAGGCCATTTCCCCTGGCGGTGCTTTAAGCCCGCTGCGCGCACGCAGCTCACCGAGACATATCTGAACCTCTGAGGGATGGGGAAGGGGGAACTGGGGTCAGGGGGGTCTTTCCCGGAGCCATTCTCCCCGGCGGGGCTGCTTACTCGTCCTCCAAGGCTGCTCTCATGTGCCTCACCGTGGTGCGTGCGTTGGGGGGGGGGGGGGGGGGGGGAAAAGGGGGGAGGGAGAGGGGGGAAGGGGGGAGATGGGAGGATGGGGCAGGGGGGATGGAAGGCCATTCTTCCTACCCTTCCTCCAAGACTTCTCTCATTCGCCTCACTGTGGTGCCGTGTGCATGCATAGTGAGTAGGAAATGGTGAGTTGGGGGAAATGGTGAGGGGATGGGGGATGGGAGGAGTAGAAGTGGGTTTAGACATCTGACCTCACACCTCTCCACCCATATCGATGTCTTTTTGAAAGCATCTGTTTTTCTCCTGCCAATTTTTGAGGCGCCTCAAACATAGGAAGTAGGAGAGTGGGTTGAGGCATCTAAAAGCATCTGATTTCTCCTGCCATCGTCCCCCCCCCCCCATACCAGGCCATGGCGGTGGAGTTGGGGCAGCATGGCATTCGCTGCAACTGCATCGCACCGGGGATATTCCTATCCGAAATCACCGAGGCAAGAATGGGGAGGATTGGAGGGGGGATTGATGGTACTGGAGGGCCAAGAAGTGCTGTGTGTGCATGTATTCAACAATTTTGAGACGCTGGAGGGGATTGTTGGGTACTGGAGGGCCAAGAGCTGCTGTGTGTGCAAGTTTCCAGCGCGTTGGGAAAGCCGTGAATGGATGGGAACACACACCTTCCCTCTCTGCTTTCCTCCCTCCCTCTCACACTCTCGTGCTCAATATCCAACTTTTTTCTCTCCTCCCTCTCACCCTCCCCATCTCTCCTGTGTGCATCTCTACAGAAGCTCTTAGACAAGCCGTGGATGGAGAGGAATGCACAGGTGGTGGTGCCAATGCAGAGGTACGGCAAGGTTTGGATGGGTTTCAATGGCTGTAAGCATGTAAGTTTGTATCTGAAGGCTCCTTCGAGGCTATGAAGGGCACTGCCGTGTGTACGTCTCTTCAGAAGCTTTTAGACAAGCCGTGGATGGAGAGGAATGCACAGGTGGTGGTGCCAATGCAGACGTACGACAGGGGCTTTAAGGGTTTGGAGGATTGTAAGGATTCGAGCGTGTATTGGAAGGCTCTTTTCAAGCCTTGAAGCATCTCGATTTTTTTTTTTTTTGTACTCAAAAATCGACTTGAGACGTCTCCCCAGTGTGCACTTTGTAGAAGCTAGTTTTGAGAGACGTCTCAAAACTCATTATAAGCCTTGAACATTTCCCCGGTGTGCCTTCTGTATAAACGCTTCTCCTTCTTCTCCCCTTCCCCCCCCCCTGTGCTTCACCCTCCCCCCCCCCCCCCCCCCCCCCCCCCCGTGCTTCCCCCCCGCTCCCTTCCCCAGGTGGGGGAGCATTCACCCTGACCTCACATCGCTCCTGCTTCTCCTTGCGTCAGACGCCTCTTCCTACATCACAGGGCAGTGCATTGCCGTGGACGGGGGCCACCACTTAATGCGGGCTAGATTAAACCCAAAGCTGTGAACCTGCAAGGCAGCAGCATCGTTCCTGGACGGAGTAACTGCTGTGCTGCTGCTGCTTCTCCTCGCCTCTGACGCCTCCTCTTACATCACAGGGCAGTGCATTGCCGTGGACGGGGGCCACCATCTCATGAGAGCCAGGTTGAATCCGAAGCCATGAAACTGCAAAGGCAGCAGCAGCTGTATTCCCAAACATAGTGGCTGGTGCTGCTGATGCTCCCCCTCCTCGCCTCTGACGCCACTTCCTACATCACAGGGCGGTGCATTGCCGCGGATGGGGGGCATCATCTCATGCGAGCTAGGTTGAATGCCAAGCTGTGACTCTAGAGCAAAAATCAAATTCCTTTATGTGGATTATACAGTATTGTTCTTTTATCATAAGTACCATTTGGTACGTACACCTTCACAAAATCTGCAGAGTAGAACAAATGTCTTGCATATCTGCGAACTATACACATGTATGTAGGCTTCCAATGAAGTGCCACGAGGTACGGTAATCAGATCCCAACAGGCACGTCAAGAGACCCTGATGCTAGGAGCCGTGAAAGCACCTGCAGTTGCAACAGCGGGGCAAGTGACCTGGGGGTGAACTTGAGGATCACAGAACGTGATATTTCCCAATTCCGGCATGCACAGGAGCGAATGATTTGAGTCTATGGTAATGGTTCTCCTCTCTACCTTCACCCCTCCATCCCTCCCCGAGCCACTAACCCCTCACCTCCTCTCCTTTCACCCTTTTCACTCTACCCCCCCATCTCACCTCCCCACATCGCGCCTCTATCTTGATCCTAGCAATGCCATCAGCACGGTTGGGGCCCACAGCCAGCAGTGCTAACGGCTTGCCTTCTTGCACGCATTGGCTGGAAGGGGAAAGAAGGATGAGGGGTGAGGGAAGTGGACAGTCGGTTGTGGGTGGTGGTGTGTGCGGCAGCAATGCCATCAGCACGGTTTGGCCCCACAGCTAGCAGTGCTAGCAGCTTGTCTTCATACACGCATTGGCTGGAGCATGGGAGAGTGGGAGGGTGAGGGGTTGGGATGGGGAGGGGGTTGGGAAGTGGGTAAAGTGGGATGTGCGGCAGCAATGCCATCAGCACGGTTTGGCCCCACAGCCAGCAGTGCTAGCGCTGGCTGGAGCATGGGAGAGCGGGAGGGTGAGGGGTTGAAATGGGGAGGGGGTTGGGAAGTGGGTAAAGTGGTGTGTGTGGCAGCAATGGCATCAGCACGGTTAGGGCCCACGGCTAGCAGTGCTAGCGGCTTGCCCTCGTGCACGCATTGGCTGGACGGGGAGAAGAACGAGGGGAGAGGGGGGTGGACAGTGGGTTGTGGGTGGCGGCAGCAATGCCATCAGCACGGTTTGGGCCCACGGCTAGCAGTGCTAGCGGCTTGCCTTCATGCACGCACTGGCTGGAGCATGGGAGAGTGGGAGGGTGAGGGGTTGGGATGGGGAGGGGGTTGGGAAGTGGGTAAAGTGGGGTGTGCGGCAGCAATGCCATCAGCACGGTTGGGACCCACAGCTAGCAGTGCTAACGGCTTGCCTTCATGCACGCACTGACTGGAAGGGGGAAGAAGGATGAGGGTGAGGGGGGTGGAAAGTGGGTTGTGGGTGGTGCGGTGTGCGGCAATGCCATCAGCACGGTTTGGCCCCACGGCTAGCAGTGCTAGCGGCTTGCCTTCATGCACGCACTGGCTGGAATGGCAGCAGAGGGTGAAGGAATGACGGGGTTGGGAGAACGGGTAGTGGCAGGGGCAGCGTTTAAAGACAGAAGCCATTAGCACAATTGCGACCCATAGCTAGCACTGCTAAAGGCTTGCGAAAATTCACAAAATTTATCGCATAAACTCGGAAATTTTATTTCAATTTATTTTATTTTATTTTTTCGTACCTTGCAATTCTGAAAGCTGATAGCACCATCAGCGAGGAGCCAACGACCAATAGTGAGTCGGCAGATGACATCATCCGGGCAGCTTCTTGATTGCGGGCAGGTGGAAGGTTGTCCCCAAAAAGTACAACCTGCCCACGGCCATGAAAAATACCAAAAGAAAAAGAGCTTGACCATCGTGGGAAATCAAAAAAAGGAATTCTGCAGCATGGATAAATCATGAGACAAGAAACGGCCGACTCACATTGGGTTTCAGCACGCCACCACATGCATTGCAGCTCGGCACTACGAACTCGCCATGCCTCTCCCACTCCTCCTCGCTGATCTCTATATCCCCATCCGGCCGCCTCCGCATGCCCATCAACTCCCGTTCGGACACCCCCACATCAGCGCTTCCAAGACCAGCATTCCTTGATTCTCCACTCCTTTTCTGAAGCCTTTGCATGCCAAATGACTCGTCCGACCCTGCTGGTCTGCCCTCTTCCAAATGCTCCACTGCTGCTGCCCACTGCACGAGTTTGAAGCAGGAGGGAAAGAAGGGAGGAAAAGGGGAGAAAGAGGGCGGGGTGGAGACGCCTCGCATGCCTCTCCCACTCGTCCTCGCTGATCTCAATATTCCCCTCCGGCCGCCTTCGTATGCCAAATGACTCGTCTGACCCTGCTGGTCTGCCCTCTTCCAAATGCTCCACCGCTGCTGCCCACTGCTTGTGCCAGACAGGGATGGAAGATCAACGAAAGGAAGTGGGGTTGAGGGTGGGGGGAACGGGGGAGAGGGGGCACTGCTCACCCAACTGTGCTGCAGCAAGTGCGGATTGGAATGGACGGCTCAATTTCAAGTTGGTTAGAATGATGAGGTCTGTTGGCTAGGGAGGGAAAAGAGGGAGGAAAGGAGCAGCAGAGGGTGCGAGCATGCAGGTTGGTTGGCTGAAAAAGGGCCAGAAATATGAGAGGGAAGCATACCTCAGGGTTGGCTACTTTTATTCTCTCCTGGAAGGTTCTTCGACACGAGATATCTCCACATTGCATGCAGACCACCTGGCAATGTGGAGAGAACATCAGATGTGCAAGATAGAAATGAACCTTCATGGGTAGACACAGTACAAGTGAGAGGCAAAGGGGCTTGCCTCGTGCGCAAGAACCAACAAACGCAAGGGTCATCCATCTCACCCCTCATCTGCAGCTTACCTCGTGCGTAGTGCCGTGGAGTTCAAGGGCTGGGCTTCCCGCAATGTGGTGCAGTCTGGGGGGAAAACCAGGATGGATGGGCGTGTGCATGGCAGGGGGGGAGAAGGAGAGAGATTGTCAATGGAGTGCCGTGAAGTTCGAGGGCTGGGCTTCCCCCAATGTGGTGCAGCCTGGGGGGGAAACCAGGATGGATGGGCGTGTGAAGGGGAATAAGAGGCGGGGGGCGGGAATGAGAGGGCATCGTCAACGGACCTCGCTCGATGGGCTTCCCCCAATGTGGTGCAAATTGGAAAGAAAACTGAAGAGTCACCTGGCTGGCAGCATCTGGAATACACCTGTCGACGTTCTGAGTGATGATGCCACCCGCCAGCCTCCCCCTCTCATGCAGCCGCGCCAGAGCCCTGTGCGCCATGCCCGGCCGGGCAGCTGAAAATCTCCGCCAGCCAATGAAGCTGCGAGCCCAGTAGCGTCTCCGGGCAGACCGGGAACGAACAAAGTCCTGGATGGAGTTTGAAAAAGGCAACAATTTGGGAGTTGGGACGCCTCAAACACCCTCCCAACACCATCCCCCCCCCCCCCCCCTTCCCCCCCCCCCCAAAAAAAAAAAACAACAAAACCAAAAAAAAAGAAGCAAACAAACAAACAAACAATCAATAGAACAATCAAACAAACAAACAAACAAACAAACAAACAAACAAACAAACAAACAATCAAACAATCAAACAATCAAACAATCAAACGATCAAACAATCAAACAATCAAACAATCAAACAATCGAACAATCAAACAATCGAACAATCGAACAATCAAACAAACAAAAACAAGGTGCTTGGTGGATCTTGCTGTGTACCCTTTACTCAATGCTTTCTCACTAGCCGTGTCTTCAAATGCATAAAAACTGTAGAAAGTAACTCTCCCTCTTAAGTACCTGCCTGATGTATCATTGGCTTGTACCCCTTACTGTATGCTCCGCCTGGGCTGCACGTTTTTCACAGCGCAAAGATCCATGCAGCCGTGCAAAATCATGCCACCAGAAGAAATTGAATTAGTGAATTGAAAAAAAAAGGAAATCAACAACAAAAAAAATACGTTGTGCTGATCACAGAGACTGTTAGCACCACCACCAGTCAAATTAAAAAGCATTCCTGTTATAGACTGACCTTCTGTAATCCGGTATGCCGCTCTCCGTGCTCACCCCAGCGCCAGTCAGCACCAGCAACCGCCGGCTGTCAGCCACGAAATCGTGCAGCTGCTCCAGCTGTCCGTCCGTGATTGGCGGAGCGTCGGGAACTATGGACGTTGTTAGTGTGCGAGCGAAGCGGGTCCTTGCTAACGCGTGGCGACTACGGACAGACGCTGCCTTATGTTTTGAATTGAAGGACTCTTTCAAGTTCAATTTGGATGCTAGAATGATATCCTCTTTACCACGCCCACCCGCGGTTCGAATGCTTGAGGTCACGGGGCTAGTCTTGATACTCGCACAGCCGAAAACTGGGTGATACGACCGGGTGGTGTTGCTACCACTACCACTGTCACTGATAATACTGTTCTTGATTCCATAAGTCGAGTGTTCCTGCGGGCTATCGCAACTACTGGTCTTCGAGTGAATCCGCGATTGAAGAATGCTCTCGTTAGGCGACAAGAACACCCTCCCAGAACCAATCTCCCCTGGTCTAAAACTAATTCTCCCAAAACTGATATTTGCATGACTGAATGTCCCAGGACTTAGTCGCCAGGCCCACTCCGTCAAGTGCGGGCCGTATACCATGCTAGCTAGCATCCTCGCCATTGATCACCCGAGAGAGAGAAACAGAGGAATTTTCCGTCTGGACAAGTCAACAACTGAAACTGAAAGCGAAAGAACTCGACCAAACTGACGGTAACGGCGAACTGACGGAGACGTCACTAACCTTCGCGAACTGACGACGTCATCGCACTTCCATTAGGAGGCTTCTGGAGCCCCAGAAAGCCGCGGGAATGACGGAATCAGGGTGGCATCATGGCGAAACGAACTGGGGTTGATTGAGATGCTTTACGTTCAAAAACGTTTCAGAAAGGTCTTGAGTGAATTCCACTTGTGAATGGTGTGTGCCCTGGTTGGTGTCGTCATTCTCAAGGCAAATGTGACAGGTTGGGAAGGAACTTTGCGTTTATAAGTAGCTCGTTACAGTGGTAAGCCGATGGTGGCTGCTTATCTTCTGCACAAGGAATTCATCGCACAACGGAAATTCGTTTTTTTGTCGCTATTCGCAAATTCGTCTCACCCGATGCCCCTCCCCTACCCCCAAGGGTTTTAGGCAGCCAGTCTTCCCATGCCCCTCCCCTCCGTACCACTCCCTAAAGTTCTATAACGAGGGTTCTTTAACTAGTACCATATTGCACCGCACTGGATAACCTGACTCTGGCCCCCATTAGGTCACACAACCCCAAGATCCAGCCACAAACGGACTCCAGCACAAGAAATCCGCGTAGATATTTTCCGCCTCATCTCTTCCTCAGCATTTTGTTGCCAGCTTCCAGTTTCTTCTCGAATCTCGCGTGATTCGCGGTGCTGTACACCTGTTACGCCTTTGTCTGACATAGTCGCCCCATTAGTCGGCAGACGTAACTCGTAGCCGTTAGTCGTTAGTCATCAGCCGTCATCCGTCAGTTAGCCACGCAAGATGATTTACGACGTCAACTCGGCGCTCTTCCGTTCGTTTCTGAGCACCAAGGGTGCTGTCGTCGACAAGAAGTAAGCTCTGATCCTCGTACCTCCTCTGCTTCCCCTCAAGGTCTCGCGCTTCCTTCCTACAATCTTTTTCTCGTAATATTCTCTTTTTTCTCCCTTTTTGCTCCATTTCCCCTCATTTCTGCTTCCTTCTTTCCTCCTCCACTCTTCGTTCGTGCGCAATGCGTGCGTGGGAGCAGGAAGTCATCGTCCGACGACGCAGCGGCTGCAGCAGCTGCAGCCGTTTTCAAATGCTCGCCTTATTCCATTCAATTTCCCCTCATTTTTGCCTCCTCCCCCCCCATTTTTCGTCCGTAATGCGTGCGTACGTGCGAGCAGGAAGTCATCGTCCGACGATGCAGCGGCTGCAGCAGCTGCAGCGGCTCTGAAGGAAGCTTCGCTGAAAGACACGCCCAAGCCCGATTCCACGACCATTCAGCAACCCGCCAAGTAGTGTGCTCAGAAAATGCGGAAAACATCTCTGTAATAACCTATACGGTATTTCCAATGTTGCCCAGCTTGGTTTGAAATGTAGAGGATGCGGCCAACTGCAGTGGGTTGGGCTGGGTTTGGTTGGACTGGGCTGGGTTGGGTTGGGTTCCCTTCTCTGCCCCCACCTACCAGTGCCTACACCGGTGTCCATGCCTCCACCCATGTCTCATACCCATCAAACAGACCAGGCAAGAGAGATTGCCTGAAGAGGAGGAAGGGATTGTCTTGTGTAGCGTACACCTGGGATTGTGTGAAAACATGCATTTATAATAACAGGAAGTAAACTTACAGTATTAGGCTATATTTAGGGTGTTACAGTCAGCACGAGGATGTCAAGGTTTGAATCAAGCAAGCGCGGCTAGCACCAAACAGACACAACGTAACACAGGCCTAAGCAGTTGCCCTGGGCACCACTGTAGCTACCAGCTCTTCAGAGTGTGTGGTCGCTAGGGGAGCAGCAGCACCCCCTGTGGAACCCCCACCAGAATCCAGAATCCAGTTCAATGCGGTTGTCCCACGCGAAGCACACAAACATGGTGACGACGACGGGCTCAAAGACGAGCTTGAAGGAGAAGAAAAGACTAACCAGTTGACCTGGGCACCACTGTAGCCACCAGCTCCTCAGACTGCCCAGTCGCCAAGGGAGCAGCAGCACCCCCTGCAGCATCCACCTCAATGCGGTTGTCCCACGCGAAGCACACAAACATGGTGGCTACGACGGGCACGAATACGAGCTTGAAGGAGAAGACTGTGATGCCGACAGCGAGGGCGACGGGGAGGAAGACGAAGAGGGCCTGAATGGTGTCGGACTTGAGTAGATGGCCGAACAGCGGCAGCATGAGGACGGCCTGGTGGGCGGGGGGAGACAGGAGTAGAGATGAGTTTGGGTGGCGACGACGGGCACAAATACGAGCTTGAAGGAGAAGACTGTGATGCTGCTGGCGGCGAGAGCGACCGGGAGGAAGACGAAGAGGGCTTGAATGGTGTCGGACTTTAGGAGATAGCCGAAGAGAGGTAGCATGAGGATGGGCTGTAGATAGGGGAGAGGGAGAACAGGAGTGGAGGGGAGGGGAGCGCAGGGAAAAACGAGGGATAGAGTGCATAAACAGCAGGGGAGGAAGACGAAGAGCGCTTGAACGGTGTCGCTCTTTAGGAGATAACCGAAGAGCGGTAGCATGAGGATGGACTGATGGGGAGATGGGTGTGGGGAGGGGAGTGGAGATGAGGGGAGCAGGGGGAAATGGGGGAACAAATGCGCATAAAGAGGGGAGGGAGGGGACGATGAGGAGAGATATGGTGCCGGAGTTGAGGAGATGTCCGAATATTGGCAGCATGAGGATGGGTGGTGGGTTGGGGGTAAGAAATTGGTGGGAAAAAAACGACAGAGGGGGTGGGGGAGAAGAGAGCAGTGGGGATTGTAGAAACAAAGCTGAGAGCTGGGAATTTGGGAGGGAGCAACTTATTACAAGGGGAGGCGGGCAGGTGGGAGAGAAGGCGGATAGACAGAAAGACAGGCAGGCAGGGCTTACATGAATAGGAGAAGGAGCAAGGTGACGACAGTGGAGATGACACCTAGGATGCACTTGGTGGTGAGGTTGACAACAAATAAGCAACTCATGTGGGAACAGCTTGTAGCGTGGGTAACGGTTTTATTCTTACTAGAAAAAGGAGAAAGAGCAGGGTAACGACGGTGGAGATGACTCTAAGAATGCACTTGGCAATGAAGTTGACAGCTAGTGAGTAACTCACGCGGGAACTACTTATACGGGGTGGCACTTCTTACGAGGAAGAGGAGGAGAAGAAGGGTGACGACAGTTGAAATAACTCCGAGGATGCACTTGGCGGTGAGGTTGACAGCTAGTGAGTAACTCGGGTGGGAACAGCTTACAGTGAGCGACAATTCTTACAAGGAAGAGGAGGAGAAGAAGGGTGACGACGGTGGAGATGACACCAAGGATGCACTTGGCGGTGAGGTTGACAGCTAGTGCGGATTTAAGGTGGGATCAGCTTATAACGGGGAAAGACACGCCGGCAGTCACTTCTTACCAGGAAGAGGAGGAGAAGCAGGGTGACGACGGTTGAGATGACTCCAAGAATGCACTTGGCGGTGAGGTTCACAGCTAGTGCGGATTTGAAGTGGTTGCGCAGCAGAGAAGTGGAGAGAGCGAGCGAGCGGCGAGAGCCGTGGCCTGATATCGCAGCCACCACCACCACGAACCTGGGGAGAGGGGGGGGGGTTGTGGGAGGACAGAGAGGAGGGGGACGGGAGGTTAGGGAGTGAGGGGGTGAGCTGGAGAGGAGAAGCAAGAATATGGGGCGTGAATAGGGAGAGGAGGGGGACGTGGGATTGGAGAATTTTGAGTTGTCTCAAGGCTCGAGGATATACGAGGGCGGGCGGAGCAGCAGAAGTAGGGGGAGTGGAAGGAGCGGGGGGAGTGGAAGGAGCGGGGGGGGATGAAGTGGGAAAGGGAACAGCACAAGGACTGGGCATAAAGCGGTGAAGGGAAGAACGAGGAGCACAAGGGCATGAGGCAGACTCACGCGGCTTAACTCACCAGGTGAAGAAATACGTGAAGATGAAGAGAGCGAATGCGATGGCGACGCGTGGCACCACGACAATCGCCGACATCCCGAACAGCGAAATCACCAACACATTCAGCAGCACAGACACCACCGTTGCCAGAGTCAGGATAAAGCTGACTAGACAGATAGTGCCCATAGAAGAGGAGTAAGCTAGCTTGACTGCTCGGGCTACGATGTTCCATCGATCCACTAGAGCGTCTCGATCGAACCACCCTCCCGCTTCATCTCTCAAGGTCCCCTCCCTGCTGCTGCTGCTGCTGCTGCTGCTGCTGCTGCTGCTGCTGCTGCTGCTGGTGGTGTTGTCTGATTGGTTGTAGTCTCTGTTACTGTAGACCTGCGCTACTGTAGCTGCGGCGATGAATTGGAGGGTTACGCCGATTTGATACGCCATCCAGATGCCTATAAAGAGGAAGATTACAGCGAGAGGGGACAGCCAGTGCTGAACCGCTATAGTGTCACTCCATACGACACATCGCTCCTCCTGGGAATGAAACGGCGAATCAGGCGATCCAAACAGCGGGTCATGCTGGAGTAAAAAATTGCAGGAGAAAAACAGCTCAACGAGGCTGGCTATAGCGGGTACAAACAGAACGATGCAGAGGAAGGAGAAAATCGCAACCCCCACAATGAGACCCCGGGCTCGGGTCATCACAGCCTGGGACGCTCGACCAATCACAGTAGACGAAAGCGGGTGGTAGTCCTTGCAAACCAGTAGCACTGCGAGAACGGCCAAACCGTTAAGTAAGTCTGTTAAGAACATTTCAAGACTGAGGACGTAATTTGCGTTGGGGTCAGATACAGGAGGGGGAGGTGCAGACGGGTTCGGATTTTGTAATGCCGCTGTTTGCGCAGCGTCCTGCAGCTTTCGCCTGTTGAGATAAGCAGCGATGTGGTTAGTAAACGTGGCAGTGATGACGTGGATGTGGGATCCGTCTGCTGACGTGTCACGCAGGAATCGCGACATGGAGAATGGAGCCGCGGACTCCAAAATGCTCGCCGCTGATTGGCCGCCGATACCCCCATGCGCGGCTGCTGACGTGGATAGGGATAAGGGTGCCCCGGAAATCGCGGACTGTGGGGGCGCGTCAGGCGCCGCAGGGGCCGCCGGGGATCCCGGCGGGGGAGGCGGCGTGTGAAGCGCCATGAGGCTGTGAATAACGAAGAACGCTACAGTAACTCTGAGGCACCCCCTGACGAGCTTAACGGACATCCTTCTAACGCAGACGAGGAAAACGAACATCGTCGGGAAGATCGACACCAGGGCGATGGCGAGCGCGGAGAGCGCTTCGAGAGAGAAGAAACGCGACGCGAAGGAGTTAAGGGACAGCAACGGTCGGATGAACCACGAAAACTCCCGCAGAACGAAAACCGCGGCGCAGATGATGAAAGCTCCGGCCCAGATGGGCTCGCGAATGGGACGTTCGGACGCGTTGAACACGGACGCGGAAGCGTCCAGATTCAGATGACCGCTGGCGCCAAAACGACCGCTTTCCCCGCTTTCGCCGGTTTCCTCTGAGAATTTCGCCATGGCGGGTCGTCCTGCCTTCGCTCCTGTCAGTCCTCCGGTTTCTTCGTCGTTATCGCCAATTTCGTCGTTTTCGTCGTCGTCGTCCCTGCGAGAGACGAGCGGCTTGGTCATGGAGTCCGAATCTGCTTCGGTGTCGGCGATGCTGATGTTACCAGTGCTGCTCAATTCGCCTGAAATTGGCGGTTTCGCAGGTTTAGTGCTGCTCGACGCAGCGACGCCGTCGGGTAGACCAGACATTTTTTTAACCGTGAAGGTGCAGGGACTAGCGTGAGGAAACTAGCAGAACCAGCCGCCGAAAAGGGAATCTAGTAGGAACGAAAACGGAGGGCTAACAATATTGTCTCCGTAAGGCGAGTTCTGCATGAAAAAGAAACAAGACACTACTTTTCTTCAAAGACCTAGTACATCAAACTTCCTTCACTCAGAAACGCCATGACACAGCCATGGGAAAGATGTCTCAAGATAAGCAAGACCTGATGGAAGTGTGATGCATTCCCAAGGGCAAGAAAAGCAGAGCGCAGCAAATGAAAGCGGTCTAATGCGTTTTAGAACGACTGAAAATGGTTCGTGCTCCTAAAATCTTGAGATGCGTTGAATGGAACAGAAACGCAAGTGACACCGAGGCACCGCCTTGCTACACACGATGCCCGTTTGACTAACCCAAGGTGCCCTTGTGAAGAGGGCTCTTAAGTGATTCTTGCATTTCGCTAAGCTTTCGTCAACTTGCACTAAAAAAATATAGGGCTTTTAAAAGATTTTGTAACTCGCTGTTGACCGTTTGACATGGGTCTCTTCTGTCAAACTTCGGTTTTTGTGGTTCGTATTGCTCGAGGTGCTTGTAAGTTGGGTGCAACTGGCCGGTACCCTAATACACGGGTGCAGAGTTCCCATCGGCACCAGAGAAAATTCGCGTGCAGGGGTTGGGCATCTTGTGTACATCCCCCACTGATGGTACTCGATAGAATTGCTTCGTCACAAGTCCCAAGGTTCGGTTTGTGATTCAAAACGTTGGGGAACTCTTTTAAGCTGCAACGTTATTCACATATGGATGTATTTATTGTACACCTGCCGATCACTTCAGAAATTGTGTGCCAGCCTTGCAGGCAACCCAACATTGAACATCGTTCCACTTTAACCTAGGTAACCATCATAACCAATGACTTGACATCATATGATCAATCAGGGCTTGATCCCCATGTGGCTGCTGGGTCATCCCCCCTTGTGAGGTACCCCTTTCTGTGCGCCTGAAAGTGTACTCCCAGGAATTGAACGGGTGACGTCTGCTTCTCTCCCTCCTTGGCCCAGTCATCAAAATGAGTGTAGTGCATCGAAGAGGGGCATTTCATGCCGTCCTGAGGCCGATACTTGAAGAACTGAGTGGGTGTCTGGGGGGGGCAGAGGGGAGTAGTGGGAAGAAGGGGATAAGAGCAGCAGCAGAACTGAATCGCCAACCTCTGCTTCTCACCCTCCTTGGCCCAATCGTCAAGGTGGGTGTAGTGCACTAAAGAGAGGAATTTCATGCCATCCTGAGGCCGGTACTTGAAGAACTGAGTGGGTGTTTGCAGGGGAAATAATCAGTGGGAAGACGGAAAACAAGCATTCGCAGGAAGAGAACCCGCGACCACTAATTCTCGCCCGTTGTCAGAGTGAGTTTAGCGCATCTAGGCGGGAAGTTCGAAGTGTTGAGGGTGGGGGTTCTGAGGAGGAGGATGGGGTAAAATTCGTCATCAAACTTTCTTTTTTTGTTCTCACCTGGATCGAGAAGTTGTTGTCAAAGACGCACCACCCCTCGTCCCACCACTCTGATGCACTGCGCCACCGATGGTCCCACAGTACAGCGAGACCAGAAGACATGCTCTTTACGAATAAACCTGGTATGCACAGAAAAACTTCGTAATTACCTGAATGGAGAAGTTGTTATCGAAGACGCACCACCCCTCATCCCACCAGTCAGTCGCATTGCACCACCGTGGCATGGCAAATGAGTCGACCCGGAACTTGGGAGTAAACTTCCCTCTTATGCGCGCTGATCGCTCGGGAGTGACCCCACTCTCCTTGTCAGAGATGCACTGATGGGCGGGGAGGAGTGGGGAAGGGACGGAGAGGGGGGGGAGCGGAGCGAGGCATTGCATAACAACTGAGGCATGGCAAACGAGTCGACGAGAAACTTGGGAGTGAACTTCCCTCTTATGCGCGCTGATCGCTCGGGAGTGACTCCACTCTCCTTGTCAGAGATGCACTGATGGGCGGGGAGGGGGCGTGTGTGCGTGTTGAACTGGGGAAAAGGTGGGGGCCGGGGGGGAGAGGGAGAGGGGTGGTATAGTCAGTGACAGGACGGATTGAATTGAAGGATGGGGAAAAGGAGGGATCGTGAACCTCCGGATGTTGGGGTTAAGCACATCTGGGGATGTCAGGTCTTACCTGACACATTGGACTGACACATTTGCCTTCAAGCACCGACTTGTCACTTACCTAGATCGTTCCTAAGATGTCAGGTCAGGGTCTTATTAATCATACGTGTGGGTGCAATCTTTGGATGTTCTTCATCCAACCGTGGTTCTATTGATACCTTGGAACCCAGTACTCATACCTGCAGATGTGCACGATAATCAGTCATACCTGCGGATGCAGGTTCTGCGAGTTTTTCATCCAGCAAATCCTGTGCGTGTACCACCCCAGCACTACCACGTTCTTATAAGCACGCATGGGGATGTTGGTGCCCATGCATGCGGTATACCTATGCATGTCGGGACATACCTGTCCATACCATACCTGTGGGTGCATGGGCCCAACCATACCTGTGGGTGCAGGTTCTGAGGGTTCTTCATCCAGCACACCCTGTGCGTGTACCACCCCAGCACTACCATATCGTTATAAGCACGCTCCGCTACAAGACGTGCGTCACCAGGTTGGCCGTACAGTGTTGCCTCCTGGAGCATAAGACAGAGGAGAGAAAATTCAAAGCCGGATACTGGCTGGCTACAATGTCGTTACAAGCACAATTCGTTACAGGCGGAATGTCCGCTGGTTCGCAGTACAGTACAGGATTGCTTAATGACAGGAAGAATTACTCGCGAGATTTCTCAGGCGTGATTCCAGCATTGAGAGATCTCAAAACGCAAGTGATTCCAGCGCAGCACAGGGTTGCTTAGCGATCGAGGGAGAGAGAGAGAACGAATACACGGAAACCACCTGAGAACTCACCTGAACGAAAAGCTGGAAGAAGTCGAGGAAGTCTGAGAGAGCATCGTACGTCCAGAGGGACACGTGGCCGCTCACTGCTGTGGATGCGTACTGGCTGGGGCCCGGGGCACGGAGACTGGAAGGAAGTGGGAGGGAGGGATGGAAAAATAAGGAGAGTATGCGGAGACCAAGGCATTGTTACGTGCAGAGGGACACGTGCGCACTCACTGCCGTGGATGCGTACTGGCTGGGACCAGGCCTGTCGAAGTTTCTGGGGCTCGTACTTGCGCTCCCCAGCTCCTCCCCATCTGACCCTTGGTTGGGTGTAGGTGAGCGTTTTGGCGCCCTTAACGGGCACGGGCGCACCCCAAAGTGAAAACTTGAAATCCGGGCATGTGCGAAGCTTAGTTGCAGAAGACGCAAATCAGACGCTGCGTCCTGCGTCCAGACGCAGCGTCTAGACGCTAGGACGCAGGACGCGCGTCCAGGCGCAGGACGCAGCTCGAAATTTTTTTCGGGCAGACCGATTTTTTTTTTCCCCGATGGTAGTTTAGTATGCATGTGCTTAAGTGGTTGGACTAAATAAAATGTGTGTGTGACCTCGTGACTCACCTTAGTCATGAATTTAGGGGGAAAAAAATGATGTTGGGGAAAAATTTGCCTTGAAAGTGTGGAAGGTCCCCCCCCCCCCCCCTTCTTCCAACGCCCTATACAACGTTTTTTTGCCTGCCCGAAGGTTTTTTTGCCCTGCCCGGGCTTGCGTCTTTTGGTGCGTCTTTGGGGTCTAGGTTCTGCGTCTTGCGTCTGGACGCATGCGTCCAAGACGCAGGACGCGTCTTCTGCAACTAAGGTGCGAAGTTTGCACTTTGTCGTGAATCTTCCTCTGTCCACCCTCATTCCCTCTCTCCCCTGCGTATCCTGCTGATTTCTCCTTCTCTTCTTCCTTCCATGCCACCCGCTACGCTGATCAGATTCATCCCTTCTTCCTCCTGGCGTATGTAATCACTCTGTCCTGCACTCCTCCTGGTGCCTCAGGCTTCCCTGCCGCAGCTGCTATAGCATCTAGCGTTCGCTTCAGATCTTGCACGTGCTGCTCTTCACTGCTGCTGAAAATCAGTATATCATCTATGTAGCAGGCTGCTGCTGGAATCCCCTTCAGCACCTGATCCATGGCCCGCTGGAACACTGCAGGGGCGTTGCGTATCCCGAAGGGCATCACATTGTACTCATACAGCCCATCCACCCCGTGAAACGCCGTCTTCCGTTTGTCTTCCTCCCTAATGGCTATTTGGTTGAACCCCTGTCGCAGGTCCAAGGTGGTGAAGATGATGGCGCCTTCTAAGCGATCAAAGATGTCTTCTGCTGTTGGCATGGGGTACCTGTCCGGGCTGGTAATCTTGTTCAGCTCCCGAAAATCTCCACACATCCTTTTCGCCAGCACCTTACCCGTGATATCCTTCCTGGCAGCTACCACTGTGGCTGCTGCGTAGCTTGACTCGGACGGGCGGATGATCCCTGCTGCTAGCAGCTCCTCACACTTCTCCTTGCAGATAGCCGCATCTTCTGCATTCATCCTCCTTCGTCGTTGGTAAGTGGGGATCTCTGTGGTGAGGTTCAGCTCCAGCTCCCTTCCTTTGTACCTCCCCAATTCCTGCAGGTTATATGCGAAAGTGTTCCTGTGCTGCCGCAGCACCTCCCTGATTGCTTCCGCCGTCTGCCCCCCGATGTCTGCACCTAGCTCCCATTCCCTACCCTGCTCCGCTTCTTTGCCCCCTGCTGGTGCCGCAACGCTCTCCTTTCCGCCCGTGCCCTGCCCCACAGCTGCATATGCCGCCTGCTTATCACCCCGTCCTTGCCCCTTTCCGGTCCCTCCTCCCTTATCAGCTGCCCCCTTCCTCATCTCCTTGATTAGCCATCTCAGCGAGTGCTGATCTATGGCTCTTCCCAAAGCTGCTCTACGCACTCCTTCCTCTACCCCTTCTGCTGCGGTTGCTCCTGGCAGGTATCCCATGGCTAACTCCCGCTCCAAAGCCGTCGGTTCCTCCCACTTCTTCTTCCGGTGATCGTACACCTTTCCTGGTCCTGGTATTCCATTCACCTCGATGAAACCTTGAGCCCTGGTGTATGCCACTAATGTAGGCCAAGCCCTGCGAGCTTCCCCCACCCGGTTGCACTGGTACTGCCGCGGATGATCTGGTTTTACCACTGGTGCCGCCACTCTCCCAGGTTCTAGAATATCCTCCACTATCCTGCTTTCGTCCCTCTCCACTCTTGCTAATCTTGCCCTCAGTTCCCCGTCTGGTAAGACGTTTTGCCAGTACTGACGCACCCTGTGACAGCGTGCCCCCAACTGTGCCCCATCACAGCTCACTCCTCTCCCTAGTTCTGCCTCCACAAGCTCCCTCACTGCCCTGACCAGCTCGCGTACATCACTCCTCATATCCACATGCTCCAGGATGTAAGCGTATTCTCCGTTCACTTCCCTCGTCCACTTCATAATGGTGAGTAGCTTGGTCACCATCGCCGTGCGCTCATCCTGCAAGCCTTTCCCCCTTCCGGCCCTAGAAGTACCCTGACACTCCCATCCCGCCACTAACAAATCCACTTTACCCCAGCTGCTCACGTCTTCTTTCGTGATCTGCCCCACGTCCCATTTCTTGTTCTGCATGGCCTCCCGTAGCACTTCCTTCGTCAGCTGCGCGGGGTACTGCTGCTGTAACATTTGAGCATGCTTCCATGCCATTCTCCTCACCTCTGGATCCAATTCCACGTATACCCACTTCTTCACCCTCAGGCCTGCTTCCAAGGCTGCTGCCAAGCCCGCTCCTATTCCCCCGAACAGCTCTACTAGTGTAATGCTGTACTGATCCAGGTGAGCGCTGACGTTGCTCTTCCCCTCACTCCCACTCCTCTTGCTATTTTTCCTCAGTCCTTCTGCTCTCCACGCCTTCTTCGGTTCTGTCTTGACAAACCGTACGGGTAGTTCGCTCAGCTCATTCCCTTCCTCCCAAAAGTCCGAACGATAAAGCACCTGCTCCTGCCAGGTACAGATGGTGGTGCCTATCTTGAACAGCAGCTCCATTCCTAGTAGGATATCGTAGTCTTCTGACTCTGTTAACCCACACTGCACTCTGATAGTGGTCTCCCCCTTCTCTCCTGGCTGTAAGGTTATCTCTATCAGGTCCCGTGTGCATGGCATCCACTTGGGGGCCCCTCCTTCTGCTGTCATGATCAGTGTGCCTTTGCTCACAGTCTCTAGGTTCCCTTGCGCTCGCAGTTGTGCCGTCAGCTTTTTCCCGATTAGGACGCTCTGCGCTCCCGTATCCACAACCGCGTTTTCTACCAAGATTCCCCTGACCGCCACTGCTTTTGGTTCCACCACCAAGGCTGTGGGCTGACAAACTAGCCTTTCCTCGGGGTGACGCCGTGCGGTGCTGACATTCCCTTTATTCTCCTGCCGCCTGGAAATTCTCCGCTCTTGTGATTTCTGCTCCGCTCTGCCGTCTACCCCTCCGCTGCGCAGCCCCAGGTCTTCCCTCTCCCTTGGCGGCATAGCCATGGTCCCGTATTCAGGTTCCCCTTCCTCAGAATCTTCCCCTTCATCATCCTCCCAAGCCAGCAGAGCTTTCTCGGGGTCCTCACTGATCCCAGATTTCTCCATTTGAGCTTTCAGCTTCGCCAATTCTCGCTCTAATTGCTGCTCCCGTGCAGATTTCCCCTTCGCCCTGTCTCCCTTGCTGTAACATCTAGCTTCGGTATGGCCTCTCTTCCCGCACCCCGTGCAGGTCGGCGCCTTAGGGCAGTCACGCCTGAAATGCCCCTTTGCTCCACAGGTGTCGCATATTATTCCCACCGTACAATCCCTCCGAAGATGTCCTTGCTCTCCACATTTATGGCAGCGTCTCGGATCTTCTGATGACCTCTCTTTCATCTCTTCCTCTCCCCTTCTTCCTTCCATAGCTGCCCAGGCTGGCCGTCTCCGCTCGTTCGGTCTGCTGGAACTCGACCCCTGCATCCCATCATAAAATCTCTTCCCTTCTTCCACTTCCTTCGCTACCTTGTAAACTTGCCGCAGCGTAGCTCGTACTCCCAGAACATACAGTTGACTCCTCATGTCGCCTATCAGGTCCTTGTCCAATCCGTTGACAAATTTTGTCACTAAGAGGCGCTCCTCCATACACCCCATATCCTCCGCCAGTTCCAGCAGCCTGTTGTAATAGGCTAGCAGCGACTCCGAGGTGGCACGCGTGAAGTTTTGGAACTCCGTTATCCGTTCAGCAGAGTGCCCCGGGAATTGCTCCTGTAAACTCTCCAGAAATCGGTCAGTTATCATCGCAGGTGAGAAATCGCCTCTCTTGCACTGCATCAACAGCCCTTGCCTTTCTACGCGGTAGTGAGTCAGGGCCTCGCCTTTCAGCGTCCTCCCCAAACCTCTGAAGAACTCGATAGGATTCAGGCTCTCCCTCTCCCAAAGGTAACGCAGGTCGTCTATCATCATCAGATAATTCTTGAGCGTGGGCTCCTCCCCTGGAGTCCCCGAGAAACGGTCTGGTACTTCAATCTTCGGTAGAGCTGCGTTCATCATACGGCCCGTCCCCCAGCTCGTGTTCCCTCTGTCCCCGCTGTCTGCAGGCCGACCACCTCGCCTAGCTTCAGTAGCTTCGTATCCGTCTGCTGAAAAGCTGTGGTACGCTTCTCCTCCCCGCTGACTACGCCGTTCCTCTTGATGATCATCTTCCCCGCGCTGACTGCGTCGTTCTTCTTGACACTCTTCTCTTCCTTGAGCAGGATTATCCCCCCGAGATCCACTCCTAACGTGGCCAATTCCACTCCCACCAGCGGGTGATCCGCCAGTAGCACTAGGCGGCAGCTCTCCTTGTCGGTTTCCTTCCCTCTCTCGATCTGATCCCTGACTCCCGCGAGCGTTAGCATCGCCCTCTTCAGCACGGAATCCAGGTGTCCTGGTTGGCAGGCCCTGTCCCTCCATCACCCTTGCAGGGAAACGCAATCCCGAGCGCAGCTGATGAGTGTGCAGATCTTGATCGTGCCTACTCATTCCTCACGGCGCATCACCGTGGGCGACTCAAGGCCTCTAGCTTATCTCCTGTACTTAAGACAGTCGTCGATCTCCTTTTTGCTTGTATGTAGCAAGCATAACACTCCCCCTCAGGGGCTCCGTCAGATTGCTTATAGCTTCTCCTACTGCTAGCTCCCTCTGGATTAGGAAATCAAATTGCAGTAAACGAGAAACATACAAGCAAAAAGCAAGAAGCCCGAGTGCTACTCCTGCCTACATCTATTCCCACCCCCTGCCTAGGTTGCTTCCTCCACAAGCAAGCTCCTGTGCACCAAGCGAGTCAGCCGAGCTGCTCGCGAGGTCTCCAAGGTGCTAGCTGTGTTCCCACTGGGCCCACTAGGCATGCACCGCCTTCCAGCCTGGTAATTTCGAATTGAATTCACAGGCTGGAATTGAATTCGCCTCCACCAACCTCCTTGAATTCGCCTCCCACTAACCACCTCAAATTCCCCAGCTACTCGGCTCTGCAGTACAGTACAATACATTCCAAGCACACAAATGAAATTAGAGTACAAAAGCAGTAAACTATAGTACACCCTCACCTTGGCTGCTGTGGTATTCACACTTAGTTGCCAGCTAAGTGTTAATAACGCGACAACTTACACTGTATTTGGTTAAGTGAGAGAGCTGCTACGCTAGAGTGCTTCAGTTCCTTTGACATGCTAAGGGAATGTTCGGGTGCTCCAAGGCTGACTGAGACACACTACACACACGAGATTGGCTAGAAAACGCTAAGGGAAAAATCCCCTCCGCGCGCTTTTGTGCAGGCTAAGGAGAAAGAGGGGAGGGGGGGAGGGGGGGGGGGGGGTTGTCTCTAGCACCCTGGGGGGAGGGTTCCAGGGCATTAAGGGCATATGCCCATCAATCGACAGGCCTGGCTGGGACCCGGGGCACGGAGGCTGGAAGGGAGTGGGAGGGAGGGAGGGGCCAAGGGAAGAGGGAAGTCTGAGAGCGCATCGTACGTCCAGAGGGACACGTGTGCGCTCACTGCTGTAGATGCGTACTGGCTGGGGCCTGGAGCACGGAGACTGGAAGGGAGTGGGAGAGATGGATGGGCAGTGAGCATGCACGTGAGCTAGTATGAGCCCTTATGACCATACCCGTATCTCTCAGCGGAAATGGGTCGTCGGCTCCGTCGACCCTCCGATGACCTGGCGACCTGCTGCCCCGGGCAGAAAAAAACTAAAACCCCATCGGATGGCATGCCATCCGAGGGAGGCATCAACCTATATCCATGCCTCCTTGTATTTAGGACTGATGCCTCCCTAACCGGATGCATGCCCGATTGGGTTTTATTTTTTCTGCCGCGGGCAGCGAGCTCCGTGGGCGGCGACGGCGACCCATTTCCGCTGAGATATATTCAGCTCAATACCCATCCGCAGCATACCTGGGCCAACGCTGCGACACCACCAGGTGCACTCATGGGTATATTCAGCTCAATACCCATCCGCAGCATACCTGGGCCAACGCTGCGACACCACCAGGTGCACTCATGGGTATATTCAGCTCAATACCCATCCGCAGCATACCTGGGCCAACGCTGCGACACCACCAGGTGCACTCATGGGTATATTCAGCTCAATACCCATCCGCAGCATACCTGGGCCAACGCTGCGACACCACCAGGTGCACTCATGGGTATATTCAGCTCAATACCCATCCGCAGCATACCTGGGCCAACGCTGCGACACCACCAGGTGCACTCATGGGTATATTCAGCTCAATACCCATCCGCAGCATACCTGGGCCAACGCTGCGACACCACCAGGTGCACTCATGGGTATATTCAGCTCAATACCCATCCGCAGCATACCTGGGCCAACGCTGCGACACCACCAGTGCACTCATGGGTATATTCAGCTCAATACCCATCCGCAGCATACCTGGGCCAACGCTGTGACACCACCAGGTGCACTCATGGGTATATTCAGCTCAATACCCATCCGCAGCATACCTGGGCCAACGCTGCGACACCACCAGGTGCACTCATGGGTATATTCAGCTCAATACCCATCCGCAGCATACCTGGGCCAACGCTGCGACACCACCAGGTGCACTCATGGGTATATTCAGCTCAATACCCATCCGCAGCATACCTGGGCCAACGCTGCAACACCACCAGGTGCACTCATGGGTATATTCAGCTCAATACCCATCCGCAGCATACCTGGGCCAACGCTGCGACACCACCAGGTGCACTCATGGGTATATTCAGCTCAATACCCATCCGCAGCATACCTGGGCCAACGCTGCGACACCATCAGGTGCACTCATGGGTATATTCAGCTCAATACCCATCCGCAGCATACCTGGGCCAACGCTGCGACACCACCAGGTGCACTCATGGGTATATTCAGCTCAATACCCATCCGCAGCATACCTGGGCCAACGCTGCGACACCACCAGGTGCACTCATGGGTATATTCAGCTCAATACCCATCCGCAGCATACCTGGGCCAACGCTGCGACACCACCAGGTGCACTCATGGGTATATTCAGCTCAATACCCATCCGCAGCATACCTGGGCCAACGCTGCGACACCACCAGGTGCACTCATGGGTATATTCAGCTCAATACCCATCCGCAGCATACCTGGGCCAACGCTGCGACACCACCAGGTGCACTCATGGGTATATTCAGCTCAATACCCATCCGCAGCATACCTGGGCCAACGCTGCGACACCACCAGGTGCACTCATGGGTATATTCAGCTCAATACCCATCCGCAGCATACCTGGGCCAACGCTGCGACACCACCAGGTGCACTCATGGGTATATTCAGCTCAATACCCATCCGCAGCATACCTGGGCCAACGCTGCGACACCACCAGGTGCACTCATGGGTATATTCAGCTCAATACCCATCCGCAGCATACCTGGGCCAACGCTGCGACACCACCAGGTGCACTCATGGGTATATTCAGCTCAATACCCATCCGCAGCATACCTGGGCCAACGCTGCGACACCACCAGGTGCACTCATGGGTATATTCAGCTCAATACCCATCCGCAGCATACCTGGGCCAACGCTGCGACACCACCAGGTGCACTCATGGGTATATTCAGCTCAATACCCATCCGCAGCATACCTGGGCCAACGCTGCGACACCACCAGGTGCACTCATGGGTATATTCAGCTCAATACCCATCCGCAGCATACCTGGGCCAACGCTGCGACACCACCAGGTGCACTCATGGGTATATTCAGCTCAATACCCATCCGCAGCATACCTGGGCCAACGCTGCGACACCACCAGGTGCACTCATGGGCATATTCAGCCCATCCGCAGCATACCTGGGCCAACGCTGCGACACCACCAGGTGCACTCATGGGTATATTCAGCTCAATACCCATCCGCAGCATACCTGGGCCAACGCTGCGACACCACCAGGTGCACTCATGGGTATATTCAGCTCAATACCCATCCGCAGCATACCTGGGCCAACGCTGCGACACCACCAGGTGCACTCATGGGTATATTCAGCTCAATACCCATCCGCAGCATACCTGGACCAACGCTGCGACACCACCAGGTGCACTCATGGGTATATTCAGCTCAATACCCATCCGCAGCATACCTGGGCCAACGCTGCGACACCACCAGGTGCACTCATGGGTATATTCAGCTCAATACCCATCCGCAGCATACCTGGGCCAACGCTGCGACACCACCAGGTGCACTCATGGGTATATTCAGCTCAATACCCATCCGCAGCATACCTGGGCCAACGCTGCGACACCACCAGGTGCACTCTCGAATAGAGCATGGTGGCGAGCTCAGTGACGTTGGCGAAGAGGATGACATCCGAGTCGAGGAAGAAGATGCGCGGGAAGGCATGGCGCTCCATGAAGGCCTTGAGGATGAACCAGCGGACCTGAGGGTATGGGAGTGGAGAAGATTGAGAGGAGAGGGGCGGAGGGATGAAGGGAAACAGGGGTGCTTGGGGTGCGATGTTGGTGACTTGGTTGCAGATGGAAGGCATGGCGCTCCATGAAGGCCTTGAGGATGAACCAACGCACCTGGGGGGGGGGGGGACAAGGGGAGAGATGCGGGGATTGATGAGAAGGGACCTTACTGAAGATGCGCGGGAAGGCGTGGTGCTCCATGAAGACCTTGAGGATGAACCAACGCACCTGAGGGGGCGGGGAAGTAAGGAGGGAACAGTGGGGGGCACAAGGGGAATGGGGGTGTGAGATGGGGTGACCTGATTGCAGTTGGAAGCCGTGGCTTCCATGAAGGCCTTGAGGATGAACCAGCGCACCTGAGAGGGGGGGGGGGGGACAATGACACCAAGGAGGTGAAGTGAGAGGGGTGCGGAGGGAGGGAGGCACAATTGGGATGGGGGTTGAGAGAGTGTGAATGGATCGTAGCTGGAAGGCATGCCGCTCCATGAAGGCCTTTAGGATGAACCAGCACACCTGAGGGGGGAAGGGAGGAGAGAGGAGACAGCAGAGGAGACAACAAAAAGCGGAATCGAGATGGTGGTGGCTTGATAAGAGCATCGCAGTACACCACCGCGTTGCGCTGCCTGATGAGGCGCGCGTGAGGTGCAGAGTAGCATACACACACACCTGGTAAGAGACTGGGTCACCCAGGTTGGCCGAGAACCAGCCCACCACGTCTTGATACCCAATGACAGGGTCCAGCACGATATCAAGCTCCCTGGCCATCTCCACACACTCATCACTGTCAGGCCCGATGAAATACACCACTGCGTTGCGCTGCCGCGTGTGGCGCAGGTTGCGGTGCATGTAGTGCGACGGGCGGCATGCGACCGAGCCTGACGGCTGTTGGTGGACTACCACCACTGGGATGGGCTGGAAAGGTGGGGAGGGGGAAAACAAAGGGAAACACGCAAAGGAGATGCAGGGGAGTGGGCATGTGCACTGCCGCGTGTGGCGCAGGTTGCGGTGCATGAAGTGCGACGGGCGGCATGCCACTGAGCCGGACGGCTGTTGGTGGACTATTACTACTGGGATGGGCTGGGGGGAGGGAGACGGGAGAAGAAGGGGAGGGACGGAGAAGGACGTGCGATGGGTGTGGCGCAGGTTAAGTGCGATGGGCGGCAGGCCACTGAGCCTGACGGCTGCTGATGCACCACCACCACCACTGGGATGGGCTGGGGAGGGTGTGGCGGCATGTGGGGCCCAGGAACGAGGAGAGGAAAGAGGGAGAGGAGAGCATGAGTGGTGCAAGGTGTGGCGCAGGTTGCGGTGCATGTAGTGAGAGGGGCGGCAGGCCATTGAACCTGATGTGATTCGTGCATTAGTGGCTTTTGGCAGAGAATGAACTCCTGGTGAATTTTGTCTCTTAAATTACGTAATACTGACCAGCATCAGCTGCTCTCGCCAAGACAAGCAGTGTGATCAGGTTTCTACAGTCGCTATTTTGGTATCGACTCAAAACGAAGCAGTGTGATCAGATCCCACAGTAGCTGCTTTGCCCTGACCAGTCCGTCCTAGTGACTCCACATCGATCCTACTCATCCTGATTCGTCTGCGTACCATTCGAATCAGTGTTGCTCACCTGCTTCTTCCACGGCTGCTTGAGTGCCGTGGTAATGGCGTCTGGCAGCTGGCGGTTGAAAATGTCCGATGTGAAATTGGCCGGCTGGAGAGAGCAAGTGGGGTGAAAGGTGCGAAGAGGAGAGGGGGAAAGGGAAGCTGTGACTGATGAGTCGACTCAGAGAGCACCATGGTAATGGCGTCAGGGATCTGGCGGCTGAAAATATCCGATGTGAGATTGGCAGGGTGGAAATAAAGGGTGGGGACCAGCAGCTGGCAGTTGAATCGACAAAGGCCGATGTGAAACTGGCAAGCTGGCTAGGGGACAGAGATCGGAGAAGGGGCGAAGAGAGGCCCTGATCATCAATCATGCTGGCACATGCACAATATGCACGGTCAAAAGCTGGACTGGGGATTTACTGGTTCATACGGGTGCATGCTAAGTTGTGCATGGTGAGCAAGGTAAACTGAACATGAACCAAAGCATGCACCTGTATGCACCGGGCAATAATGGTTCATACGGGTGCATGCTGAGTTGCGCACGGTGAGTAAGCTAGACTAAAATCTTACTGTCACACAGCTTCTAGATGCCTTTTTTAGGGAATGAAAGACGATGGATAGAACAGACCAGACCCACCCACCCTCTCGTGTCCATCACTTGAAATTTGATTGGACTGGAGAATTACCTTAACCCGCTTGTGCATGCGGCCTCCTCGGGGGAACGGGCAGGTGAAGGGCAGCAACCAGCAGCCGAGAGTGAGCCATCTGCAATGGGGGATCCACAGTGGCGAGAGAATGGTTAAGGTGAAGCAGAAACGAGCAGGTGAACGGCGGAAACCAGCTAACCAGCAGCCGAGCGTGAGCCATCTGCAATAGGGGAGCCACGGTGAGATTCGGAAGAAGAGATCAAAAGGTTACTTTTCTTACAGATGATAATAAACACGGGTGTTAAAATATGACAAGTCTGAAGCACAGAAGTACCAGGTTTCTGTTGGCATCGACGAGGCTGCAGCAACTGCAATGAGAATCGAATCATTTCTATAACGGGACCACATTGGGCGCTGAATAAGGACCGTACAGAAACGTGATTGTAGCGAAGGCGAGACCAAGTTGAATTCTTCGATTTCGCAAACCGGCAGGTCCGCCGCTTCCGGCGCCGGTTATGGAAACGAGGAGCCGATGAATTTGAGCTCGATAGTTGATCCCCTTACTGCGCTTCGAATGAGAGTCTCCTGGGGACGCGTGCGACGGCGAACCGCCAGTTAAATGGACTACCATAGCGGAACGTCGTAATGAAATACTGCTAAACTCTCTGAATCTGACTGCTACGAGCAAATCCACGGAGACATATCTGAGAAGATAGAGTCCATAACAATAATCAGCTAAATCTCATGATTACTTATTCACACAACCATCTGACTTGAAGCCAGCCTCGAATCTAGTTGGTGTTGCTCGTAAAAAAGCATCTAAACATTCCAGCGAAGAGCAGTCATAGTCAACACAACGAAACGACCACCGTTTTGATGCGCGAAACGCGGTTGCGGATCTTCTAGCTGAGCGATTAGCTGCCGTAGATAACGAGCAGCTACCTACCAACTCACGTGTTTGACTCCACTGACAGCATTGGAATGAGGTGAAACCTCACCCAGAATTCCCGAGGTTGATGAGCCATGTGCACCAAAAGTATCACTCAGTACCGTACCTATCCGATTTGGGTATTTATAAGACCGATGTATAGTGTAAAACACTGGGTGGAACACCTTGGCAGATTCGATAAGAGCCCCTCGACGGCACAGTCGGAAAAGCACCTGATGTTGATAAAGGTGGACGATTACCTTATCATCCATGTTTCTGTTAGCAAAATTTCCAGCGTTTCAAAAGTGGATTAGCTTAACAACCTAATGTGAAGATTCATTTAATGTGCTGAACAGCCTGGGGGTAAAAAAAGAGTATGTTTCTTTTTAACGGGATCAATATGCCATACATGTGGCAACATGTGTTGACATAATGGTGCATGACGCAAGTCAATCAGCACAAGTCACAGAGAACAAAGGTCATACAAGTGACACATTGGTCTAGAGGGTGACAGAGTCAAGGCCAGAGCTACCACTACCACCAAACCAGTAGTAGAAGACTGCATGGTAAGCACCTGTTACCAATCCAAGGAGTGGATGCAGGCTATGCACAGGAGGTGACTTGTTAGGCTTTAGCTCACGAGGTTAGGGTTATGCCTTCTTAGATAACCAAGGCAGTAGGCACTGCTTTGCCATGACTGGTGATGCCACTTCCTCTTTGCTCTTCCCCTCACGTGACACCTTCCTGGTAACCCCACTCCCCTTCTCCTTCGCCACTGTCCCCTTCACAGACTTCTCCGCTTTAAGCTTCCGCTCCTGCCCTTTTGCTACAGCAGCGCGAAGCCTGCTTTCTTCCGCACCCTTGCCACTTCCCTTCCGCGCCAGGGAACTCTCCTCGAATTGCACACACGGATCCCCGCTTTTCCCCGCGGCTCTCTCCGCTCCCCCAGCGCTTTCCGCTTTCACCCCCCCTCTTTCCGCGTTTCCCCCCAACCTGTGAACCGCTTCCGAACTTCCGCCCCGCCGTAGCGCTACTGACGTTTTCCTGTCAGATCCCCGTCCCGTTGCTCCCCCCCCTCCCGCTGCTCCACCACGTTCGGTTCTGGCTGAACCTTGCTTGATTTAAGTATTCCTTTTAGCGGTTGCTTAGCCTCCTGAGTCTGGCTCGGTTGCCTGCTATGCTGCGGCGGTTGCACCACCTGTAACGGTTCTAATTGTAGCGGGTACACAGACGGGCTCATATCTTCCTCTTGAGAATCGTCCTGAATGCCCGCGACATCGAGAGGCGGTAGTTTCGGTTTCCGCAGCTGCGGCCGCTGCTGCTGCTGCTGTTGCTGCTGCTGTGGCGATTGTGAGTTTAACGAACGGGAGCTCGAGTGTGATCTTATTGGAAGCGCGTGACTCACGGGGAGGAGCGCAGCTGAAAGAGCAGGGCCGGAGCGACTGGATTGGCTGGAAGAGCTCAGCTGACGTTGCGTTCGCTGCGCGAATTCCCTCCCCGCGCCTGTGCGCGTCTGCCCTTGCGCCATTCCGCTTCCGCTAGAGGGCCTTCCGCCCTTTGAAAGTGCGCCCGAGGGACTCTTGGGAAATGCGCCCGCTTTTACGTTAGCCACCGCAGCGGCTGCGCGGGCGGCGCTGGCGGGGGACTGCGGCGGGAGAGAGCGGGATTGCGCGAGTGCGCGCAGCTGCTGCTGTTTAGGCGGAACAGGCATCCCCGCACCTCCTCGGAAAGCGCGCGGGGAGGCGGAGGACATCAGCGCGACACCGTGCGGCGCGGCGGAGGTCGCGCGGGGGGACTTCGCCGGGACGCGCGGGGATTTTGCGGACAGCAGGCGCGCTCTGGGGGAAGGCTGCGCTGCTGCATGCGCTGGCGCGTAGGTCGGCGGAGAAACCTGTGGGCGCTGCTGCGGGCGCGCAGCAGCAAGGCGGGGGGTTCTGGCGGAGCCCCCGCTAGCGCCACTGGTTGGGCGGCGGGACTCGACGGCGGGCGGCATGCTAGTGGCTTTCACAAGCACGCGCTTGCCGCGAGTGTTGCGGGGAAACGATGCGGAGCCGCCGCCTGCGCCGCCGTAATTAGCGGTCCCCCACGGGGCTCCGGCAGCGGTGGTTGCGGCGACCGCAGCGGCGGAAGCGGCGAGGCTCCCTCGTCCGTGCGACCGCTCGTCTGGCATTGTGCCGGCCTTGCGCAACTTGCGCCGGCCGCTGGCGTCGATTCCGCTGCCGTTGCCGCTCCCCCCAGCGCTGCGGCCACTGGCGGGATTGCTGCCAACCGTGGCGTTGCTGGCGAAACTGCCCGTTGAAAGGGCGGATCCCGACAGCTGGCGCCGATGACCGTTAGAACTGACGGAATCTTGCCGTTGATGACCGTTGGAACTGACGGAAAGCTGGCGCCGATGGCCGTTAGAACGGAGTGAGTTTTGCCGTTGATGACCGTTGGGACTGACGGACTGCTGCTGCTGGTGACCGTTAGAACTGACTGAATCTTGCCGTTGATGACCGTTATAACTGACGGACTGCTGCTGTTGATCGCTAAAACTGACGGACCGCGATCGCCCATGGTTCCTTCGAAGTTGACGCGGAGAGTTGGGAGCAACCGCCGTGCTATGGACAGGCTGAGACGCGGAGCCCGGAAAGGCCGCGGCATTCACGTTCGCCGCGACATTCGCGTTCGCCGCGGCGCTCGCTGCGAAGTCGGCTGTTGGGAGATTTTGATGATGATGCGAGGAGGCGCACAGATCGGAAACCTGAGCGGCCGCGTTTCCTGGTGACACTGCCTCGTCAGGAGCAGCCATTTCGAGTGTGACGCAATCTTCTTCGTCGTCGCCATCGTCGTCGTCGTCGTCATCCTCGTCGCACTGTTGATAGTAATCGTCGCCGTCGCCTTCGCCGTCGCCGTCGTCGTAATCTTCCCCGTCGCCGTCGTCGCCATCCCCTTCATCGCCCTCGTCGTCGAAATAGTCGTAAACGGGCTCGCCGTCCAGGACGGGCGTGTGCGGCTCGTCCTCATACACTATAATGGAACCGCTTTGCTCAATAGCGGAGCTGAAGCTGGATATCGACTCGTACCCGTTCCAGGACATAGCACCCGTGGCTTCAAACGAACCGTCGCCATGCTCTTCCACTCTGGACAGAGGATCCGACGAATGGCGGTGGAAGGGCGGTGCGTAGGGCGGTGCGAAAGGCTGTGCGAAGTCCTGCGAATATTCCGAGGCTTCGTCGTCGCAGTCGTCGTTTACGATCTCCCCATCAATAACATCATCGAAATCCGAGTCGTCAGTCTGAAACGACGGCGCAGGATGCGGGTAATACGGAATGGATGAGGTGGAGACGGGCCTCATTCGGGCTCCTTTAGCGATGGGAAAGACGGGGTCAGAGACGGTTGTCGAGAAAGAGTTGGGCAGCGAGGGATAATAAATCGCCATGGATTCTCTGGGCCCAGCGAAGGGCGAGAAATGATGATGCGGTGGCTGAACTAGAACTTCTGGTCCTTCATTCATTCAAGGCGAAACGGTTTGACAAAGTACGAAGTTCTACGCTCTCAATAACTACTAGCTATGGTGGAAACCCTAAATTGAGCAGCCATGGTAAAGAAATCGAACAGCGCACGAGTTCCCTGTAGGGTAGCGCATTCGCGTTGTCATGGAACGCGAGCAGGTGCTGTGAAGTGCTGGGTCTGGAATGACAGGTTGCTCGAGCGCGGAGCAGGAACAGATTGCGGCGGTGGATGGTGGTGGTGGTGAGGATGAAGAGGGGGGAGTGATGAAGGCCGTACGGTAGATGGTGTGTCTCGGTGTGACGCTCGAGGCCCGAGGAGATTTGGTCACACAACACTTGGCTAGTGGGGTTCTGCCCCCCCAAGCGAGATTTCACCCAGCAACAACGAACAAACTGCAAGAAGCTTTGACTTCCCTCAGGTCCCCTCCCCCTCCCTCCCCTCCCCCCCCCCCTCCCACACAAGAGGGGGAGCTTGGGGGCAGCTTCACGGGACGGTCAAGAGTGCACTGCACGGTCAATGATGGACCATGTACAGTGTCGGGGGAACGAGGTTCAGAATTGAGACTGACAGATTCACGTACACAAGATGCCCAACCCCTGCACGCGAAATTGCCTCGCACGTTCCATAAACTTTGCACACGAAGGTTTTTTCCCGGGCAGTTGCACCCACGTTACAAGCACGTCAACCAATACGAACCACAGAAACAGAAGAGACCGAAGTCAAACAGTCAACGGTGAGTTACAAAATTTTGCTATAAGCCCTTTTTGCCCGACGCGAATTGACGAAACCTCCACGAAATGCATGAATCACTTAAGCGCCCCCTTCACAAGGCAACCTTGGGTTAGTCAAACGGACATCGTGTGTATAAGGGCAAACTGAGGAGGGAGGAATGCTTTGGTTTGGTGCAAAAAAAGCTCGGTCTGGTTCGAATTAGATATGATTTTGGTAGTGTGTGAACTGAAAAAGGGGGTTTTGGGTTGAAGCGGAGTGGGAAGAGGGGGAAAATAGCAATGGGAAAAGACGAGCAAGCCACCCCAAAATGGGTGAATTGGAAACCGACAAGGGAAAGACGTTTCCTCGATGAAAAATTCCGATTTTTGATTCGCCAATGTCCAAATTGCGAGCCGCAAGCTCTGTGCTGGTTCGTTCAACAGTTTGTCCGTTTCGTTCATCGTAACGACGAGCAATCCCCTTACAATTTTCCCAGCCAGTCAGCAAGCAGTTTCATCCAACTACGGTCGGGTCATTTGTCCAATGGGCATTAGGGCGAGGTGCCTGTGGTCGATCGGCTGTGGCACTGCCTCGCTGCGACTGGTTGCCAAGATTTTCGACGAGGCCGGGACGAAATTTGTCTGACAAACCAAACCTTCGCGAGAACTGTCCTAATTCGCAAGCAACACTTCGCTCAACGGCTGTGTCACGCGGAACACAGGCAGGCACCGCGAAACGGAAATACGCGTTACTAGGCCGACGAACAACGAACCTAGAGTTCATCATCTGCCATATGTTCAGACAACAAATTCAGAATAGTCGAGCTGAGTAAACGTAGGTGGAACTCTTGAAACTCAACGGAACCCTGTACCTCACTAAAACCAAGAGTGCTGGTCTGATCTGCCACTCCTCACTCTGATTAGACGCTTCGGGATTACGTTTCTGCGTGTCTTTTACCGTCTCCAGCTGCGTGCATTTCGCCAAAATGTTTTCCCTTAGCAGCCGTCCTTACTGCGGCTTCAGCCAATCAGAAATCACAGCCGCACTTACCTTAAGCCCGGAATCGCAAGCACGGAAACACGGGGTGCAACAGCAGCGACAATGGAACCGTCTGATCGTCATATCGGCAGCGGGGAAAGCATCAAAGGCGAAGACTGCTTCGAGTGGAGGCTTCGGCGCGAAGACCAAGGCCGGTGTGAAAGCGGCGGCCGCGCCTAAAAGTGGGTTGCCGCGTTCTACGATCTGAAACCGTTTCCACCTCTGGTTTTCGCTGTAACGCAAGTTTCCGAAAGCCAATGTCCGCATACTTTTTCTTATTGGTGTTCGTGTCTATCGATTCCTCTGTTACATTGTTACAAACCGTGAAACACCATAAACTAATCATTCGATTTGCTTCCTCTTATCCCCCAATGCCGCATTGTTCCCCTATCCTCGTTATTAGTCGACGCGGCTGCTCTCCTAAGGCGCAGCGAACAACAGTACCACCAGCTCCTACGCGACTACCATCAGCAATACCATTCCCAGTCGGAAAATGCAGAATCCTCCTCAGCAGATTCCTTTCCGGAATCCCCGGGTCTAAGGGAGTACGTCATTTGTGTCAGGCGAATGCACCAATCAGGCGCCACGTCAGCGGGACCTGCTGCTGACGTGGCGCTCTCTGATTGGCTGCCGGTAGTGGAGATGATCCTGGTTTCAGATGAGGAAGCAGCGACGGCCATGCCTAAAGTTCTGCCGCACGTGTGCAGGTGGGTAAGGGATATGGGCATTTTATCTGGTTCACTGAGGGAGTTAGGAGCGATGCACCGCTGCAAAGGGGGAGGAGTGGAGGGGACAACGGGGTGATGCCACCCTTCAGAGGAGGAAGCAGCGACGGCCATGCCTAAGGTGCTGCCGCACATGTGCAGGTGGGTAGGGAATATCTGCACATGAGGGTGTTGGAAAGAAGCTCAGTTGGGAAAGTGGGAGGAGGAGGGTGAGGAAAGGGGGGGAGGGGGAGAGGTGGAGGAAAAAGGGGGGGAGGGGGGGGGGGGGGGGGGGGGGGGGGGATTGGGGGCAGGGCTAACTTTAGTGCCAGGGCCCGTCTGACGTTAAGACCGGGTCCTGGCTCCTTGTCTGATGGTCAGACGAAAGTTGTAGCTTAGTCTTACGTTTCAGACGAATTTCAAGTACTTGTCAGAGCTGTCAGACGGAATATGCCAAACGAACTGGCAAGATTCGTGCCAGCGGGGTGAATGCGGCGCAGTGACGTGCGGTGTTGTCACCGACCAGGGTAACGCGGCGGGTGGCAAGTCTTGTCCGTAACATTGGGCAACAAGCCATGTGGCCAACTAGCCGGGTGGGCAACTGGCCAGGTAGGGGAATTTGTCTGTTTCAGACGAGAAAAAACTCGATGTTTGCAGTCTCAGATGAACCGTATAAGGCTGTCTGACAAATCAGACGAATAAAAAAAGTTTCTCTTAAAAATCAGATGACATAAAATAGCTTGTCTACGGCATCAGACGAACCAGTAAAAATGTGTGCAAAATCCAGAAATTCAGACCAAAATTTTCTGATAAAGTAAGCCCTGATTGGGGGGGCTTGATTCAGCAAGATTGATGTTCCACCCCATCAAAACACCCTCTGTACAACGGAATTTCTCCGCTTACATGCTTTGCACTCTGAAATGAAAGTGCAAAGTTACACCTTCCTTACCAATGACGCGTTTCGTGAAATCTGTGTGCAAGTTACTCCCTGACTCCCCTCCCTTCCTTGTCCCCCGTCTGTGCCTCCAACCCTTGCTCCCCTGCATGTGCCTGTTGTTTTTTTTCTGATTCGTTTTTCTGATCGTAGGTTGATAGCAGAGAGCGCAGGCTCGTTCGTCAGCTCAGTGCCACGTCACCTGTAAGTGCCGTCAGCCATTCTCTTCACTCCCTATCTCCCACACCTCCCAATCCCCTCTCTCTCTCCCCGAATCTCTCCTTCCTGGATGGTTGCGATTTTTTTTTCTTCTATGGCCCTTTCACTCTTTATTCTCTAGCTAGTGGTAACCACCACCTGCCACTTGCCTTCTCCCATCTGCCACTCGCCACCTGCCAATCTTCCTCCAGCTTTTCCTCTCTCCTCCGCCCCAAACCCAAATGCCCCAACCCTACCCCTTCACTGCCCACCCCACACTCAACCTGTTCACCCATGCTGGAGCGTGCAAACAAGAGTGCAGTGAGCTTCTATGATGAGGTGGTAACCACTACACACAACCCTTTTTCCTGATATTTCTTCCTCCTATTTCCACTTTACACATAACCCGTTCACCCAGGCTGGAGTATGCATATGAGAGTGCAGAGAGCTTGTACAACGAGGTGGTAACCACCACACACAACCCTTCTTCCTGTTTTTTCTACCCCATTTGTCCACTTTACATGCAACCCATTCACCCAGGCTGGAGTACGCTTATGAGAGCGCAGAGAGCTTCTATGACGAGGTGGTAACCGCCATGCTCGACTCCTGCTACCTTTCCTCCTGTTCTTTCTCATATCCTCCCTCTGCCTGCCCAAAACCCCAACAGGCTGGAGTACGCTTATGAGAGCGCAGAGAGCTTCTATGACGAGGTGGTAACCACCACCCGCCACTTCTTTCTGTTCTCATTTCCTTCCTCTACGCATGCAAATTCCCAATCCCATCCACCCAGGCTGGAGTACGCCTATGAAAGTGCAGAGAGCTTCTATGACGAGGTGGTAACCGCCATGCTCGGCACTTCACCCTCATCGCCAACGGGGGGTGACAATAAAGGGGCTGAGGAGCACTCCTGCCCGTACTCCATCCTCGGCATTGCCAAGAGCGCTGCTCCTTCCCAGGTGCTTCCTCACAGGTGCTCACTCTAAGTTGCTCCACACAGGTGAGTTGGGATGTCTTGAAAGGCAATGAAGGGGCGGAGGAGCACTCCTGCCCCTACTCCATCCTCGGCATTGCCAAGAGCGCTGCTCCCTCCCAGGTGCTTCCTCACAGGTGCTCACTCTAAGTTGCTCCACTCAGGTGAGTTGGGATGTCTTGAAAGGCAATGAAGGGGCGGAGGAGCACTCCTGCCCCTACTCCATCCTCGGCATTGCCAAGAGCGCTGCTCCCTCACAGGTCTTGTGCCTTGGGCTCCCTCCTTGTGCCTTGGGTTCACCCCCTGAACCATCCGGTGTGCTCTTTTCGACCCTTTGTCATACCTGCGATGGCAGAAGAGGGGCATACTTATTTTCTCCATCCTCACCCTCCTCATTGGGGCTCGCATTGTGCACAGCGCTGCTCTCTCACTGATAGGTTATTCTTTTGAGAAGCACAATTCTGCAACATATTGTCGATCTGTCCCATTATTTCTCCGCTTCCTCTTGCTCTTTCTCCCCCTCTCCCTCTCCCTCTCCCTCTCCCTCTCCCTCTCCCTCTCCCTCTCCCTCTCCCTCTCCCTCTCCCTCTCCCTCTCCCTCTCCCGCCCTCCCTCAGATTCGGGCGGCGTACCGTTCATTGGCAGCCAGGCATCATCCAGACAGGCACAACACACATGACGACAAGGCCTCTGCTGAGGCCCAGTTTATGAAGGTGAGGGTGTGTGTGGGGAGGGATGTGTCATGCACTGTCCAGTCATGCTGCTGATGAGTTGAAGAAGAGTTTTGTTTCCAATTTGCTCTGTATTTGCCTTGTTCTTCATATACTTTTTATTGGGCCTCTAAATGTGCAGATTACAGAGGCTTATGAGCGAATCAAAAGGGGCGGCCACGTGTCTGTCGGTGCTTCTTCTGCTGGAACCTATGCTTCCCTCGGAGGCGGCAAACGGGAGGGGCTAAGCCCAGCACTGCAAGTCCGACCGAGCCCACCAAATGAGAAACTACCTCCTGGAGTAACGGTTGCTGTTAGAGGGCTGGAGCCTGAAATAGTTGAGCTTTTCTTGGCGCAAGCAACACGACGATCGCGGTCTGCAGCAGCAGCTGCAGTTACCGGTACAAGGTGACAACAGAATGTGCCAATCTGTCTAGGACTACTCTATTCTTATTAAAAACGTCGTGTTGTTTATTGACATCTCGGGAAGCCACAACCAGATAGGCAGCTGTACAAAAAATTGCAAGAAAATTAGCACTATGGAGTACAGTAGGCTCTTTGTGCTGCTGCTGGTGAAGTGGGTTGCCAGATATAGCTGTGATTATGGGTTTTACCGATTTGGAAAACTGGTTTAAAGTTACTGTAATTGAATTGACTCTTAGAAATTATGCTATTTCGAGTTTGACATTAGTCACACCAGTGTCAGGACCCGTGCGGTTCGTGAGTTCCGGGCCAGCGGACAAGCTGCGATGACCACCTCGAGTTTTTCCCCCAACCGCGAGGGCTGGTGATTTTCATCTGGCCAGGCTGGAAAGGAGGGAGCAGGGATGGGATGGTGTTTCCCGCCAAGTCGTCACAGCCAATCCCTATCATTTCTGTATGCCTGATGAAAGCGGTGCAGCATGCCTGTCAGCTGCACTTTCTTGCAAGCCGAATCTGTCTTAGCACCAGCTTTTGTCTAAGCTTCCTGGTGAAACTCCCCAGGATACAGAATCTAAGAGTTTTCAAGGTTCAGCATCTCGAGCGGAATCATCGCGATTGCAAGACCCGTCGATTGTTTTAGAGCGTGTCTGGTCTTGCCTTCGTCCAGCATTCTGAGTGGTATTGAGAGTGTTGGTTTCGCGTCATGGAGCAGGTGAATATAGGTTGGGGTGCTGTGGTCGCTTTTGGTGGACCGTTTTCGAGCGTTCGAGACGATCTAACGGTATATTTTCTGATTGCAGTATGAGAAAGTCGAGAAAATCGGAGAAGGGACGTACGGTGTTGTCTACAAAGCGCGTGATAGACTGACCAATGAGACGATAGCGCTGAAGAAGATTCGTCTAGAAGCAGAAGACGAGGGTGTCCCAAGCACTGCTATTAGAGAGATTGCATTGCTGAAGGAGATGCAGCACGGGAATATTGTCAGGTTAGTATTGGCGTCGCTGGATCCTTCATTCTTTCCATTGGGGAACACACCTAAAACGAATCTGACCTGACTACCTTCTCTTGAATTCAGGCTTCAAGATGTGGTGCATGCTGACCGAAGGTTGTACCTTGTCTTCGAGTACCTTGATCTGGACCTCAAGAAGCATCTTGATACTAGTCCTCACATTGCGCAGGACAGGATGATTATCAAGGTGAGCCTCGTCATCACCATAATTAGTATAATTGAATCCGAAACCTATAAGGGCAAATTTGGTACGTTTTACTAGAATTAGAGTATCTAACGAACCGAACTCAACACGTCGGCCTGCTCGTTTGCCATATGCAGTCGTACATGTACCAGATTCTTCAAGGAGTAGCATACTGCCACGCTCACCGTGTTTTGCACCGGGACTTGAAGCCTCAGAACCTCCTCATCGACCGTCAGACGAATTCTTTGAAACTTGCTGATTTCGGTCTTGCCAGGGCGTTCGGGATTCCAGTGCGGACGTTCACGCACGAGGTGAGATGGGGCTACCAATCAATTTTACGCAATTATGTTGTTCTATCCTTTACCCACGAATTCGCAAGGGGCGGGACTGATTGTGAACAGATTGACCCTGGTTGCCTGACACTAGTGTGACATTCTGTCCGTTCTATGCTTCGCCCAATTGCAGGTCGTGACCCTGTGGTATAGGGCCCCAGAAATCCTTCTGGGTTCAAATCACTACGGAACGCCTGTGGACATCTGGTCTGTTGGTTGCATCTTTGCGGAGATGATAAATCAGCGCCCCCTATTCCCAGGAGATTCCGAAATTGATGAGCTGTTCAAAATATTCAGGTGAGTCTAGCCCCAAGACGCTGATTGATGGCTCAACTAGAAAGTTTTAGTAACTTGTTCTGCTTGTCTGTGGTCAAACTTGACAGATTGTTGGGAACGCCAAATGAAGATAATTGGCCAGGGGTTTCACAACTTCCTGACTACAAAACATCGTTTCCTCAATGGACAGCCAAGGTAAAACATCCTCCTGACTCTTTTTTTTTGTTCTGTTCTAATGGAGGTCATACAACCTTTATTGGACCACTTGGTGCATCATAGTCCCAGTTTCTTCTTTGTGTTGACTCTCAACTCATGCATGATCCGTCTTTTTAACCTCCCCAGGATCATCAGTCTATTGTGCCAACATTGGAAAAGAGCGGAATAGATCTTTTGTCGGTGAGTTCCTGCGGTGCTTTATTGTTTTTTCTACAGGTCCATTCATCTTGCTTTACGTTCCTTAGAACTAGCATGCTTATGGCTCTCGCCTTTTTCATGCGCAGAAAATGATTTGTCTTGACCCAAGTAAGCGTGTCACTGCACGAGAAGCACTTGAGCACGAGTACTTCAGGGATTTGTTAAATCTGGCCGGTCGTTGATGAATTCATTGTACTGGACTTGAGTTTGCTGGTTTTGTTTTGTGAAAATTCCTGTTGACCTTGTACATTATTTGGAGTGCCAATTCTTAGTGTATCTTAACTAGCACCAAGAACTTTATTAGCAGCTTTTACATTTTTTCCTAACCATCAATGCTGTAATACTGTAGCGAGGATCAACCAAATTGCTCGACTCTTCCCAACCCTCTCGAGCTTCAAACCTGAACCCTTCAAAATCCTTGCAGTAAGCCATTCGTAGCTTTCGCCTTGCCTAGACTGAACTGCTATGCTGCGGAGTAGCTGGCGCCTGTGTGTGTGCAATACCTACTCGCACGACTGGCCGCTATCTTGCCTCAACGTTTTCGATTGGCGTCTTTGCTCGGTCCAAAGTTCGGATGCGGCTTTCTTAGAAAATAAAATGATGTTCGTAATCTAGCACTGCAGATCACGCGCGCTCCAGCTGGTCAGCGCTTTTCTTTAGCGGGGTGCATACTTTCCTTTTTAACGGGACTATATTTTATGGAGCTTCAAGGCACTCCCGTATCGACGGCAAAAGGCGGGCGATTATTACGCCGTTTTCTTCAGTACGTTCCAGAGCTTCAAACTGACGCTCCAGATCTTTATTCGCATCTTAGCACTATCCTGACCGTTCTCGATCCATCCGGACCACCAATCAATGCGCCAGAAGCCGATGCACATAATTCTCCTGAGGTCAGTGCTGGTAAGGGTTTAGCCAACAGCGCCGTCGCAGATGGCGGCGAAGGTGCTAACGAAGCAGAAGAAGCAGAGGTGCGGAAAACAGAAGCTGCAACACCAGCGATTAAGACGACATTGTCTGCAGAAACTACCGATAGCGGAAAGAAGAAGAAAAAGAAGAAAGCGGTGACAGTGGATGGCAATGTTGGTGGTGGTGATCAGCAAGAGCCTAGCGCTAGGAAAGTCAAGACTCCCAAGAAGAAGAGAAAGTCCCGGGATGCTAAAGAAAGCGGGGATGCCGACGGGGTCATACAAGAAACGAGTCAGCGGCAGGACGGTGTGGAGGAGGGCAGCGTTCCAGCAACAGATGTGATCCCTGACAAAATGGAGAATGGCGTCGTGAGCGAACAGAGTGCAAGGAAGAAGAAATTGAAGGGCCAGACCCAGGGGGTGCAAGGGACGCCTAGCTCGGGTGGAAAGGGTGGTGGGAGTGATTCGAAGGAGACAGGTGGAAGCAGTGTGAAGCCTGGTGTGGCACAGGAGGCGGTGGAAAGGAAGTTGCCAGCAAAGTCGACTGATCTGGCGAGGTTGAGGTCTCCGGATTCAATAAAAAAGAAGAAAAAGAAGTCTGCTGCACCGACTGGTCATTGAATGGTATTTTTAGAAGATTCTGGAATCCTGTGGAATGGAGAGGCTCAGGTGATGGCAATTAGCCCTCAGCCACTTTGTTGGCCTCAGGCAGTATGTTGCATCTAGGAGCAGGTGCTGCAGTTCCTTCAAATTGCCGTACACGTTTTGTTGGCAACATCATGTTCTATAAAGCGGTGTGTTTTACCCCAAATATGAAATGAGCTTCTAACCCTCAAAACCATCTTCATCAAAGCCACCTTGACTACGTGCGCCTTGTGAAGTGGTACAAAAAGGCTGCATGTGCCACATTCCATTGTCAACAGATGTTGCACAGCTTGGTTTCTACAAAGTTCGAGGACAAGCCAGAGCTGTAAAAGGCCCGAAAAAACCACTACGTACCTTTGCTCTCGCGTGCATGCTTGAGTTACTGCTGCAGACGATTAGGAGTGCCTGGCAAGGTCTCTCTCCAAGCTGCCTGCATGTGATGCAGTATGCGGTGCTGCAACCAGCACACCACCAGCTTTGTTTCATAACCGATTGAAAGAGTCCGGATTCGAGATCCGTGTCACCACCTGCCAGTAAAATGCACTTACCGAGTGAAGCATCATCAGGGTGGGCCTGAGACGGCATGATGGATGGGGAGGAAACCAAACATTCGCAGAAACAGTTATGGGACCAAACGTGAAAACCTGCAAGAGATGTGAACGAGAGATGAGATCGAGGTAACCATCTCCATGTATATAATAGGGCAAGATACGGCTCTCCCCTCCCTCACCTCGTGCCACCATCCTGCTGGTATGAAGATTGCTTCTCCCTGCATTAGCTGCAGAGAGGCGCCGACAAGAAAAGAACATAATTCTTACATATAATTCTCGTATGGTCCCGGTGGAAAGAATGAGAGAGCAGCAGAATGGGAGACGTTACCTGGACTCGGTTACATGTAGCATGAGAGAAGAAAATGGGATGTTTTTCAAGACATGCGGTGAGGATGGAAGGAAGTGACGATTTGTCGTTGATAGAACCTGCCACCACAAAATACACAGAATTAGGCAGATAAAGCACAGACATGCAAACATAACGGAAACGAGGCTCAGCGTACCTTCGCTCCATGGTACGGGATACAGAAAGATGGAATCGGAGGGGCTGTAGAGGTGAATGATCTTGCTGCCCTGCAAGCACACGTGGACATTGTCCATGCCATCAAAGTGAATCTGACTCGTGGCACTCCGTCCCACCCACAAGTTCCACTGCTCGCGACTACCAGCCCCACTTCGTCTGAGAGCATTTAAAAACGGAGGAGAAAGCGTGGGGCCCAGCAGCTGATCTATGAATAAACTGAAACCATGTGCTCTGCTCTCCTCTGATTTCAGGAAACCTAATGCCTCTGATGACTGGCGACCCGTCTGTGACTTCCCTTCCTCCGAGTTTCTGTTGCTCAGAAGTTCTTGAGATATTTCAGTGGACGTGCGCTCAACGTCTGCCTGCATGGACGTTGATGATTGGGGAAGTCCATGCCACGTCAGATACATCAACTGCCATGGTGGCAAGGGTGGCTCCGATGACTTGGATGGTTGAGTGGATTGTTGTGCAGAGGGTCCTCTGGAGGTTAATAGGAATTGGCCCAGGGGCATAAAGTGCACAGTGGAATGTGGAAGGTAAGAGAAATGAAACGCCGGTGCTGATTCTGGTTCGGATGCTGGGACAAGGTGCATGTGCCTTGAAGCTCCTTTGATTTCACATGTCTTGCTGATGGATGGATCGCTGGCAGAAGGTACAGCTGCTGCTGATGCTGGTGCTGATGCTGCTGCTGCAGCTGCTGTTGATGATAGTGCCGGTGCCTCGCAGGACTGCACAGATGCGTCGCAACTGGCAGGAATGCTTATGCCGTCCACACACCACCGCTTCTTCGTCTCTCCTGCTTCTGCAAATCCAGTTTCTTCTGTTCCCAGATTGCACGAGGCCCTCTTGACCGCTGATGATACCATTGATTCGGCGTCCCTTCTGTTGTTACGGAAATCGAGGCGGAAGACCTCAACCTGGCTGAGGATGGCAGGGAGGAGCAAAGAAGAGGAAGAGGAAAGCTTTGGAGATTTGACAGAAGATTTAACAACAGGGGAACGCATATGAAGTACGCAAACGTTGTAGCGAGCTGAATGAGCCTCAGACAGCTCGTGTTACAATGCAAACACGTGAGAACCCCTAAGCAAGCTCAATACGAGTCAAGAACCTGATTCCTATCTTACTGCTAACCTCTACTTCATCGCCGAGAAGACCTTCTAGTCCCTCCGTAACACTCGGAGCCTGGAGAATCTTCGTCCAGGGTGGTAACCAGTCCGCTGGCATTGCTACTGGCTGAGAGTGGAACGCTCGACAACTGAGCTCAAATTCGGCTGTTGTGGGTGACGTCGTCAGGCGTTTCACGGGATTCAAGTGCTTCAGAGAAGCTTCCGCTGCGCGAAGCCTTGCCAGAAAGTGACTTTGTAGAGGAGACGCTTCCCATTCTGAAGAAAAGGCCAGATTCTGACTAGGAAGGCGATGGGGCTCCGCCATGGAATCCAGTGGCTGGTGGGGGTTAAAGAAATGTGGACTTGAGCTGCTTGCGAAGCTTTGTTTACCCTAGCGAAGACGAGAGTGCTGCTGTTACGAAATCACTGCCTGTCTTGGAGAGGGACTTTGCGAATGGATTCGGCTCAGAATTGTGGTTACGCATGACGTGTTTCGCACAATATCCCCTTCCTTACAACTCCCTCCAACAGGCCCAAACCGATCTCATGATTGATGAGAGGAAATTTTCATCCACAGATATATTGCAGCCTGTCTGGAAGGGCAGAGCCGCACCTTGAAGTTGTCGACTGACAGAGAACAGCTCCGTTGATGTCGACCCGCGCCTCCAGCAACCAATCATTACACAGCTGCGTTGAATCAGGGACAAATCTCTCCTGGTTTCGCCGTCAAGCCAGAGAGTCAATATCAGAATTGCCTTGCTTCCCGAATGACCGATTGCGACATGGCCTGTTGGAGATGTCGACTGAGTCCGTCAACAGAGGAGACCGACGAGAGAATGAATACGCCGAGTATGGAAAACAGCATGTCAATGTTTCCGTCAAAAGTAGAGCGACGAGAGTGTCTCTGTCAGATAATGAACGGACAGGAAGAATTCCGTCATTGCAGATGCCTTGCACTGTCCTTATCTCGTTGACGTCCGTCTTCCTCAGCACTGCACTCCCATGATTCTTGAACTGCTGGGCTATTCTACTGTAACCACATCATGTCCGCCATTACCCTGCCATCGACTATGAGGGAGCTTCACTGGAATTCTCTCAGGCAGTAATTCCGTCGTCAGGCTTGCTAGGATCCCAATACGAGATCCTCAGACTTCTCTGACTAAATTCTTCACACCGCTCCTGGTCAACCTTACCTTTAAGCATATTGAATCGTTCCACAGATTTCACCTTGCCATGTAAGCGACGGCTCTTTCCGTCACATTATCCATTCATTATGGAGGTCTGTAAGAAAGTCTAGAGCCTGATGATTCTTACCTGACTGCTCATTATCCTATCTCATTTTCTATTCTCATTCCATACAGAGCGCATCAGTGACATCTCGACTTATGTTCCTGACATCTTGTTGCTAGATGATCCTTGCTCATCAGTGACATCTCGACTTTCCTCTTCTGTTCCAAAGAACACTTAACATGGCTGACTCCTTACGTCGTCCTTCTAATGGTGATTCTTGGTCCGCCGTTCATCACCTAAGGCCGTCCCTCTCCAGTGCTCCGCTCTCTGTTACGTCAACTCCAAATCTTCCTTCGTCAGAACTGAGATCTTCTGTAATGTCAAGAACGTCAAGTGATCACCTCTTCTCGTCGCCTAAACCAGTTCCTTCCAGTCGAGCTTCTTCGATACCATCCATGCTTGCGACCGAGCTGCTGGAAGATGGGACTCTCAAATCTCTCATTTCAGAGGGGCTTGGAGATCTTGATGAATCAGGAGGATTCCCGCCGTTTCTTGGTGGTGAAGACCCGCCGGGTCCCCCCCGTCCGGCGGACGCCGGGATGGCTGACGAAGGGGAGGGACAAGATCATGGCAAAGAGCACGAAACGAATACAACAGATGGTGAACTAAGCCGTGTTTGCAACATGCTGATGAGCCTATTTGCTAGCCGCAGCTGCAGCAGCACACCACGCACCACTGGCGCTCATGCTCAAGGGGTAACTCCTAGCGACCTTATTGCAAGGAGACGTACGGACGGGGTGACGCTTCCACAGCAGCAGAATGTCCAAGTGAACAGAGGCGGCAGGGAAGGTGTTGATTCATGGAGAAACCTCCCACACTTGAGGACCAGACCACCTCAGCAACGAGCCAGTGTCCTGAGGGAAGGCCAGGAGCGAGTGACGACCCACACACAACCTGGTGTCCGTGATGACATTGGTCGTCCTTCTGCTGGTATTCTTGAGAAGCAAGACCTGGCCAACCTTATAGATGCAGCTTTAGGAGGAGCTGCACTACAACCGGAAGAAACCAGGTGTGCAGTAGTCGAGAGTATGATTGTACTTGCTATTTGTTTATTCTTCTTACAACTGACGGCTTCGTTCGTGTTTCAGGTGGAGACGTCTTGGTGAAGGCTTGGAATCGCTGCTGTCTGGCATGCAAGATCATCAAAAGGAAGAGAGCGTCAATTACCTCATGCACTGGCTGCAGCAAGTGACTGTGGTAAGCCCTCACTAAATTTCAAGGTGAATTTTCTCTTACTAAGTCAGCGGATAAAACCGATTCACTTCTGTTTTTTGTGGTTGTACAGGAACAAGATTCCACTTCTATGCAGGATTCTGACGTGGCGGAGTATGGTAATAATGACTTTAGAGCTATTCTGCAGCAGCTGGAGGTGATTGCGGGAATCGGCTCACAAGAAGTGGCCTCCGGATCCAGTTACTGTGACCCTGTGGATCTGGTGGGAAGCTTTGGTGAGCTGAGCGAAGGGCCTGCTGCTCTAAACGACAGTGGAACGGAGTTGTATGCCAGCAACAGCAGCAACAGTAACAGCAGCGATGGGCTTGGGAGATTGGCTTGTGTTTCTGATGCTGCTGGCAAGGCACGGAAGGGGCGCAATCCAGAGCGCAACGAAGTGCATCGTAATGGAGAGAGGAGCCTTCCTGGGATGGATAAGAAAGCTGGTCTGACGAATGTTCCTGCCAGGAGGAATGGAATTGGACGGAGGCATGGAGCTGAACAAGAGATTATGGCAGAGAGCAGTGGAACTGAAGCTGAGAAAAGCTGCAGGGAGTCTGAGGAAGGCGAGGTGGACGAGGATGATGAGGCTCCTGTTGGATTGAGAGCGTACAGCAGCGTATGGAGCAACGTCCACAGCGTGAACTGGCTGGCGACCAGGCGGACCTCTGAAGACAGCTTTCTGGGGAACCAGTCCAGTGGGAGGAGCTCAAGTGCGAGGCCTTCTCATGCTCGGAGACCCAACGGCAGGTCTGCGAGTGGAAGGAGGTCGACGACAGATGTGAAGGGTGACGATAGAAAGAGTTCCAGCAGCGTCAGTGTTCCTGGAGGAAAGAACTTCGGAGAACATGATGGAATTACACTGGCTGCTGTGCAAGCGTCTAGTGTTAATTTGCAAGGACCACGTGAACTCTCTGGTTCTGCTGCAGCTGGAGAGCTTTCAGAAGAGGAAGGGCCTTATCCTTCAATGCCACAACCACAGCTGCTGTCGCAGGACCGGTCTATCTCCCTCTCCTCCTTCCTCACAGATATTTCGTCATCCGATGCAGGCTTGCCCGACTTTGCTCTCTCTCCTCTTCAAGCATCCCCTGCTACCTCCTCCCACGGCTCCCAGCCTCAGTCAGATAATGGCTCACCCCGCCCTCCATCCTCAGATGACGACCTTCCTCTCCCGACACTTCAACGCAGATCAACAGAGTGGGGGAAGCTGCAGCAGTCCTTGGGCTACGAAACAGGAGTTGTGGCTGGCTGCTCTTCAGCAAGCACTGAACCTGACCCGACTTCCCAGCTGCCTATACTTCCTCCCCCTCCTTCCACACTTGTCCCTCCTGGCCTCGCTGCTTCTCTTACATCCTCCCAGCATCCGAGGTCATCTGCGATTCTCATTCCTTCGCCTGCTAGCATGGCCTTCTCCCCTCTCTTGCCCTCCTCCCTTGGGCTTCATGAGCCGGATAAGCCAAATACAGACACCTTATCACACACACTCACACTGCCGCCAAAATTACTCTCGTTTTCCAATCCATCTGCATCCTCTGACAGTGAGGCTGGCTCACCCCTGCATCGAAGCACCAAAGCTCGGGAAAGTCTTCACTCGTTTTCAGATCCAGACGTACCTCTGCCCAAGCTTCAGGGCACTGGCACGAGCAGTCATGCTGGTGAAGGCACAATTGGATTACTTCACAATGAGGAGGAGATGCCTGCAGAGGGGATGAATGCAACAACAACACTTGCTGCTTCTGATACGAGAATCTCCATAGCTACTGGATTTATGGGGAGTGTAGGAGCTGATAGTGGTGCTGGGACCAGTACCTATGCTGATATACCTGGTCCAAGCAGCAGGAGATCTTCTGAGTTTTCTGGCGTGGGATTGCTGACTGGAGGAGGGGTCACATGGGACGAGACGGAGGAAGGCAGTACGCTTTTGCCCTTGGCGGGAGAGGCAGATGATGTGCGTGATGGCGTTTCCGGCATGGAGTTTGGAGGTGGTCTGGATGCTGCTGCTGCTGGAGGGTCGGACGGGTTGGAGAATTGGGATGAAAAGGCCAGTGGGGATGATGGACAGACAGCATCCATGGGGTCTGGAGGAGTAGCTTCTGAACCAGGCGGTACTGCAGCTGGTACAGTACAATCTGGTGGTGGGGCAATAGGAGCTGAAGCTGTGGATTTCGAGCTGATACAAGCAAGCGGGCGGAATAAAGCGGTTGCAGAGGAGGCAACCCCTCGCCTCTCAGCAGTCCTGCAAGTCCTCCAGTCTGCCCGCCAGAAGATACGAGCTGTCACTGTTCCACCCCAGCTGCAGCCATCAGCAACAGCTGGTGCAGTTTTTGGATTCCAGGAGACTGTTGCATCATCCTCGCTGCCAATCCCACGCAAGTCTCCATTGGGGAATTCACCTCTCATAGATCATCCACCAGGCCCTTCCACTACCGAATCTCGAAACCCACTTACTGACAGCTCTGTGCAACCTCTGGTGGCAGTCGCAAGCAGGGGAAGCTCTCAGCCTGGTCGGCACTCAAATTCCTCTCATACAGCTTCGAAGCTGCGGCAGCCAGCCACCACCTCACAGAGTCGCAATTCTCCTGCCAAAGAGGTAGCGAGCTCTGGATCAACAAAAGAGAGAGCAGAGTTGCAGACTGCAGGTGATCCTGGTCTTGTAGCTGGCACGAACACGGTGACGTCTGTTTCTGCATTGAGAGAAGTGGTTCGCGCACGGAGGGAGAAACAAACTGGCGCTAGCAGTGGACGGAAGTCAAGTGCGGGACTCAGCAAGAAAGCTTCTGGTACAGGTGCTTCTGCCAATGCAGGATCAAGTCCTGCCACAGGTGCTGCTATACCCCTGGATGTAGCATACTATGAGGACAAAGGCTCTCAATCAGGCTCTGGTTCGGAGAGAAGCCGAAGCAGCAAGTCACGGAGAGCTGGCAATGGTGTTGGAAGTCGTTCTTCTCGAAGTGGGGAGAAGCAAGCAGGGAAAGGGAAGGCGAGGTCTGATTCGGTTGCTGTGACTCATGATGTCTCGACTGCTGATGAGGCAGATGAGGGCATTGTCCCGCTAAGGCGATCCAAGAATTCATCCAGTCACCAGCGGTCATCACCAGGGATGCTGAAGCAGGGACGTGGTGGAGAGTCGTTGCAGGGAAGCCAGTCAAGCCCAATGAAGCATGCTGGAAGTTCTAAGTGACTGTTGTAGCAATACACGTGTTGTAGTTGAGCAGAATCAAACGCTTGTTAACCAATTTAGAACTTGGACATGTTGTGGACGCACTTGGGGAAGCTACCGCAGCTCTCAGCATGGTCGGCACTTAAATTCATCTCATACAATCTCCAAGCTCAGTAAATGCACTTTAACGCTTGTCACATCCTACTTCAGGGACCACTTAGCACTACAGCCATAAGCCATCTCTGAAGTAGGGAAGGTAGATTGTTTTGCTTACTAAGGTGAACAAGACCACGGGTGGGATGGGTTGCGTAGGTGAATTTAGGTTCCGTGACACATTCCAGTCAGTAGGACACACGTTCCTAGGTTTGAAGCAAATGTTTTGATTTCTATGTTTTTATATTTACTAAATTGAGAAACTCAAAACATCATGGGAAAGCCACAAACCAGTTTAGTAGGAGTAGCCAGCCACGAACATGCCCTGCTTGGCCTCCTCAGCCTCACCGTCAGCGGAGTACTTGCCGAGCTGGGCCAGGGAGTTGGCCTTGGCGCGGATGAGCAGAGCGGTCTGAGCAGCCTCAATGTTCTCGGGCTGGCCCTTCCATGTCTTCAGCACCGTGTTCTGGAGAGCGCGGGCGTACGAGAACGACACGTGCCACGGGTTGGGGGACTGGTTCATGGCGTTCAAGTTGAGGGTGGCCTCCACCTCGGACTGGCCGCCGGACAGGAACATGATGCCGGGCACGGCGGGGGGCACGCGCCTCTTGAGCATGTTCAGAGTGTACTCAGCAACCTGCTCGGGGGTGGCCTTGGTCGGGGACTCGGCGCCGGGGGTGACCATGGAAGGCTTCAGGAGGATACCCTCGAACATGACGTTGTTCTCAGCGAGGTAGAAGAAGGTCTTGGCCCACACCTTGGAGGCAACCTCCAGGGTCCTGTCAATGCCGTGAGCGCCGTCAAGGAGGATCTCGGGCTCGACGATGGGGACGAGGCCGTTGTCCTGGGAGATGGCGGCGTAGCGAGCCAGGCCCCACGCGCACTCCTGAACGGCGAGCTCAGAGGGACCGTTGGGGATGGAGACGACGGACCTCCACTTGGCGAAGCGAGCACCCTGCTTGTAGTAGGCAGCGGTCCTGGAGGCGAGACCGTCAAGACCCTGGCACCAGGACTCGTCGTTGGAGCCGGCGAGGGGCACAAGACCCTGCATATTCATAGAGAAGACGAAGATGGAGACTCGAGATTTAATTACGGTGAAAAAAAGAAAACCAAGCGTTCGTTAAAATACCGCGTTCATTTTATGTTTGAAACTAATGAAAATAAAGTACGTTAAAAGTAGTAATGGTTGAGGATTTACCTTGTCGACCTTGATGCCGGGAACGATGCCACCGTTGGAGAGGACATCGACCATCTTCTGGCCGTCGGTGGTGTTCTGGTACAGGGTCTCCTCGAAGAGGATAGCACCGGACACGTACTCGCCGAGGCCGGGGGTGGAGACGAGCAGGGTGCGGTACGCCTGGCGGTTAGCCTCGGTGTTCTCAAGGCCGATGGAGGCGAGACGAAGACCGCAGGTGGCATTGGACTCGTCCATGGCGAGGATACCCTTGCCGGGGGAGGCAATGTGTTTCTGTAGGGACAAGCAAGTACAAACATTAGAGAGAAGGGAGTTAGATGTCAAGAAAGTTAATAAATTTATGTCGAAGCATCTGAATACAGACTAAGAGCATGATATAAGAGAAAACGATAGGGAGAAGGTGAAGCGGTGCTGGAAAATGAAAACGAGTAATCTACTTACAGCGGTCTTCACGAGCTCCTCCTCGTATCCGCCGGCGCGGACGGTGAAGGAGACATTCTTGGCAGCCTGGGGAGCAGCGGCCTGGCGGATAGCCTTGCCGCAGAACTCGGAGCTGCTGACGGTCAGAGCCTGCTTGAGGGAGAGAGCCATCTTTTCTGAACTTGGTGTAAGTTCAACGAGAAAGATAGGCTGTAGTTGGAGCTTCTAGCAGGCAAAGAAAATCGCAAGGTTGAATGTGAAAGCGGAGCCTTGGGGATTATAAATGGAAGGCGGGGATGAGGTGGATGAGGGAGGTGTGTGGTGATGTGGTGTGAGGGAGGGAAGATGAGGTGGATGGGCTTCATTTCGTGGGAGGATGGCGCGACGTGATTGGCGGTTGAAGGGAAGGACGGGTGGTGGTGGTGACGCGAGCGAATGGTGCGAATAAAGCGACGGAATGGAACGCCCTGTGCGAAATTCGCAAGGCAGCAATGGATTCTGGGCGACGCAACAAAGCGTAGGTGGGTAACTGGACGGATGGAAGATGCTGGACGACACCCTGGCGACGCTTGTGGCTTGCGATGGTTCACGGTAGACATTTCATCAACGGCTGTCAGTCATCATCGAGCTTTGTGGGGGCTCATATGTTGTCATGCAGTTTGTCAGCCACAGGATTTACGAAAGCCCGTTCAATAGCGGTCATACTGACACCTGACGTGGCAGTGCTCTTTGACGAACGTCCTTCAAGGGTTGTAGGATGGTCCACGTGGCGCCAGATAGCCCTGGGCTGAAATTATCCGGTCTGGGTGCGTTGTTCTCCTCATCCAAAAACTAGCGTTGGCGCCAGGTCAGAAAGCCGCCGAGCAATTGGGAAAGAGATGTGACGTCAGACTCGGCACACGCGCTTCTACTAACGAAAGGACTCGTCGCAGGCTGCATTACCACAGTCCACAAGGAAACAGAATACGGGTAAGTGTCAAAACATAGGGGGAACAACGGAAATTCATACACAAAGTAATTTTTCTTATGGCCGTGGATGAAGTGATGAACGATTGCCACTAACGCTGCGCAAAATAATTGACAACCCGTGAGGGGATTTGAAATACATCCTCATATATGCCATTTCTTGATGAACCTAAAACACTGACAGCCCCACCTTTGTCTCTCTCAAGCCCTTGTAGTTGTGGGACAACCACCACCTCAGGATTGCCCACTGGCCCTATCAAGTACCGGTCTGCTGCTCCTGCTACTATAGCTGCAAGTGCAGCCGCTTGCAAGAGAGTCCATCCTCGTTGGCCCACTGCAACGGCCACTACAGTGCCTGATATCGCACCAGCTACACTTGAATTCACCTGCAGGAACATAAAGACAAGCATAATCAGAACCAGGTGATCTCCCAGGGTGGAATCACCTTAGCAATATGATCAGCCAATCAACACGCAATCCAATCATATTGACAACAACGCCATTCACCCTATCTTGTCCATCCTCATCTCGTCACCTCAATCCCAACACCACTCACCCACTCACCTTGAACCCACCACCACTCACCCGCTCGCCTAAAACCCACCACCGCTTAAATGTTGACCCTTCTATCACTACAAGAAAAGGCACACTGGATCCCTAAGACGAAACAAGTCAGCGCGCCTTTTATGCAACGCCAATTACTCAATCCACTCTATCCCAACTCCAATCATCTCAACCGCACCACTCACCCAGTCATCTTGACCCCTCACGCGCTGAGAGGCACATCTGGTTCCCGAGAAGAGAGCAGCGAGAGCACCGAATTTCACACCGTCCCCAAGTGCCGAGCCAGTCTGGGCCAGGAACGAGCACAGAATGGCCAAAACTCGTCAGTGTCAGTGGTAGCCGTGGATTTCGAAGTGGGGATGCGATTTGACGGTGGGGATTAGTTGAGCCGCGACACGCGAGGAAGATGGAGTAATCAGGAAGACGAGATTGAACGAGTTATTGGTTTGGGTGTATGACTTCGGCAAAACAATGGAGAGGTTGATGGTGGTGTGAACAAGCAGCGCAAGTTTTTGCAGCTAGGATTGTGAATTCAAGCGAGTGATAATGCGTGTCGTGTGGTTGGGAATGGAAAGATGTGTAAGGAACGGGAGGCACTTTTGGGGGCACGCCGTGACAATAAAAGGTGAGGAAAAAGTGGAAAATGGGGAAACGAGCACATACCACATGAGCAACACGGAAGAGAGGAGAGAATTCTGAAGGGGGGGTGAGGAGGGGGTATGGAATGGGGTACGTGGAGGAACGGGGAGACGGGAGGGGTGGGGATGGTGGTCGGAAAGTGGGATGTGTTGGTGAATCGACTTGCAAGGGGAGTTTTGGGGAAAATGGTGAAACAACAACATGAAAAAATAAAAGGTGTGGGAAGGAGGAGGAGAGGGGCAGGGGGAGAGTGGGAGGTGGGGGGGTGAAGGAACTTTCAAGAGGAAATCGTCAGCCAAATACAAAGAAAGCAGTGCAAGGGAATCTGTTGAGATATGTTATGATTTGCGAGCTTACCTCTGGGATCAGTGACACCACTGTAGACGCCCCACATGACTACGAACTGACAGGCAGAGGCGTTAAGATGAGAGTGAATGGAACGATTGAGGAAAGATGGAAAGGTGGAAGAGACATTGACCCAGCTCTAGAACCGAACAGACTGAAAGTGGCGTAAGAATGAGAGTAAACGAAGGGATGATGTGGACGAAGAGAGAAGAGTCAGTGCTGGCGTCAGGTGGAGGGGCCAAGAGGGATATGCAACGTCAGAACGTGGCGGTTGGGTGCGGGTAACTCGCAGAGAATGGCATTTTTTTTCTCATTCAGACTGGTGAAGGGTGCTGGAATGAGCCAGGCAACTCACGATGCTTCCGCTGACGCCGGCTGTGGCAGCTACGGTCGCACACGGCGGTTTCACCTCCGACGCCTTTGTCATGACCGCTGAATGCTGAGATGTTGGCTTTTATTTGACTCGACGGGGCGAAATCGAAAACCAAGCTGTCGGCTGGTATATATATTCAATGAGAATGATCAAACGCTAGGATATGAGTTGGCTTTTCTATTATATTCTCAATAAGAACATGACGAGAGCTGGCCGACGCGTCGTATTCCTGAATCGGCGAGCTGACACGAGAAATGGTTTTCTGAGCGCCGAAAGTGGAGCTTTCAGCGGAGAGAGAGATACCCACGAAGGGCAAACGCAGGGGAAATTTGGCTGGATGAGGGCCCGATTTAGGCTCGCTGCGATTTTCGTTACAAATACAGGGCTCCCACGAGCAAGAGCTTGTGTATGAAGGATTTTCGTCTGTATGGGTACTTTGATTTTTTGTGCCTTTGTTGCAAGCTCTTGCGATAAATGAAATTTGCAGTAGTACAACAGCATTTACAATGCATCCAAAGCAAGCAAAACCTCGTCAAGGGCAATTGCCCAGTGCACCCAATGCGCCCCACCCTGAAAAAAGGGGATGAACAACGAGTAGAGAGAGGGAGGGGGGAGGGGGGGGATGAGAGGCTAAGACATGTGAATGTGAGAGCAATTGCTGGTACCTGACAAAGGTACATCTAATGAGGGGTTCAACTTGGGACATTGCAGGAGTGCTGAGGGAAAAGAGGCATGGAGATATGCAACCCGTATGTGGATGGAACTTCGCTTCAACATACAATGAGTCTGCTTTTGAGGCGACTCAAAAGCTGGGACATTGCAGGAGTGCTGAGGAAACAGAGACATGGAGATATGCCACCAGTATGTGGATGAAACTTCGCTTCAACAAACAACGTGACGGAAGTGGTTTGCGCCACCGGCTGAAGCCAGGATGAGCAAAGAGCGGTTCCAGGGGGTTTGGGCTGGGATTACGGTGCGTGTGCACGCACGCACGCACACACGCACGCACGCACGCACGCACACACACACACACACACACATGCACGCACCAACTCATATACCTGGCAGAACACTGCGAAGGGCAGGCGGAGCGGCCCATCACAGGAGAGCTGATCGCATGCTCATACCTACCTACTCGTATAACAAGTTCAAACACACATAGATGCACACGCACACACACCAACTCCCATACCTGGCAGAAGACAGCAAAGGGTGGTGAGCGGAGGGGGCCATCGCAGGAGAGCTCGATGGCAAGCTAATACCTGGGACACCTGCTCGTGTCTGGTCTGGTCATACCTAACAGCTGCACCAATTCACAGACCTGGCAGAAGACAGCAAAAGGAGGGCGGAGGGGGCCATCACAGGAGAGCTCGATGGTGCTGCCATCAATGAAGGTGCCGTCTGCAAACACCACCTAAGTGGTGTAGAGGGGTGATGAGTGGTGAGGGAGGGATGATTAGCAGTGTGGGATGGTTTGGCAGGGGTGATAAGTGGTGTGGAAGGGTCGAGGAGGAGCATCAATAAAACGTCATAGCAAATAGATACGGTGCATATAGATGTGGTGTACAAAAGCGTATATTCAACATTCGCTGTACATGAACGTAGTGTACTCACCTCAGACTCGTAACCTGCTGTGACTCCTGCTGTTGGCTTGATGTAAGCTCCTACGGGGCACCGCCGCTGCACGGCACTTAGTGCACACAGATGTGCTGTACTGTTGATCAAACGTGGCTGTCACTCACCTCCGACTCGTATCCTGCCGTGACTCCTGCTGTTGGCTTGATGTAAGCTCCAACAGGGCACCGCCGCTGCATGCATCTGTAAATTAAACGTAGTGTCAACATTTTGAACCACTCACCTCCGACTCATACCCTGCAGTCACCCCGGCTGTGGGCTTGATGTAAGCTCCAACGGGGCACCGCCGCTGCACGGCTTGGCAGAAAGCAAGGAGGCGAGCTGGCGAGGAGAGAATGACAGCCTGGAGGAGAACAAGGGGAATGAGTGAGAGGACGAAAATTCTTTAAAAGATATTTGGTTTCACACGTCTTGCTTTCATGCATGCGGAACAGATTGACAGACAAGGAGGCGCGCGGGTGAGGAGAGAATGACAGCCTGGAGAAGAGCAGCAGAGGGATGGGGAGGAAACAGGAAAGTGGAAGGCAGAACGGGCTGACAGGAGGAGGGGAGCGGGAAACATGAACGCGGTGGACTGGCGGCTATTCCAATACGTGGTGGGCAATAACAGACTGATCGTTTCTCTGTTTTTTTTTTTTTTTTTGGCTCCGTTTGTCTTGTTTGGATTGTGGAAGAAGAGTTTGTCTGGTCTTTCAAAACGCCACACATGGATGATGTCTTTCCGCCGTGCCCTGGGGATGCCTTCATTCGACTTCTGAGCACCTCACTTGCTTATCTTGTGTTATCTTTTGGTGAAACCAAGCATGCCTGTGTTTGGTGCCCTCTCCCTCACCATACCTGGATGATGTCTTTCCGCCGTGCCCGCGGCTGCGGATGAACGGCAAAGCCTTCATTCGCCATCACCTCTGCCACCAGCAGACTGCCCTGCCGATGGGTGAGAGGAGAGGGGTGGGAGGGGTGAGAGGGAAGGCGAGCGACGGGGGGAGAGGGAGGGGTGAGAGGGGAGCGCAGAAGGGAGTATGGGAAACTGTGAGGGGAGAAAAAAACCTTCATTCGCCATCACCTCTGCCACCAGCAGACTGCCCTGCCGATGGGTGAGAGGGAAAGGCGAGCATAGGGGGAGGGAGGGCAAGAGGGAAGGCGGGCGTGGGGAATGAGGAGGGAGAAGAACATTACAGGGTCCCAGGAATAGCCCTTGCAGGACCGGAAGCCTTTCCCTTCATCCCTTCATACGATCATGCACCCACATACTTGCCCTCCTCCCCTCACCTTGATTGCCTCGCCTGTCATCTGTGGTCCCAGAAACAGCCCTTGGAACATCAGCCGCATCACCTCCCCATTTCTCTTCAATTCAAGTACCCTCCTCGCTCCCCCCCTTCCCCCCTTTTCTCCTCGCCCCACCTTAATCGCTTCGCCTGTCATTTGTGGTCCCAGAAACAGCCCTTGGAACATCAGCCGCATCACCTCCCCGCTTGTTGCTCCTGCGCCCGAGCCTATGCATGGGGGCGAACAACGAGGAGGGATGAAAAATTATGCAGGTGGCACTTGGGATTCACTCAGACAACCAGATGCATCTCTATACAGAGAATATCACCCATGTGCATTAGACATTCACTACGCAAAGGCATAAAAATCAACTAAAACAGAATAAACTACGTATACATGTTCATATACACACATATGTACATGTATATATATGCATATAAAAAGGTGTGTACATACTGATGCCGGGAGCAGCCAGCCTGGCAGCAGCAGCCTCCACCAGATCCGCCCTCCCCGCCACGTACCCCCCACTGGGGGCAATCGTGCCTCCTGGGTTCTTTATAAGACTCCCCGCTATAAGGTCTGCGCCCTGGCAGTTGGAGGAGAGAGAAAGGACAACAAGGGAAGGGCGAAAGCTCAGGGTTTAAGGCGAGGGCAGGGAGAGAGGGAGGAGAGGGAGGAGAGGGAGGAGAGGGAGGAGAGGGAGGAGAGGGAGGAGAGGGAGGAGAGGGAGGAGAGGGAGGAGAGGGAGGAGAGGGAGGAGAGGGAGGAGAGGGAGGAGAGGGAGGAGAGGGAGGAGAGGGAGGAGAGGGAGGAGAGGGAGGAGAGGGAGGAGAGGGAGGAGAGGGAGGAGAGGGAGGAGAGGGAGGAGAGGGAGGAGAGGGAGGAGAGGGAGGAGAGGGAGGAGAGGGAGGAGAGGGAGGAGAGGGAGGAGAGGGAGGAGAGGGAGGAGAGGGAGGAGAGGGAGGAGAGGGAGGAGAGGGAGGAGAGGGAGGAGAGGGAGGAGAGGGAGGAGAGGGAGGAGAGGGAGGAGAGGGAGGAGAGGGAGGAGAGGGAGGAGAGGGAGGAGAGGGAGGAGAGGGAGGAGAGGGAGGAGAGGGAGGAGAGGGAGGAGAGGGAGGAGAGGGAGGAGAGGGAGGAGAGGGAGGAGAGGGAGGAGAGGGAGGAGAGGGAGGAGAGGGAGGAGAGGGAGGAGAGGGAGGAGAGGGAGGAGAGGGAGGAGAGGGAGGAGAGGGAGGAGAGGGAGGAGAGGGAGGAGAGGGAGGAGAGGGAGGAGAGGGAGGAGAGGGAGGAGAGGGAGGAGAGGGAGGAGAGGGAGGAGAGGGAGGAGAGGGAGGAGAGGGAGGAGAGGGAGGAGAGGGAGGAGAGGGAGGAGAGGGAGGAGAGGGAGGAGAGGGAGGAGAGGGAGGAGAGGGAGGAGAGGGAGGAGAGGGAGGAGAGGGAGGAGAGGGAGGAGAGGGAGGAGAGGGAGGAGAGGGAGGAGAGGGAGGAGAGGGAGGAGAGGGAGGAGAGGGAGGAGAGGGAGGAGAGGGAGGAGAGGGAGGAGAGGGAGGAGAGGGAGGAGAGGGAGGAGAGGGAGGAGAGGGAGGAGAGGGAGGAGAGGGAGGAGAGGGAGGAGAGGGAGGAGAGGGAGGAGAGGGAGGAGAGGGAGGAGAGGGAGGAGAGGGAGGAGAGGGAGGAGAGGGAGGAGAGGGAGGAGAGGGAGGAGAGGGAGGAGAGGGAGGAGAGGGAGGAGAGGGAGGAGAGGGAGGAGAGGGAGGAGAGGGAGGAGAGGGAGGAGAGGGTGGGGGAATGAAGATACGAGGAAGGGGGGTTGAACACATGCCATGTATGTGCCATGTATGACGCTTCCATGCATTGCCCCTCCATTCCCTCCATCCTCTCTCTTCAACGCACTCCCCATAGCAGTTGTCCACCACAACAACACATGCTGGGTTCTTCTGAGTCCCACGTTCCACTACCTACCATACGCCTGTGCCATCATGCCCCCATGCATTTCCCTTCCATCCTCTAACTCACCACATGTGTTGGCTCCCTCTCTTCCACAAATTCCCCGTAACAGTTGTCCACCACAACAACACACGATGGGTTCTGGGCCTGCATAGTAAACAGTGCCATGCCATGGGTCATATGCCATGTGTCATCACGTCATCATGCCACCATGCATACAAGGGAAAGAGTTGAAATAAGTAGGAGTGTGAACGCTACAAAACCCACACCTTCTGCCCTTCCATTCCCACCTTTCAACCCTTCAGCCCCAACCATCTCACCTACATTTTATCTGCAATGGGCCCAATCTGATCTACTGTAAGTGTTTCTATTGCAGATTCTTTTTTTTGGGGGGGGGATAACTTCTTAAAGCTTAGAAACTCTCACACTCCCCAGGCAGCAAACTCACCTTCACTATTTCCACAATGCGACCGATCTGCTCCACTGTAAGTGTTTCTCTTAGCGAGTACCCACACGAGCGCTGCACCAACATACAGCGCGTGTTCGCTCCCACTGCCCCTGGCGTGCTGAGAGCCTCCCAGTCCAGCCCGCCCTCTGCTGTCAACTGTGGATGGAAGGAGATAAGGTGAAGGGAGAGCGGAGGAAGGGGATTTGAAATGAAATTTCTCACAAAGTCCCTGGTGTGCCGAGAGCATTCCAGTCCAGGCCACCCTGTGCTGTCAACTGTGGGTACACGCAAGGAGACAAGGCGCGGGAAAGGCATCAGCAAGAGAGTACCCACACGAGCGCTGCACCAGCACAGAGCAGACCCACACGAGTGTGGGAGAGTACCCACACGAGTGCTGCACCAGCACAGAGCACGTGTTCTCTCCCACCGCCCTTGGCGTGCTGAGAGCAGACCAATCCAGGGGTGTTGCCTTGCTCCACCAACTGTGGGTGGGTGGAGACAAGGTGAGGGGAAGAAAAGGGGTTGCATGAACACACAGCACGTGCACTCTACCACCACCCCTAGCGCACTGAGAGCGTCCCAACCCAATCCAGGGTGCCTTGCTCTGTCACCTGTGGGTGGGCGGAGGCAAAGCATAGGCAAGGAGACGAGGTGGGGGGAATGAGATGGGCTGCACTGCACCAGCACAGAACACGCGAAGGAGAAAGGCCGAAGGGAAGGAGTCGAGTTGAGGGGAGGATTCGAGATGGGGTTGAGATGCGTTGAGCGAACAGAAACGAGTGCCGAAACACAGACAGTGCCATAAGTCACATGCTCTCAGCATGCCAGAAGCATGCCTTACCTTGTGTAACCAGCACAGCATGCCTCTGTCTGTCAGCACAACACTCCAAACTCCCTCAACGAGACGTGTGCTGCACGTCAGTGTATGCATGTGTGTGCAGTTGCAAATTGCGGGGGCGTGTGTGGGTGTGCGTGCATGCGTGTGCGTGTGTCTCACCACCAAACCACACGCTCCTCCATCTGTCGGTACGACACCCCAAACTCCCTCAATGAGCCATGCCCCGGCGTGCCTCTGAGTCTGCGAGTGTGTATGTGTATGCGTGCGTGAGCGCACGTGTGTGTGTGCATCTGTCCAGCACACCACACCACACCACACAGCACCGCATCTCTATCTGTCGGTATGACACTTCAAAATCCCTCAACAATCCGTGCCCTGGTGTGCCTCTGAGTCTGTGTGTGTGTGTGTGAATGCATGCGTGTGCGCGTGCGCATATTAGTACATCTTCCCAGCACACCGCACCTCTATCTGTCGGTATGACACGCCAAACTCCCTCAACGACCCATGCCCCGGTGTGCCTCGGAGCCCAATCACCTCCTCCATCGTATCATACGGCGCCCCTGCCACTGACAGCAGCTGAGAGGCGGGTAGTTGGGGGATGATAGACGGATTAGGGGAGACACGTAGAGGTGGGGGTGTGTGCCTGTGAGTCCAATCACCTCCTCCATTGTATCGTACGGCGCTCCTGCCACTGACAGCAGCTGAGAGGAGATTGGTGCAGGCGGGTGGTAAGGGGGGATGGGGAAGGAGGAAAGAGCATGCCTCTGAGTCCAATCACCTCCTCCATTGTGTCATACGGCGCTCCTGCCACTGACAGCAGCTGAGAGGAGATGGGGGGCAGGGAAGGCCGGGTATAAGGAAGGGGAAACGGAATGAGGGAGTTGGGGGTTGTGCCTCTGAGCCCAATCACCTCCTCCATTGTATCGTACAGTGCCCCTGCCACCGACAGCAGCTGAAAGGTGGGAGCAAGTGGGCGGTTGTGGGAGGGTTTTGCGGGGAAAAGGAACGAGGGAATGGGGGTGTGCCTCTGAGACCAATCACCTTCTCCATTGTGTTACGGTGCTCCTGCCACTGACAGCAGCTGAGAGAGGAGAGGGTGGTGCAAAGATAGGGAGGTGTGGTGGGGAGAAGTTGGGGAGAAGGGGAGAGAAACGGAATGCGGAGTGAGGGTGTGTGTGCCTCTGAGCCCAGTCACCTCCTCCATCGTGTCATACGGCGCTCCTGCCACAGACAGCAACTGAGGGGAGATCAGTGCAGGGGGAGAGAGGGGTAAGGAGGGGAAGGAGAAGGTGGAGGTGTGCCTCTGAGAGTCGGAGCCCAATCACCTCCTCCATCGTGTCGTATGGTGCTCCCGCCACTGACAGCAACTGAGAGTTGGGGGGGGGGGGAGGATGGGAAATTGGGGGGTCGGGCAGGGGAAGGGGAGTGGTGTGGCTGTGCCTCTGAGCCCAATCACTTCCTCCATTGTGTCATATGGTGCTCCCGCCACTGACAGCAGCTGAGTGGATATTGGGAGGGTTGGGTGGTGCGGAGGGAAGAGCAGGGAAGAAAAGGGGGAGAGACAGAGTGCGGGAGTGGGTGGTTGTGCCTCGGAGCCCAATCACCTCCTCCATCGTGTCATATGGTGCTCCTGCAGCAGCTACTGTGTCATTGACAGCAGCTGAGAGAAGTAGATGAGAGGTGGGGTGAGAGGGCGGCCACTGAGAGGGCGCTGCGAAAGGGATCAAGTGGTGTGGCGAGCAAGAGCAGGAGGGGCGAGCGGGAGTGAGTAGGAGTGAGTAGGAGAGAGTGTGCAATGCAGGGCGAAGGGTTGCGAGGGTAGGAAGCATTCCATAGTCCACAATAAAGGCTGAAAATTGCCTCCGCACTAGATGCCGGAGAACGCCACTCACCTCATCCCCAGGTCGCAGAACGGCATAGAGAGCAGCAGCGATGGCGTGTGTTCCTGAGAAGAACTGGAGGGAGGGAGGGGGAAGGAGGGGAAGAGGGGAAGAGGGGGAAAAGGGGGAAAAGGGGGAAAAGGGTGAAAAGAAAAGGGGGAAAAGGGGGAAAAGGGGGAAAAGGGGGAAAAGGGGGAGAGGGATTTGATTTGCAATCCAAAAGAGAAGCAGCAATGTCACGCGTGCCTGATAAGAACTGGAGGGAGGGGGTGATGGGGGAGGAGGAGGGGGAAAGGGGCGGGAGGGGGAAAGTGGAAGGAAAGGGGATTGAAGAAGTAGAAACATACGGAAAAGGCACTAACAACACCAAAACTGTCAGTGCCAATGGTTCCACCATTTATACCTGCACCCAATACCGCCTGCACCAGTAGCAGTAACACCCGCACCAGTACCACCCGCACCAGTAACAGTAACACCTGCACCAGTACCACCCACACCAGTAACAGTAACACCTGCACCAGTACCACATGCATCTACAACTCCTGGCTCCCCCTTTTTTACATTTGCACGCGCACACGCTGCTTCGGCGCCAACGATTTGAGCAAAAGCGGAATCAAGCGCCTCTCTGCCTCCTGCGTCCCCATGCCACATTCACTATCCTCACCCTGTGAATTCGCACCCCCGGCCTACCTACCTGCACCAGCAGAACCTGCACCAGTAGCAACCCCCGCTTTCTACCTGTGCGTGCACACACACGCTGCTTCGGCGCCAACGATCTGAGCAAAGGCCGAGTCAAGCGCCTCTCTGCCTCTATACACCCCCTAGCCCCCCCCCATTCCACCCCCCCTCTCTACCTGTGCGCGCACACACGCTGCCTCAGCGCCAACGATCTGAGCAAAGGCCGAGTCAAGCGCCTCTCTGCCCCCTGCGTCCCCATGCCACATTCACTACCCCGACCCTGTGGATTCGCACCCCCGGCACTGTGGCACAGCCTACCTGCACCAGCAGAACCTGCACCAGCAGAACCTGCACCAGCAGAACCTGCACCGCTGCTACCACCCCCCCTCTCTACCTGTGCGCGCACACATGCTGCTTCGGCGCCAACGATTTGAGCAAAGGCGGAATCAAGCGCCTCTCTGCCTCCTGCGTCCCCATGCCCGTACCCCGTTGTTCCACTGAAATGCTGGTTCAGGGGGACAGGGGAGAAGGGGAAGAGGAGGTAGGGGAGGAAGAGGGAGAGGGGACAAGAGGGCAAGGAGAGGGGAGAAGGGGCATTAGGGGGAACAAAAAAGGGCATCAGGGGGAACAAAAAGGGGCATTAGGGGGAACAAAAAGGGGCATCAGGGGGCATTGGGAGGAGGAGAGGGCATCAGTGAATTCCGTCTTCTCCACCTTTTCAGATTACTTGGCACCAAGCCACACCCAGACACACCCACCCACACACGCCCACCCACACACACCCACATGCACCCACACACAAAACTCACATGTCGCCCCACACGTGCAGAGGCGAAGGCATCTAGAAGCCGCTTCAGGTTTACCGCTACCAGCCTGTCAACCTCGGCAAATTCGCCCTGCAGCGATGCTGCTGCTGCTGCCACCTGGGAGAGGAGAAAGGGGCGATGAGGATTCGATGAGTGGTAGTTGGCAGTAGGAGGGAAAACGGTGCTATCTCCACCCCAGATTAACCGCCACCAGCCTGCCAACCTCCGCGAATTCACCCTGTAGTGATACTGCTGCTGCTGCCACCTGCGGGAGGGGTGGCAAATACAGGAAGGAATACTGTGACCTCTGAGAAACACATACAGAATGGGAAGTGACGCGTGAGGGGTGGAACTACCTGGGCCAGGGGAAAAGGGGCAAATGGAGAGAAGAGCGCGACCGACGAGTCGAATCGCCGAGCGGCTCAACACTTGCCTGGGGAGAGAAAGGAGATGCGGCGACGTATGAAGTGGCTGCTTTGCTGGCGCCAGCGCTGGCAACGGCACCGGCGGCGGTTCTGGCGGGGCGCATCGTTGCTGGATCCGACCCTGCTTCCTCGGTTTCTGGTTTCTCTCCTTCTCTGTCGATCGTCTCAATCGCCGGTGGTCGCTCTCCTCCTACGGCGCATGGCAGCAGGTGGAAGCGGCGGGCGGCACGCGATACACGCTGCTTTGAAAACTGAATCCGACAAGCATTTTGCTGCGTGCCGAGGAAGCTAGCACCTGACGCCGCCGCTGACGTGGCGACGGCGCCACTAAGCGAACGGGCGATCGACATGTGCACGATTGATGACGCTGCGAGAATGGCACGAGAAGGCCAAACCTTTCTACAAGGAGAGTGCTGTGTGCATTCCTCGGTTCTGTCTGTCCGTCGATGAGTAATCTACCTCGACCGAGATGTGAGGGTCGATAGCAGCGGGGCAATAGCCGCGGTGAGAATCTGGTGCAAAATCAGGTTTACCGAAACTCTTTAGTACCATGCGGTACCATTCAGCACCAGTGCTGCCAAAACCAGGATCTGTGAAGCGCGGGAAATCTGACACATGACCGTTGCGTCATGTAGAGTTTCTCCGACTCAATTCATAGGGAAAATATGTCAATGGTAACTTACATGGGGCACTGTAACGCGTACGATAACGATTTCAACGCGTTTGGTAACTCGCTTAACGCGTTTGGTAACTCACTTAACACGTTTGGTCACTCGCTTAACACATTTGGTAACTCTACACTAGCAGCCCATCACGCGAATGGTAACTACATGAAATTCCCGCCGAAATTGAGCCTGATTCTGGTTTTTCCCGCTCGCGTCAGAAAACATTGACGAATCCTGAAGCAGAAACCTCTGACACACTCTCCGAAATTCTGACACTATTTTCTGAAATTCTGACACACTCTCCGTAATCCTGACACACTTTCCGATTTTCAAGATTATTGCAAAAACGTAAGTGTTGTGAAAACATCTATTCATACATAATTGAACTTCTGGCGCTTCTTCCGCAAACTGTTTGTACTTTTTTCTAGCGTGCAGCCGGGGCAAACAAATCTATACTCCTTTCAAATGGCAGATAAATTTGAGAGCAACAACCTTAAACTTCTTGCGACCAGGCGTTTATGGTTCTTTATTTAAAGTACGAAACATGTAATTTTCAAGAGGAGTATTTTTCCCATGCGCGAAAATTCTCCAACGTTGCATTAATTATAAAAAGTAATATTCCCGAGGTCCTTTCGGTTTTTTTTATCGCTTTGCAAGTTCGCAATCATGCTATAAAAAAATGGAATTTAACCATATTTGTACGAGCTACATATACATGTATATTTCTCAAATGGCCGTGAAACTTTGTGGTCCGTGGTATTAGAACGAACGGCGTCCTTCAAATTCGCGGCGGGACTTGTTCAAATAGAGAATATTGTGCGTAAAAGCTTTCCAACTTGATACATTCCTCTTTTTCAGGCTCATTTCGGCGGGAATTTCATGTAGTTACCATTCGCGTGATGGGCTGCTAGTGTAGAGTTACCAAATGTGTTAAGCGAGTGACCAAACGTGTTAAGTGAGTTACCAAACGCGTTAAGCGAGTTACCAAACGCGTTGAAATCGTTACCGTACGCGTTACAGTGCCCCATGTAAGTTACCATTGACATATTTTCCCCAATTCATATCAATTCAATATTGCAATACATATAGAGTTGATACAAAACATATATAACACATACTCATGAAGCAGCTCACAAACAAACAAAACACATAAGGAAAAATCCAGTGTTCCAGAAACCAGCAGATCCAGCCATTGGAACCAGTGGTTCGAGCCTGACCCGTACCACAATCATCAAGGCTCCAGAGGAATATATCATAAACCCCTCTGATTATCCCAGAGAAATTGCTAGCGCCGCCGACCCGCATTTACATCACAGCAAGTTCATCAGGTGCTTGACCAGAGGAACCAGCAGTTCCAGCCTCGCAAAGACTATCCTCACCAAGAGCAGCTTCAGTTCCAGCATTATTCTCAGTCAGGATTGCATCAGCCGCAATCTCAATCGCAGTCTCAGTGCCAGAAGCATTAGCTACCGCAGCAGCACCAGAAACAGCACCAGAAGCAGCACCCGCAGCAGCATCAGCAGCCACAGCAGCAGCACCAGCAGCAGCAGCAGTAGGCACGAGCTCTGATGAGGAAAGCTCATTTGTAGCATCGCCAACACCTGTAGCAGCACCGCCTGTAGCGACAGTGTCTGTAGCAGTGGCCATAGCTACAGAGCCTGTAGCGCCGTCAGCAGTAGATGCCAGAATTGACTGTTGTTGTTGCTCGTGCTGCTGTTCCTGCTGCTCCACCTGTGTCGGAACCTCTGTCTGCACGAGTGGCTTAAGCTCTTGCTGCGAGTTCCCAGCCACACTCCCCACGCTGGGTACAACAGGTCGGTGTTGCTGACCTGCATTCTGCTGCTCTTGCTGCTGCTCCTGCTGCTTCTCCTGCTGCTGCGGCTGCTGTGGCTGCTGTGGCTTCTGCTTGCCTCCTGCTACCCCTAGCACAGAGGCAAGGTAAGTGCTTGGAATCTCGACACTCACTTGGGGTGGGGTCACAGAGGTACTCTGAACCTGGACAGGTCCCCGAGAGGACGACCTTTTGGGAATTTGCAGCAAAGGGGATGAGGAGAAGTTCGGAATAGGGATGGCAATGACAACAGGGGAGGAGGAGGTGGTGGGTTGAGGGGCAGCTGGGAGAGTTTGTGCTGCTGCTCCTTCTCCTGCTGCTCCTGCACCTGCTGCTGCTGCTCCTCCCCCTCCCGCTCTTGTTAATCCTGCACCCCCTCCTCCTCCTGCTGCTACCCCTTTTGCTGCCTCTAGTGCTGCCGCCACACCTGCGGCAGCTTCTGCAGAGGTGGGAGTAGCAGCTGAGCTTAAAACAGATTGGACAAAAGTCAACGGGGAGAAGTGCGATACAGGAGAGAGCGGATGGGGATTGGCTGCCGAACCTCCCCCTCCAGACCTCCCCACAGGCTGCCCTGGTGAAGCCCCAAAGCTCCCTGCCGAAGCTCCGGAGCTCCCTAGCGAGCCTAACCTTGGGACTAGTAATGCCGAGCCTAGCCTTGGGACTTGTAACGGCGAGCCTGTTTTGGCGACTAAGGAAGGAGAGGCAGCAGCTGAAAGAGGTAGACTGCCAGATGTGGCAGCTGCTGCTGCTGCGGCGGCTGATGCTGATACGGGGGGGATGGAGAGTGGGGTGGCGAGGGAGGGGGCTGGGGCGGCAGCACGTTGGGGAGTGGAAGGGGCAACAGTACCAAGTAGCAGCCCCCCTGATGCAGACGGCAGGGCGGAATCAGAGGGATAGGTTGCATTGGCGCCAGCACCAACGGCAGCACCAGCCACAGCAG